ACGGGTGAACGTAGCCAGGTGACGGCCGGTCCTGGAGCACGTGCAGATCGCCACACGCTGTCCGCCAGGGGTAAAGGTGTCAACCCACTGATCCTGGAGGACAGCGTTGCTCACCAGGTTCGTCGAGAACGAGGGGAGGTGGAAACCCGACAACGAGCCAGACGGAACCGCCGGACAAGGGAGGACAGTGGTGGACTGGGCAAGGACTGGGCCCCCAGAGGGGTCAGCCAAGGAGACTGGGACCGGTGCAGGAAGCGGTGTGAGCTCAGTACTGTCACGAAAGAAGCAGCGAGAAGCACCTGAGTCAAGGGTGAAGGTGTGACAGGCCTCAGCCGGTGCGGTACCTGAGAGAGGAGTCTGTGTGGGTGCTGTACCTGAGAGAGCAGACTCGAAACCAGCCGGGACAGCACTGGGGGGAGCAAGTACAGGGGGCACCATACCAGAGAGAGCAGACTCACTAGTACCCAGGGCAGCAGGCTCTATACCTGGGTCAGGCGGCACACACAGGTAACAGTCTCCCTCGGCACTAACAGTCAATGCATACATGGCAGCAATAATAGCATCATAGTCAAGAGCAAAGACATCAACACCAGCCCTCATGAGCTCAGCCCAGCGGGGGCGCTCAACATCCGCACCCATCTCCTCACGCCAAGCGTCGTCAAGGCGGGAGAAGCAGCGGTACGGGGTGTGGAACCTCCCACACGTCTGTCCCTTGCGGTCACCTGTGCGAATGACATAAGAACAGCGGGCACTGGCCCCCGACGTCCCACGCTGAGCAAGCCACTCACGAAGCTGCTGGGTCGTCTGGGGACGCTGCTGCTGCTGGGAGCTCTGGCCAGAGCCAGTGCCTCCACTCCGACCTCCGCCGCCACCACTACCACCGCTCCGACCGCCACCGCCACCACCGCCACCACCGCCACCGCCGCCACCGCCGCCGCCGCCACTACTGCCACTGCTCCCTCCGCCGCCCCCGTCTCCACCACCGACCCCACTCCCACCAGCGCTCCCGCCACCGCTCCCTCCAGCACCGCCTCCCCCCCCACCTCCCCCACCTCCTCCCCCACCAGCGCCACCACCACCACTTTTGCCCCCCTTGCCCTTGCCGGTGCGGCGCCTCCCACCAGGAGTAGAAGCAGCGCCAACAGACTCAGCACCAAGGAAGTCAACAGCAACAGCAGCAGCGTAGGAGGGAGCGAGGGGAGAGGGAGAACACCCCTCAAAGATGGGGGTGCGAGGAGCGCCACGAGCAGCACCGACAGCTACAATGCTCTTTTCGGCCGCGAGCAGGTGCTCCTCTAGGAGGGCGACTGTGAGCTCAGTGGGACAGCGAGCAAGGAAGTGGTCTCGAACTGAGCGGAGGGTGTCAGGGAGACGGGTACCTATGAAGTGGAGTGTCCAGTACAGTGGAGGGGGGTTCTTAGCGCAGAACTCGGTGGGAAGGGCGGCACGCAGGCGAGCATCACTAGTGCGAAGGTGGGTGATAAGATCGGCGACTGTAGTAAAGGTGGACAGATCGGGGAACAGGTACGGCAGCATGAGGCGGCTAAGCTCGGCTGTGGCAGGCGAGGAGTAGCGAGCGACGACAGCGTCGTACAGGGCCTTAGCGGATTTGCAGTCGCCAAAATGCTCTAGCTCAGCTAACGGCAGGTGACTGCGAATGGCTAGGCGAGCAGCTGCGTCACGAGTCTGCCAGTGGGAACGAACACTAAGCTCAGCTGTGGCAGGAGGGGCAGGCGCAGCACCAGACGCGTAGTCATAGAGCGACACATGCTCCTTGCTATCGCTCAGGAGAAACAGCTGCAGGTCATCTAGCCAAGCGGTGAAACGCACAGGGCGGCCCTCAGTATCGAACGACAGCACGCGAATGGAAGCCATAGCGACAGTGTGACAGAGTAACGCAAGCTGCCGCAGCAGGGGAAGGCGACTGTGCACGGATAGAGAGCAGCGGGCGAGGCTGGCGCTACGGGCAGGCGGCGCTGCAAGCGGTCAGTGCGACGGGAGGGCGACGCTGCGAGCGGGCAGCGCGGCGGACGGGCCGGGAAGCGGGCAGCGCGGCGGGCAGGCGGCGCTGCAAGCGGGCAGCACGGCGGGCGGGCGACGCTGCGAGGCGGGCGGGCCGCAAAGCGGGCAGCGGGCGGGCGGGCGGGCTGCGAAGCGGGCAGCGGGGCGAGCGGGCTGCGATGCGAGCGGGCCGCGAAGTGGGCAGCGAGCGGGCGGGCGGGCTGCGAAGTGGGCGGGCCGCGAAGCGGGCAGCGGGGCGAGCGGGCTGCGAGGCGGGCGGGCCGCGAAGCGGGCAGCGAGCGGGCGGGCGGGCTGCGAAGTGGGCGGGCCGCGAAGCGGGCAGCGAGCGAGCGGGCTGCGAAGCGGGCGGGCCGCGAAGCGGGCAGCGAGCGAGCGGGCTGCGAAGCGGGCGGGCCGCGAAGCGGGCAGCGAGCGGGCGGGCGGGCTGCGTAGCGAGCGGGCCGCGAAGCGGGCAGCGAGCGGGCGGGCGGGCTGCGAGCGGGCGGCTCGGCGAGGGGCGCGCGAGGGCGCTAGTGAGGGGCGCGCGAGGGCGCTAGTGAGGGGCGCGCGAGGGCGCTAGCAAGGGGCGCGCGAGGGCGCTAACAAAGGGGCGCGCGAGGGCGCTAACGAAGGGGCGCGCGAGGGCGCTAACGTGGGTGCGCGCGAGGGCGCTAACGAGGGTGCGCGCGAGGGCGCTAACGAGGGCGCACGAGGGCGCTACGAGGCTAGGGCACGGGGTAGCGTGGTAACCGCATGCGAGCGGTGGTGGGCCCTAAAAAAAACGATCGGTAGGTCCTAGGGACCTCCTGCTCTGAATACCATGTCAGAATCACTAGGCAAGAATGATGAACTAGCAGAAGTTTGGGTACAAATATGAAACCCTAGTTGGGGTTGTACCCCATATTGGCTACCCCACTACAGCCTACAAGCATACTACAGTTTAACACATTGTGCTATCATTTGACATTTAAAATATTCAACTGGCTACATCTTAGATCACTCCCTAATGCTGACCATCTCGCTCAAAAAGACTCCCATGCTACGGAGTATTTGCATATTTTCCCTTATACATGTGGTGGATTTGTGTACGGTTTGCAACGGACGCCGACAATTACGCAAACGAACTAACGAGTCACGAGACTTAGTCCGGACGCTGGATTCGGACTGCCCGGTGTTCAGAAGTTGAATTGTTCTCGGACGGTTGTCCAGATTTTATAGGCTATTAAAAAATGTAACACGCCCTTGGACAACCGTCAAAATAAATTAACGTCATTTCCCCTCCCTACGACTTCCTGCCAACCATCCGCCGTGCGTGTCATCCCTGAAATCATTCCAATCGCTCGGGCCATCCTTTATCCAATTTCGGGCATCCACACACCTGCGCATATAGGCGCCAGGCCCCGCATCCACACCTGTGTACGTTTTCTTCCCCTCGCCCTTCAGAGGGTTTCTAGAGAGTCTCCGTCGGCCTCCTCGCCATTGACCTCGCCTACCCTTAGCCTTCTGGATCGGCGATTCTTTCAGCCGCAGTGGTAGTTTTCATGCTTCTCTTGGCAGTAATTAGTACAGGTCTTCTCGCTTAAGATGCCAGAGCAAAACACGCGCCGTGCGGGAGTTGGTGACAAAACTTCCAAACCCCGGGCAAACGGGAACTTATAGTCCCAAATTCATGAAATTTGCATGCAATACAGTTTTTCTTCGGTACTAGTCTATACACAGTGACCGCGATTGCTTCAACTTCGCATCACACGGTTCTCACCTATGGTCATGGTTGCGTGACCGACGGGCAGAAATACCCAAAAACCATATTGTAGATGTCAAAATATATGAGATTCATATTTTTTCTTAGCCGGTCACCAAGATTAATGCGATGTCATCGTTAAGCATGTTGGGTTGCGGCAGGATTTAGAAGCAAACGCGGTCAAGAGAAACAAACAAAATCACTTAAGAATATAAATACGGAAACAAAATTTCCTCCTTGAACATTTTCTGTTAATGTTGGGGCAGGTCCGATTTGGATTTCTGATTGGCTGCGGAACTGATTTGTGGAAGGGAAAATATGCCACTCGTAACCAATACAGGACTCAATAATGTATGGTAAAAAAAACGCGTACGGTCACTGTCGGGTTTCTTGACGGGTTTGGTAAGTGGGGTCACGGATTCAGTCACTAACGACACTTAAAAAATCACGCGAATGGTCACACATGTAACTCCCGCCAAAAATTCTACAGCATTCCCGCTTACTCCCAACCAATCTGCTAACTTCTAAGGACGTGTTGCAATTCTTGATGCACTGCATCGGCTTGGCTCGAGGCACGGCTTTAGAAAGGCTTCAGAAAAGAAAGATGCCGTTTTTTTTTTTTGCAAATATCGCTGAAAGACTTTTCATCAGAGTATAAATTCAGTGAATAACACTTCAAATCATTATATTGAACTTTTTGTTTGGCCCGTTTTTGACCTCCCGCCCGCATAGAGCCTTCTAATCGTTCCGAGCCGATGCAGTACAGTGCAATGGGAATTGCAACACGTCCTAAAAAAAAACTCTACCCAATCGGAATCGGATGCGGTTTGGGAACAGATCAACCGTAAACACCTGGCGAGTTGTGATTAGGGTTGATTCATCCGAAAATACATCCAGGTTCCTCTTGGATTATATTATATATATATTTGGTGAGAGCTTAATTTGTGACCATTTGCGCGATTTTTTACCAGTTGATAGTGACTGATTCCGTGAAACGTTTTATCAATCGCGTGAAAACTCCCTTCGAGGTGACCGTACCCGGATTTATTTTACCAAAAAAGTTATGGAGTCCTATTTTCCCTTTGTGGATGGACCTAGTCAAATGCAAATTTTCCCGCCAAAAAGGTCCTCGAGGGGCTACACCTAGTAAATAAATGGATAAAGCTACTCGTTTCTGAAAACGGACTTTAGAAATGCGGGCTCTTATAACCAAGGCCTCACACGATGCAGTCAGCAGCGGAGCTCTAATAATCGTACGATGTCCGCCACGCATAGAGCTCGTTCCTCTGCCATGCGATGCCGCGTTGCGCCTCCGTGGCCACTGCGCCGCGCCGATGCAGCAGCGCGGCTTCTCCTTTGCGCGGCGCTCGCGCTCACTGCCACCGCCGATTGCTCCTTCTCTTCCGCCAACCACCCACCGCCACGGCCACAAGCCCCGCGTCGCCCAAATCAGCGCGTGCCGCCGTCTCCCCTTCCTCGCCGGCCCACCCGCGCCCAGCGCGCGCTCCTCAAGCTCAACGCCGCCACCGCCGCCGCGGCCGCCGATTTCGAGGCGACTGACAGCGGCGATCATGCCGCGGCAAGGCCCGTGTCTCTGGAGGCGTCGCAACGTGAGCTCGCTGCCCTCGCGCTCGACCCGCTCCGCCCTCCTCCATGATATCCCTCACCTCACTCATCGCGAAAAAAATGAGAACACAGAAATGTTCACTTTTAACATCTAATGTTCGAGAAAGCTGCGGAAAATCAACGGCCAGCTGCGGAAAAGCTCCCGGCGGCCCCCAAAGTGACTGAAAGTTACATGGCCGATCACTATAACGCAATAAAAAAGTAGCACATGTCAAAATGTGTGAGGTCGGTCGGGGTGGGATGCTTTTTAGGGATTGCGAGAGAGTAACTTTACTGAACTTACCTGCAGGTGGCTTTTCTGGGTTCGCTGCTCGGGAATCAGTGAAGTGCTCGAAATTTAGACGCGAAAGGAGACCTGCCCGGGATCGAGCCTGGGGGCCCCAGCGAAGTCGCTGTGAAGCCAAGAGAAATTGAGGTCCTTGTGGGGGCCGACTTTCAGAAGTTACTGAATTGACACCGGGGGGAGACGGGTGTAATGCCTGCAGGCTGCAGCATCCGTTGCGCCTCTGAAAGAACCCCGTTTTGACCAAGTGGTCTAGCTGGGCGTTGTGCCATAGCACTAGGAGCTCAGCGCGGCATGAGAGGCCCACGCTGGTACGCCGCACGCGCTGAGAAGCTCATCTGATTCGCTTCCTTCCCTCGCCTTGTTCGACCGCTTGCTGCACGTGCGCAGTGAGCGCGGTGGTGCAGGTGCAGCAGGCGTGGGGCGCGTGGGCGGGCAACAGCAACGCCACCACTGCTTGCTCTGCGTGGCCTGGCGTCACGTGCAGCCCTGACGGACTAATCGTCGCATTGTGAGTGCCATTTCCCCCCCCCCTCCCCCCCGTTTCCCTCCATTGCCCCACATGACCACTCCCAATATTCACCACTTTACGACCACTTTATCACGTGCAATGCAACCCCTCCACTCATCGCGGTACATCACCCGTTTTCCTTCTGAATGCGCTGGACTTGTGAGAGCTGTGCCTGTTTGGTGGGACCGGAAATTGTGAAGAGGCGGTTGAGTGGGATGGGGTAAGGGGCATGGAAGAGGAAGGATAGGGGGAAAGCGGGAAGGCGGGGCGGTGGGAGGGGATGGGTAGGGGAGTGGTGTGGAGGGATGGGAGCATGGCATGGTTGCGTGCGTGTGGTGGGTGGCATGGCATGGCAGGGATTCAAAGGCCGTATCGGTGGATGGCAGCACTGCCATGCCTGACTCCATCACCAATCTCTCCGCTCTCCAATATCTGTCCGTCCCCGCCCGCTGTCCCCGCCCACCGTCCCTGCTCGCCACTCCATGCACTCTGCAATGCATGCGCTCCACCACAACATCACCCATTCGCCATGCTCCACCTTCCTTCCGCAGCACAGTCTCTCCTGTTCTTGCCCTCGGTGGCCGTGCTTGCTCGCGTCTGTGCCCCGCCTCACCAGGAAGTTTCATAACGACCATTACTATGCAGAGACTCCCACATCTCGCCCCCCATCTCGCCCACGACTCGCTTCATAAGCCGCACCGCACCCGGCTGCCCCTGCTCGCTGCCCTTGCACGCTTCAACTCTGCAGCAGTTGGTGCAGCAGCTAGGATGGGATGTGATGTGATGTGCACCGAGGCATCGCTCTGCACGCCTCATTCCGCCTCCCGCCTGCCTTCGCTCTTGCTTCCTGCCTGCCTGCCCATGCTCACAGCGATCTGACAAACGATCAGCTGGCGGGGCCCATCCCATCCCTCGCGAGCCTCACCGCCCTCACCCTCCTGTACGTGCCCCGCCTCATTCCTCCTCTGTGCCATGGCCCATGCAGTGCGCTGCGCTCATTCTCTCCTCTGCTGCCCAAGATTCGTATCTCTCTTGCTTGCTCCTTTCTCAAGGCATCTGTTGGTATTTTGTTTGTTCCCCTTGGTATTCTGTTTGTTCCACCACTCCTTTGCATGTGCGGCATGGCTGACTGCATGTGCGGCATGGCTGACTGCATGTGCGGCATGGCTGACTGCATGTGCGGCATGGCTGACTGCATGTGTGGCATGGCTGACTGCATGTGTGGCATGGCTGACTGCATGTGTGGCATGGCTGACTGCATGTGCGGCATGGCTGACTGCATGTGCGGCATGGCTGACTGCATGTGCGGCATGGCTGACTGCATGTGCGGCATGGCTGACTGCATGTGTGGCATGGCTGACTGCATGTGCGGCATGGCTGACTGCATGTGTGGCATGGTTGACTGCATGTGCGGCATGTCCTCAGAGCCATGGGAGCAGACGGCAGCCAGCTCAGTGGCACTCTCGAGGGACTGACTTGGCTCTCCTCCCTCTCCAACCTTCACACACTGTACGCCGTGCACACTGCCACGCCACACCCTGCTCACACACCCTGCTCACACACCCTGCTCACACTTCACACACCTGTTTAACGTTGCCACTTGTAATGCAGTTGGCACTCCCATGTTGTCTCCGCGCCACGCTGCCCTCATGTCATTGCCGCACGCCCCATCGCTCCAGCTACTCAGGCACAAGTGCCGTGCCGTGTCCCTCCCTCCTCCCGCACCATGGTGACTTTTGAGTCAACTCAAAAGTCTCCAGCAACTCATGCACAGGCGCCGTGCCATGTGTCCCTCCCTACTCTCGACCCGCCCCATGGCTTCTCATACTTCCCACAGCCCCCCAACCACCAACCCACCGTCAACCACCAGGAAGCTTGTTGGCTTGGCGGACTTCACAGGGGACTTGTCCTCTCTGCACGTTCTCTCTCACATGGGAAAACTTCAAAGCCTGTAAGCTCGATTCCAGCCTGTAAGCCTGTAAGCATGGTGCTGCCTCAATGCTGCGACTGGTGTAGTTCACGTCAGTCAGTGTGTCAACTGACTTTCGGGATGTCCCTCACTGTGCGCTTGTACTGTTGCCTCTTTTCCGTGCATGTGCATGTGCATGTGCATGTGCATGTGCATGTGCATGTGCTTGTGCGCCCGTGCATGCGCATGTGCGCAGGACACTCAGCTCTTTCACCAATGCCACGGGGGAGATACCCAGGGAGATCCGATACCTCACGGCCCTCACTGCACTGTAAGCTGCACACGAGTCCAAGAGTAGATCATATGATGAAGCACACTCCTTCATGTTCCCGATCAGATTTTCACTGTCTGACTGCTCCTGTGGCATGAGACCAGCCCTCCTCTATGCCCTTATCCTTATCCCGTCCCCTTGCATTCTCCCCTGCAGCGATTTGTCATACCTCCGGGCCTTGGAGTTCCCTGACTGGGTGACTCACCTCGCCTCCCTTCAGCGTCTGTGAGCTCCTACCACACACCGTTCCTTTTGGGAATTCTCAAAAGCCACCGTTCTTTGCCTTTGCCACACACCTACCGCCCTTGCTGCTGCACAGCACACACCACACCACGCACCAGAACCATGCATACCACAGCAGTGATCTCGCCGTGTCTAAGTCTGGACTCTGGAGAGTCTCACGGGCTGGCCCTTGTCCCCCGGCCCTTTTCCCCCGGCCCTTGTCCCCCGGCCCTTGTCCCCCTGCCCTTGCATGCAGCAACGTGAACGCGGACGAGCCGCGGCGGCAGGGGTTGTTGTCGGATGACATATCGCACCTCACAGCGCTCACCTCCCTGTGAGTGCACTGCGCCTTTCGTGGCGCCTTAAAAGTCGCCTCAAAAGTCTTCTGAGGCGCCTCAAAAGCCGCGGCGGCAGGGGTTGTTGTCAGATGACATATCGCACCACACAGCGCTCACCTCCCTGTGAGTGTAGCACGCCAAGTCCACAACCCTCAGTCACAACACATGAATGAACCAAAGGGCCAAGCATGTCACAACCCTTTCGTGTATGCGTGTGGGAATAGCTAGGCCCATTGCTGCAACTGCTCCTGTCGGAGAGGCCACCAGGCGGGTAGGGGGTTGTGCTGTGCTGCACTGGACAGGACAGCACGTTTCTGCCACTCCTGCACAAGTCCCTCCCTGTTGTGTTACCCTCGTGTTGTGCCCTGCATCTTGTGCCTGCTGTCACGCACGGCAGATCCCTCACTGGAAACAATCTGGAGGGCTACGTGCCTAAGTCCTGCTCCTCTCTCCTCAACCTGCAATACCTGTGAGCCACTGCCCGCTGTGCCGTGCTGCCATGCCCCCATGCTGTCATCCTCCCCTCCCATGAGCCCATGCTGTCATCCTCCCCTCCCATGAGCCCATGCTGTCATCCTCCCCTCCCATGAGCCCATGCTGTCATCCTCCCCTCCCATGAGCCCATGCTGTCATCCTCCCCTCCCATGAGCCCATGCTGTCATCCTCCCCTCCCATGAGCCCATGCTGTCATCCTCCCCTCCCATGAGCCCATGCTGTCATCCTCCCCTCCCATGAGCCCATGCTGTCATCCTCCCCTCCCATGAGCCCATGCTGTCATCCTCCCCTCCCATGAGCCCATGCTGTCATCCTCCCCTCCCATGAGCCCATGCTGTCATCCTCCCCTCCCATGAGCCCATGCTGTCATCCTCCCATGGTGTTGTTACCAATCCTACCTTCATATCATTTCAGGGCTTTGAGTTACAACCATCTTCAAGGCACCATCCCTGCTACCCTCTCTGCCCTCACAGCCCTCACTGCAATGTATGTTCTTGCGAAACTGACATTCGCTTTGCTCACCATCTCGTTTCGACCTCTGCACTCTCACCATCTCGTTTTGACCTCTGCACTCTCACCATCTCGTTTCGACCTCTGCACTCTCACCATCTCGTTTTGACCTCTGCACTCTCACCATCTCGTTTTGACCTCTGCACTCTCACCATCTCGTTTTGACCTCTGCACTCTCACCATCTCGTTTTGACCTCTGCACTCTCACCATCTCGTTTTGACCTCTGCACTCTCACCATCTCGTTTTGACCTCTGCACTCTCACCATCTCGTTTCGACCTCTGCACTCTCACCATCTCGTTTCGACCTCTGCACTCTCACCATCTCGTTTCGACCTCTGCACTCTCACCATCTCGTTTCGACCTCTGCACTCTCACCATCTCGTTTCGACCTCTGCACTCTCACCATCTCGTTTTGACCTCTGCACTCTCACCATCTCGTTTTGACCTCTGCACTCTCACCATCTCGTTTCGACCTCTGCACTCTCACCATCTCGTTTTGACCTCTGCACTCTCACCATCTCGTTTTGACCTCTGCACTCTCACCATCTCGTTTTGACCTCTGCACTCTCACCATCTCGTTTTGACCTCTGCACTCTCACCATCTCGTTTTGACCTCTGCACTCTCACCATCTCGTTTTGACCTCTGCACTCTCACCATCTCGTTTTGACCTCTGCACTCTCACCATCTCGTTTCGACCTCTGCACTCTCACCATCTCGTTTTGACCTCTGCACTCTCACCATCTCGTTTCGACCTCTGCACTCTCACCATCTCGTTTCGACCTCTGCACTCTCACCATCTCGTTTTGACCTCTGCACTCTCACCATCTCGTTTTGACCTCTGCACTCTCACCATCTCGTTTTGACCTCTGCACTCTCACCATCTCGTTTCGACCTCTGCACTCTCACCATCTCGTTTCGACCTCTGCACTCTCACCATCTCGTTTCGACCTCTGCACTCTCACCATCTCGTTTCGACCTCTGCACTCTCACCATCTCGTTTTGACCTCTGCACTCTCACCATCTCGTTTTGACCTCTGCACTCTCACCATCTCGTTTCGACCTCTGCACTCTCACCATCTCGTTTTGACCTCTGCACTCTCACCATCTCGTTTCGACCTCTGCACTCTCACCATCTCGTTTCGACCTCTGCACTCTCACCATCTCGTTTTTACCTCTGCACTCTCACCATCTCGTTTCGACCTCTGCACTCTCACCATCTCGTTTTGACCTCTGCACTCTCACCATCTCGTTTCGACCTCTGCACTCTCACCATCTCGTTTCGACCTCTGCACTCTCACCATCTCGTTTCGACCTCTGCACTCTCACCATCTCGTTTCGACCTCTGCACTCTCACCATCTCGTTTCGACCTCTGCACTCTCACCATCTCGTTTCGACCTCTGCACTCTCACCATCTCGTTTTGACCTCTGCACTCTCACCATCTCGTTTTGACCTCTGCACTCTCACCATCTCGTTTTGACCTCTGCACTCTCACCATCTCGTTTTGACCTCTGCACTCTCACCATCTCGTTTTGACCTCTGCACTCTCACCATCTCGTTTCGACCTCTGCACTCTCACCATCTCGTTTCGACCTCTGCACTCTCACCATCTCGTTTCGACCTCTGCACTCTCACCATCTCGTTTCGACCTCTGCACTCTCACCATCTCGTTTTGACCTCTGCACTCTCACCATCTCAACCCCTTTGTAATGCGCTGCACCCACTGTTCTTCCTGCTCCCTCCCACTGCAGAGACCTCTCATGGAATCATCTGACTGGTTCCGTCCCCCATGCCTTCACCACCAACATCCAGAGCATGTACGTTCTCGCGCCTCTCCTCTCTCCCTAAACCTCCAGTTTTGAGGCGCCTCAAAAGTCAGCATGGACGTCTCGCGCCTCTCCGTTCTTTCTGCCCGTGTACCAATGCATCTTTCCGTCACCCATGGCCTTCTTCCCCCCTTTCTTTACTGGCTCTTCCCTTTTTGTTTGAAACACCATTATAATAATCTTGAGGAGCCCCCCTCTCCTATCCAGAGCACTAGGCTACAACGCCTTCAGTGGCCCCATCCCGCCTCACCTTGCACTGCCCCAGCTCTCTTCCCTGTGAGCCCCATCCCTCTCTGCCCTGCTTCCTTGCACTCATGCCTGCATCCCGTGCAGTTGACCCTTTGCTCTCTGTCCTCATTTCTCCGCCTGGGTCCATGCGCCCAACTCTGTGGCCCGCCTGTGTCTGCAGGCAGCTCTCCAGCAATGGGTTCACGGGCGCCATTCCCACCACCTTCACCCGCCTCACAGCCATGAGTATGCTGTACGCCTCACAGCCATGAGTATGCTGTACGCCTCACAGCCATTAGTATGCTGTACGCCTCACAGCCATGAGTATGCTGTACGCCTCACAGCCATGAGTATGCTGTACGCCTCACAGCCATGAGTATGCTGTACGCCTCACAGCCGTGAGTATGCTGTACCCACGTGCCTGCATCCCCCGTGCCTGCATCCCCCGTGCCTGCATCCCACGTGCCTGCATACCCCGTGCCTGCATCCCACGTGCCTGCATCCCCCGAGCCTGCATCCCCCATGCCTGCATCCCACGTGCCTGCATCCCCCGTGCCTGCATCCCCCATGCCTGCATCCCCCGTGCCTGCATCCCCCGTGCCTGCATCCCCCGTGCCTGCATCCCCCGTGCCTGCATCCCCCGTGCCTGCATCCCCCGTGCCTCCATCCCCCGTGCCTGCATCCCCCGTGCCTGCATCCCCCGTGCCTGCATCCCCCGTGCCTGCATGCCAGGGATGCGTGCAACAACAGTCTGAGCGCAGGTCTGGACATGGTGGCTCAGATGACATGGCTCACTCACATGTGAGGTGTTTGAATTGAAGTAGTGTTCTGGACGTCTCAAAACACCACTTACAACAGCTGAGGCCTGGACGTGGTGGCTCAGATGACATGGCTCACTCACATGTCAGCGCCTACCCTCCCCCCCGCCGCACCTGCCTCATTGTTGCGCCCTCCTCGCTGGCCTCCCCTTCCCTCCTCGCTGGCCTCCCCTTCCCTCCTTGCTGGGCCTTAGGGTTGGGCGAACATGCCACCTGCGTGAACCAAACATGTTCGGTTCACCGCGAACACATTCTGAAAGTGTGAACTCAAAGGGTGTTCGCCCCGAGCACGAAAATGTTCTTGGCGAACTTGTTCGTGCTCGCATTCTCAGCAGCCTCCTTTATAATCACATCAGCCAGTTGAGTGGATTTCGGCGTTCCTGGTGGCGGTGTGGTGTTGCACCTGGTGGGCGGTGTCAGACCTGGGGGGCGGTGTCAGACCTGGGGGGCGGTGTCAGACCTGGTGGGCGTTTGGGATAGTATGAAAGTGGTAGCAAACAATCTAATGTTACTGACGCCAATCCTAAACTAGTCTAGGATAAAAGAAAAAGGCTGCGGCAACGCAAATAATTAGAGTTCATGGAAACTTAGTGATGGCACTAAGAATGTAGGCCGTGGTAGGTGTCTTAGCCTGAGATCGAACTCAGGAATGAGGTCACAAAGTGAAACAATCGACCTAAAGAACGGGGTCGCGAGACCTTTTGGGCGAACACAATTTTGTTCGTCCCTAGGGTCCTGCGAACGCGAATATGCTCGTCTCCCGCCTCGGCCCGGGAAATCCCGACAAACCGAACACAAGTGTGTTCGCCCCGAACTCTTTTTCTTCGCCCCGAACACGTTCGAGGCAACCCAAACACATGTTATGTTCGCCTGGATGCTCAAGCCTACTGGGCCTCCCCTTCCCCCCCTCCCGTCGTCTGCTCCCTGCAATTGGCAACACGTGAGCCCCTCTCGCAATTGTGTGCCGAGCAGAAGCCTCCACACCAACAACTTCTCCGGGGTGCTTCCAGCGACCCTCTCTGCCATCAAGGGGCTTGTTGTCATGTCAGTCTGCACCATCCATCCCTCCCTCACTCACTCACTCGCTCACTCACTCACTCACTCACTCAACTCCTCCATGTAGAAAAACCTTCTATGTGTTTGTGGGGCATGCAGTTGGGAAACGTGCACATGTGATCAAGGTTGCCTTGCACGCACGTGCGTGCAAAGTAGAGCGTGGCCGGTGCATGAGGGCCTGCGGGCATGAGCAACATGTCACTCACTTGCATCGCATGCCCAAATGCACCTGTGTGTGCATGTCTGCATGCCTCCCGCCCTCTTCCCTCCACATGTTCGTTGGGCGTGCATCAGAAGCATCGCTAACAACCACTTCACAGGAGAATTTCCCCACCCTCTTCTGCACACCCACCACCTTGCTGTACTGTGAGTGAGACACGCTCTCACGGTTCCGGACCAACCACGGTGGTTTACAATGGGTATAACATGCAGAATCCTTTCTATATTTGACAAATTTGCAACGCAAACGTATTCTTCTCGTGCCACCACTGAACACAGCTGTCGCAACCTCTCACATGGTGATGGCGTTGGCAATGGCAATGGCAGGGATGTGAGCAACAACAGCTTCTCTGGATCCATCCCATTGCAATTGACCAAGCTACTGCAGCTGGAGGACATGTGAGTGGCGTCCCATGGGCTCACTTTTGAGTCGACTCAAAAGGACATGTGATGTGAGTGGCGCCCCATGGGCTCAACAGGATATCAGCGCTTGTTTACACTCTTCCCGTAGACCTGGCCTGGTCATACTTACTTCAGACAGCTGCTTCGTAGAGCCGCTCGAGTCTTGGCAATGGTGTTCCCAAGCTCTTTCGTCAACCAAGCTGCATAGCCAGGCCTGTTCCCTGTTCGTGCCCAGCCCATATTAGCGCTTGCTTGTTCACGCTTTGAGATTTTCTATTTTGCGTGTTCGATCCAGTGGTTCAGTCTTTGGCTCGACTGTTGCACTCTGTCACCACTGCTGAGTGACTCGGCCAGCAATCTTAGTGGCAACAAATTCCATGGATCAATCCCGATTGGCCTCTTCCACCTCCCCACGCTTTACTCACTGTGAGTATCTCCATCCATGGTGGCCACTGCTTGCAGTGCAGATTGCAATACAAAGCAGTCTAATGTGAGGTTCCTAAATCAAATACAGAAAGCTGATCTTGATACTTGCGTGCCTAATGCTCATTTCTTATGAGACTTCCTTGCATCTCTTCATTCTTCACCTTTGCATTCCCTTTCTCCGCTTCAAGACTGGCAGTGGGTCATAATGCATGCCAACAACCACCATTTTCTGTCTCCCCTCCTTCTCAATGCAGGCAAGTGGCAAACAACTCTCTTTCCGGGAAACTTCCAGTGACGCTTAAAGCCTCCTCCACACTTGCCACGCTGTAAGCAGCGCCACCACTCGTTGTGCTGCCACCACTCGTTGTGCTGCCACCACTCGTTGTGCTGCCACCACTCGTTGTGCTGCCACCACTCGTTGTGCTGCCACCACTCGTTGTGCTGCCACCACTCGTTGTGCTGCCACCACTCGTTGTGCTGCCACCACTCGTTGTGCTGCCACCACTCGTTGTGCTGCCACCACTCGTTGTGCTGCCACCACTCGTTGTGCTGCCACCACTCGTTGTGCTGCCACCACTCGTTGTGCTGCCACCACTCGTTGTGCTGCCACCACTCGTTGTGCTGCCACCACTCGTTGTGCTGCCACCACTCGTTGTGCTGCCACCACTCGTTGTGCTGCCACCACTCGTTGTGCTGCCACCACTCGTTGTGCTGCCACCACTCGTTGTGCTGCCACCACTCGTTGTGCTGCCACCACTCGTTGTGCTGCCACCACTCGTTGTGCTGCCACCACTCGTTGTGCTGCCACCACTCGTTGTGCTGCCACCACTCGTTGTGCTGCCACCACTCGTTGTGCTGCCACCACTCGTTGTGCTGCCACCACTCGTTGTGCTGCCACCACTCGTTGTGCTGCCACCACTCGTTGTGCTGCCACCACTCGTTGTGCTGCCACCACTCGTTGTGCTGCCACCACTCGTTGTGCTGCCACCACTCGTTGTGCTGCCACCACTCGTTGTGCTGCCACCACTCGTTGTGCTGCCACCACTCGTTGTGCTGCCACCACTCGTTGTGCTGCCACCACTCGTTGTGCTGCCACCACTCGTTGTGCTGCCACCACTCGTTGTGCTGCCACCACTCGTTGTGCTGCCACCACTCGTTGTGCTGCCACCACTCGTTGTGCTGCCACCACTCGTTGTGCTGCCACCACTCGTTGTGCTGCCACCACTCGTTGTGCTGCCACCACTCGTTGTGCTGCCACCACTCGTTGTGCTGCCACCACTCGTTGTGCTGCCACCACTCGTTGTGCTGCCACCACTCGTTGTGCTGCCACCACTCGTTGTGCTGCCACCACTCGTTGTGCTGCCACCACTCGTTGTGCTGCCACCACTCGTTGTGCTGCCACCACTCGTTGTGCTGCCACCACTCGTTGTGCTGCCACCACTCGTTGTGCTGCCACCACTCGTTGTGCTGCCACCACTCGTTGTGCTGCCACCACTCGTTGTGCTGCCACCACTCGTTGTGCTGCCACCACTCGTTGTGCTGCCACCACTCGTTGTGCTGCCACCACTCGTTGTGCTGCCACCACTCGTTGTGCTGCCACCACTCGTTGTGCTGCCACCACTCGTTGTGCTGCCACCACTCGTTGTGCTGCCACCACTCGTTGTGCTGCCACCACTCGTTGTGCTGCCACCACTCGTTGTGCTGCCACCACTCGTTGTGCTGCCACCACTCGTTGTGCTGCCACCACTCGTTGTGCTGCCACCACTCGTTGTGCTGCCACCACTCGTTGTGCTGCCACCACTCGTTGTGCTGCCACCACTCGTTGTGCTGCCACCACTCGTTGTGCTGCCACCACTCGTTGTGCTGCCACCACTCGTTGTGCTGCCACCACTCGTTGTGCTGCCACCACTCGTTGTGCTGCCACCACTCGTTGTGCTGCCACCACTCGTTGTGCTGCCACCACTCGTTGTGCTGCCACCACTCGTTGTGCTGCCACCACTCGTTGTGCTGCCACCACTCGTTGTGCTGCCACCACTCGTTGTGCTGCCACCACTCGTTGTGCTGCCACCACTCGTTGTGCTGCCACCACTCGTTGTGCTGCCACCACTCGTTGTGCTGCCACCACTCGTTGTGCTGCCACCACTCGTTGTGCTGCCACCACTCGTTGTGCTGCCACCACTCGTTGTGCTGCCACCACTCGTTGTGCTGCCACCACTCGTTGTGCTGCCACCACTCGTTGTGCTGCCACCACTCGTTGTGCTGCCACCACTCGTTGTGCTGCCACCACTCGTTGTGCTGCCACCACTCGTTGTGCTGCCACCACTCGTTGTGCTGCCACCACTCGTTGTGCTGCCACCACTCGTTGTGCTGCCACCACTCGTTGTGCTGCCACCACTCGTTGTGCTGCCACCACTCGTTGTGCTGCCACCACTCGTTGTGCTGCCACCACTCGTTGTGCTGCCACCACTCGTTGTGCTGCCACCACTCGTTGTGCTGCCACCACTCGTTGTGCTGCCACCACTCGTTGTGCTGCCACCACTCGTTGTGCTGCCACCACTCGTTGTGCTGCCACCACTCGTTGTGCTGCCACCACTCGTTGTGCTGCCACCACTCGTTGTGCTGCCACCACTCGTTGTGCTGCCACCACTCGTTGTGCTGCCACCACTCGTTGTGCTGCCACCACTCGTTGTGCTGCCACCACTCGTTGTGCTGCCACCACTCGTTGTGCTGCCACCACTCGTTGTGCTGCCACCACTCGTTGTGCTGCCACCACTCGTTGTGCTGCCACCACTCGTTGTGCTGCCACCACTCGTTGTGCTGCCACCACTCGTTGTGCTGCCACCACTCGTTGTGCTGCCACCACTCGTTGTGCTGCCACCACTCGTTGTGCTGCCACCACTCGTTGTGCTGCCACCACTCGTTGTGCTGCCACCACTCGTTGTGCTGCCACCACTCGTTGTGCTGCCACCACTCGTTGTGCTGCCACCACTCGTTGTGCTGCCACCACTCGTTGTGCTGCCACCACTCGTTGTGCTGCCACCACTCGTTGTGCTGCCACCACTCGTTGTGCTGCCACCACTCGTTGTGCTGCCACCACTCGTTGTGCTGCCACCACTCGTTGTGCTGCCACCACTCGTTGTGCTGCCACCACTCGTTGTGCTGCCACCACTCGTTGTGCTGCCACCACTCGTTGTGCTGCCACCACTCGTTGTGCTGCCACCACTCGTTGTGCTGCCACCACTCGTTGTGCTGCCACCACTCGTTGTGCTGCCACCACTCGTTGTGCTGCCACCACTCGTTGTGCTGCCACCACTCGTTGTGCTGCCACCACTCGTTGTGCTGCCACCACTCGTTGTGCTGCCACCACTCGTTGTGCTGCCACCACTCGTTGTGCTGCCACCACTCGTTGTGCTGCCACCACTCGTTGTGCTGCCACCACTCGTTGTGCTGCCACCACTCGTTGTGCTGCCACCACTCGTTGTGCTGCCACCACTCGTTGTGCTGCCACCACTCGTTGTGCTGCCACCACTCGTTGTGCTGCCACCACTCGTTGTGCTGCCACCACTCGTTGTGCTGCCACCACTCGTTGTGCTGCCACCACTCGTTGTGCTGCCACCACTCGTTGTGCTGCCACCACTCGTTGTGCTGCCACCACTCGTTGTGCTGCCACCACTCGTTGTGCTGCCACCACTCGTTGTGCTGCCACCACTCGTTGTGCTGCCACCACTCGTTGTGCTGCCACCACTCGTTGTGCTGCCACCACTCGTTGTGCTGCCACCACTCGTTGTGCTGCCACCACTCGTTGTGCTGCCACCACTCGTTGTGCTGCCACCACTCGTTGTGCTGCCACCACTCGTTGTGCTGCCACCACTCGTTGTGCTGCCACCACTCGTTGTGCTGCCACCACTCGTTGTGCTGCCACCACTCGTTGTGCTGCCACCACTCGTTGTGCTGCCACCACTCGTTGTGCTGCCACCACTCGTTGTGCTGCCACCACTCGTTGTGCTGCCACCACTCGTTGTGCTGCCACCACTCGTTGTGCTGCCACCACTCGTTGTGCTGCCACCACTCGTTGTGCTGCCACCACTCGTTGTGCTGCCACCACTCGTTGTGCTGCCACCACTCGTTGTGCTGCCACCACTCGTTGTGCTGCCACCACTCGTTGTGCTGCCACCACTCGTTGTGCTGCCACCACTCGTTGTGCTGCCACCACTCGTTGTGCTGCCACCACTCGTTGTGCTGCCACCACTCGTTGTGCTGCCACCACTCGTTGTGCTGCCACCACTCGTTGTGCTGCCACCACTCGTTGTGCTGCCACCACTCGTTGTGCTGCCACCACTCGTTGTGCTGCCACCACTCGTTGTGCTGCCACCACTCGTTGTGCTGCCACCACTCGTTGTGCTGCCACCACTCGTTGTGCTGCCACCACTCGTTGTGCTGCCACCACTCGTTGTGCTGCCACCACTCGTTGTGCTGCCACCACTCGTTGTGCTGCCACCACTCGTTGTGCTGCCACCACTCGTTGTGCTGCCACCACTCGTTGTGCTGCCACCACTCGTTGTGCTGCCACCACTCGTTGTGCTGCCACCACTCGTTGTGCTGCCACCACTCGTTGTGCTGCCACCACTCGTTGTGCTGCCACCACTCGTTGTGCTGCCACCACTCGTTGTGCTGCCACCACTCGTTGTGCTGCCACCACTCGTTGTGCTGCCACCACTCGTTGTGCTGCCACCACTCGTTGTGCTGCCACCACTCGTTGTGCTGCCACCACTCGTTGTGCTGCCACCACTCGTTGTGCTGCCACCACTCGTTGTGCTGCCACCACTCGTTGTGCTGCCACCACTCGTTGTGCTGCCACCACTCGTTGTGCTGCCACCACTCGTTGTGCTGCCACCACTCGTTGTGCTGCCACCACTCGTTGTGCTGCCACCACTCGTTGTGCTGCCACCACTCGTTGTGCTGCCACCACTCGTTGTGCTGCCACCACTCGTTGTGCTGCCACCACTCGTTGTGCTGCCACCACTCGTTGTGCTGCCACCACTCGTTGTGCTGCCACCACTCGTTGTGCTGCCACCACTCGTTGTGCTGCCACCACTCGTTGTGCTGCCACCACTCGTTGTGCTGCCACCACTCGTTGTGCTGCCACCACTCGTTGTGCTGCCACCACTCGTTGTGCTGCCACCACTCGTTGTGCTGCCACCACTCGTTGTGCTGCCACCACTCGTTGTGCTGCCACCACTCGTTGTGCTGCCACCACTCGTTGTGCTGCCACCACTCGTTGTGCTGCCACCACTCGTTGTGCTGCCACCACTCGTTGTGCTGCCACCACTCGTTGTGCTGCCACCACTCGTTGTGCTGCCACCACTCGTTGTGCTGCCACCACTCGTTGTGCTGCCACCACTCGTTGTGCTGCCACCACTCGTTGTGCTGCCACCACTCGTTGTGCTGCCACCACTCGTTGTGCTGCCACCACTCGTTGTGCTGCCACCACTCGTTGTGCTGCCACCACTCGTTGTGCTGCCACCACTCGTTGTGCTGCCACCACTCGTTGTGCTGCCACCACTCGTTGTGCTGCCACCACTCGTTGTGCTGCCACCACTCGTTGTGCTGCCACCACTCGTTGTGCTGCCACCACTCGTTGTGCTGCCACCACTCGTTGTGCTGCCACCACTCGTTGTGCTGCCACCACTCGTTGTGCTGCCACCACTCGTTGTGCTGCCACCACTCGTTGTGCTGCCACCACTCGTTGTGCTGCCACCACTCGTTGTGCTGCCACCACTCGTTGTGCTGCCACCACTCGTTGTGCTGCCACCACTCGTTGTGCTGCCACCACTCGTTGTGCTGCCACCACTCGTTGTGCTGCCACCACTCGTTGTGCTGCCACCACTCGTTGTGCTGCCACCACTCGTTGTGCTGCCACCACTCGTTGTGCTGCCACCACTCGTTGTGCTGCCACCACTCGTTGTGCTGCCACCACTCGTTGTGCTGCCACCACTCGTTGTGCTGCCACCACTCGTTGTGCTGCCACCACTCGTTGTGCTGCCACCACTCGTTGTGCTGCCACCACTCGTTGTGCTGCCACCACTCGTTGTGCTGCCACCACTCGTTGTGCTGCCACCACTCGTTGTGCTGCCACCACTCGTTGTGCTGCCACCACTCGTTGTGCTGCCACCACTCGTTGTGCTGCCACCACTCGTTGTGCTGCCACCACTCGTTGTGCTGCCACCACTCGTTGTGCTGCCACCACTCGTTGTGCTGCCACCACTCGTTGTGCTGCCACCACTCGTTGTGCTGCCACCACTCGTTGTGCTGCCACCACTCGTTGTGCTGCCACCACTCGTTGTGCTGCCACCACTCGTTGTGCTGCCACCACTCGTTGTGCTGCCACCACTCGTTGTGCTGCCACCACTCGTTGTGCTGCCACCACTCGTTGTGCTGCCACCACTCGTTGTGCTGCCACCACTCGTTGTGCTGCCACCACTCGTTGTGCTGCCACCACTCGTTGTGCTGCCACCACTCGTTGTGCTGCCACCACTCGTTGTGCTGCCACCACTCGTTGTGCTGCCACCACTCGTTGTGCTGCCACCACTCGTTGTGCTGCCACCACTCGTTGTGCTGCCACCACTCGTTGTGCTGCCACCACTCGTTGTGCTGCCACCACTCGTTGTGCTGCCACCACTCGTTGTGCTGCCACCACTCGTTGTGCTGCCACCACTCGTTGTGCTGCCACCACTCGTTGTGCTGCCACCACTCGTTGTGCTGCCACCACTCGTTGTGCTGCCACCACTCGTTGTGCTGCCACCACTCGTTGTGCTGCCACCACTCGTTGTGCTGCCACCACTCGTTGTGCTGCCACCACTCGTTGTGCTGCCACCACTCGTTGTGCTGCCACCACTCGTTGTGCTGCCACCACTCGTTGTGCTGCCACCACTCGTTGTGCTGCCACCACTCGTTGTGCTGCCACCACTCGTTGTGCTGCCACCACTCGTTGTGCTGCCACCACTCGTTGTGCTGCCACCACTCGTTGTGCTGCCACCACTCGTTGTGCTGCCACCACTCGTTGTGCTGCCACCACTCGTTGTGCTGCCACCACTCGTTGTGCTGCCACCACTCGTTGTGCTGCCACCACTCGTTGTGCTGCCACCACTCGTTGTGCTGCCACCACTCGTTGTGCTGCCACCACTCGTTGTGCTGCCACCACTCGTTGTGCTGCCACCACTCGTTGTGCTGCCACCACTCGTTGTGCTGCCACCACTCGTTGTGCTGCCACCACTCGTTGTGCTGCCACCACTCGTTGTGCTGCCACCACTCGTTGTGCTGCCACCACTCGTTGTGCTGCCACCACTCGTTGTGCTGCCACCACTCGTTGTGCTGCCACCACTCGTTGTGCTGCCACCACTCGTTGTGCTGCCACCACTCGTTGTGCTGCCACCACTCGTTGTGCTGCCACCACTCGTTGTGCTGCCACCACTCGTTGTGCTGCCACCACTCGTTGTGCTGCCACCACTCGTTGTGCTGCCACCACTCGTTGTGCTGCCACCACTCGTTGTGCTGCCACCACTCGTTGTGCTGCCACCACTCGTTGTGCTGCCACCACTCGTTGTGCTGCCACCACTCGTTGTGCTGCCACCACTCGTTGTGCTGCCACCACTCGTTGTGCTGCCACCACTCGTTGTGCTGCCACCACTCGTTGTGCTGCCACCACTCGTTGTGCTGCCACCACTCGTTGTGCTGCCACCACTCGTTGTGCTGCCACCACTCGTTGTGCTGCCACCACTCGTTGTGCTGCCACCACTCGTTGTGCTGCCACCACTCGTTGTGCTGCCACCACTCGTTGTGCTGCCACCACTCGTTGTGCTGCCACCACTCGTTGTGCTGCCACCACTCGTTGTGCTGCCACCACTCGTTGTGCTGCCACCACTCGTTGTGCTGCCACCACTCGTTGTGCTGCCACCACTCGTTGTGCTGCCACCACTCGTTGTGCTGCCACCACTCGTTGTGCTGCCACCACTCGTTGTGCTGCCACCACTCGTTGTGCTGCCACCACTCGTTGTGCTGCCACCACTCGTTGTGCTGCCACCACTCGTTGTGCTGCCACCACTCGTTGTGCTGCCACCACTCGTTGTGCTGCCACCACTCGTTGTGCCGCCACCACTCCTTGTGCCGCCACCACTCGTTGTGCTGCCACCACTCGTTGTGCTGCCACCACTCGTTGTGCTGCCACCACTCGTTGTGCTGCCACCACTCGTTGTGCTGCCACCACTCGTTGTGCTGCCACCACTCGTTGTGCTGCCACCACTCGTTGTGCTGCCACCACTCGTTGTGCTGCCACCACTCGTTGTGCTGCCACCACTCGTTGTGCTGCCACCACTCGTTGTGCTGCCACCACTCGTTGTGCTGCCACCACTCGTTGTGCTGCCACCACTCGTTGTGCTGCCACCACTCGTTGTGCTGCCACCACTCGTTGTGCTGCCACCACTCGTTGTGCTGCCACCACTCGTTGTGCTGCCACCACTCGTTGTGCTGCCACCACTCGTTGTGCTGCCACCACTCGTTGTGCTGCCACCACTCGTTGTGCTGCCACCACTCGTTGTGCTGCCACCACTCGTTGTGCTGCCACCACTCGTTGTGCTGCCACCACTCGTTGTGCTGCCACCACTCGTTGTGCTGCCACCACTCGTTGTGCTGCCACCACTCGTTGTGCTGCCACCACTCGTTGTGCTGCCACCACTCGTTGTGCTGCCACCACTCGTTGTGCTGCCACCACTCGTTGTGCTGCCACCACTCGTTGTGCTGCCACCACTCGTTGTGCTGCCACCACTCGTTGTGCTGCCACCACTCGTTGTGCTGCCACCACTCGTTGTGCTGCCACCACTCGTTGTGCTGCCACCACTCGTTGTGCTGCCACCACTCGTTGTGCTGCCACCACTCGTTGTGCTGCCACCACTCGTTGTGCTGCCACCACTCGTTGTGCTGCCACCACTCGTTGTGCTGCCACCACTCGTTGTGCCGCCACCACTCGTTGTGCCGCCACCACTCGTTGTGCCGCCACCACTCGTTGTGCCGCCACCTCTCGTTGTGCCGCCACCTTTAACTCGTTGTGCTGCCACCACTCGTTGTGCTGCCACCACTCGTTGTGCTGCCACCACTCGTTGTGCTGCCACCACTCGTTGTGCTGCCACCACTCGTTGTGCTGCCACCACTCGTTGTGCTGCCACCACTCGTTGTGCTGCCACCACTCGTTGTGCCGCCACCACTCGTTGTGCCGCCACCACTCGTTGTGCCACCACCGTCATCTTGGTCTCCCGAGCTCGTCGTCCCTGGAGTTTGCATACCTTTTTTTTGCACCGTGTGCAGTAGCCTTGCAGGAAACGGCTTCATGTGTTCCTTGCCAGACTTCTTTTGAGTTGACTCAAAAGTCAACCTGGAGTGTGCCTATCTTACTGTTGCACCGTGTGCAGTAGCCTTGCAGGAAACGGATTCGCAGGCTCCTTGCCAGACTTCTCGCTGTGGAAGGGAAGCTTTGAAACGCTGTAAGCTTCTTCCTCCCCCTCTCCTCCTCTCCAACCCCCCTTTCTTTCTTCTTCTTCCTGTCTCAAACCCCTCTTTTCTTTCCTGACAAATCTCTGTTCCTCCCATTGGCCATCTTTGTACTCAACATGCATGAATGCTGTTGCTCATGCAGGGCGCTAAGCCACAACAACTTCACAGGGCCCATTCCTGACTCCATCTCCACGCTCTCCACTCTGCAGGCCATGTCAGCCTCGTCTGCTGTTGTGCCCTCACCACATGCCATGCCCCTCACCACATGCCATGCCCCTCACCACATGCCATGCCCCTCACCACATGCCATGCCCCTCACCACATGCCATGGCCCTCACCACACCACATTCCCGTTACCTTCCCACCTGCATCTGCGGAGTGTAGTCTTCTCACCCAGAGTAGCTCAGGGAGAAAGCTGGCAGGGCCAGGCTAGCACCTAGCAGCAGCTGCTGCCTCATGTGCTCTGTGCTTGCAATGAATCATGTGCTCTGTGCTTGCAATGAATCATGCCCTCTGCCCTTGCCATGCCTCTGCAGCATCCTCGACAGCAACCAACTGACGGGGACCATTCCAGCTGCCATTTTCAACATGACGAATGTACAATCCATGTGAGTCTTACGTGCCCATGTAGTGATGGATTTTGGGTTTAAAGATGGGCCGTTGCACCTCATTTCCCCTACTGTGACCACGCTGCTTTCCTGTGTCAACCTGCGTTGCTCTCCCATATGCTGCTCTTGCTCACAGCAGTCGCTCCCCTCCATGCTTTCATCCATACCCCCCTCCATACTCCCCTCCGTCCCCCCCTCTATACCCCCCTCCCCCCTCTCCAAGCTCCCCTATATGCGCCCCTCCATCCTCCCCTCCATGCTCCCATCCATGCTCCCCTCCATGCTCCCCTCCATGCTCCCCTCCATGCTCCCCTCCATGTTCCCCTCTATGCTCTGCAGCTACCTGGCCAACAACCGTCTGAGCGGCAGTCTGCCGTCTGCCATCAGTCGCTTAAGAAATCTCCAACAGATGTGAGGGCCCTCCCTGCCTGCCCTCCCTGCCTGCCCTCCCTGCCTGCCCTCCCTGCCTGCCCTCCCTGCCTGCCCTCCCTGCCTGCCCTCCCTGCCTGCCCTCCCTGCCTGCCCTCCCTGCCTACCCTCTCAAGCAGTGAGGGGGAGCGTGTTGCGCAGCAGGGGAGGCAAGGCGATGTGCATGGCAGCGAACTGAGGCATGGAGGCAAGCAAGGGCATGGGGCAGCCAGTGCAGGCAGGCTTGGCGTTGCCTCAGTGTAGCAGCTCCTCTCCACTCCCCTGTTGTTGCTTCCCACCACCCGATGATCTTAATTTTCCTCCTCATGCCCACATGCGTGCCAAGCTGTACGCCTTGCCGAACCCACCCATGTTGTGTGCCTTCTCTACTTTCCCCACTACACTCTGATGCTCTTGTGCCCCTGCTTCTGCCCCTGCTTCTGCCCCTGCTTCTGCCCCCTGCCTGCCCCCCGTAGCTGGCTGGACAACAACAGCATCGAGGGCCCTCTGCCATCCGCCATCTGCTCGTTGCCCTGGCTGTGGCGCATGTGAGTGGCTGTGGCGCATGTGAGTGGCTGTGGCGCATGTGAGTGGCTGTGGCGCATGTGAGTGGCTGTGGCGCATGTGAGTGGCTGTGGCGCATGTGAGTGGCTGTGGCGCATGTGAGTGGCTGTGGCGCATGTGAGTGGCTGTGGCGCATGTGAGTGGCTGTGGCGCATGTGAGTGGCTGTGGCGCATGTGAGTGGCTGTGGCGCATGTGAGTGGCTGTGGCGCATGTGAGTGGCTGTGGCGCATGTGAGTGGCTGTGGCGCATGTGAGTGGCTGTGGCGCATGTGAGTGGCTGTGGCGCATGTGAGTGGCTGTGGCGCATGTGAGTGGCTGTGGCGCATGTGAGTGGCTGTGGCGCATGTGAGTGGCTGTGGCGCATGTGAGTGGCTGTGGCGCATGTGAGTGGCTGTGGCGCATGTGAGTGGCTGGCAGATGTTTCTTGGAGTGGCACGGGGATGTTCAGGCATCGGCATTGTGGTCTAGTGCAAGCAAGCCCCGTGTTCATGAGGCACCCCTTGTGTACCTGATTTCTACCAGAAGCAGCTGTTCAGAGCAGCAGCTCTGGTGGAATATGAGAGGCTCGAGAAAGGCACGGCTGGGTAACGTTGACAAGAGCGAGAGCCTGGCAAGCAGTGCTAAGCTTGCTCGAACGGTATGCATGGAGGTGAGGTGACACGTGCACTGAGTAAGACTGCCACACAAGCAAGATAGACAATTTGACGCTCGTATGAGTTGCTTGGCACCAACCACTGCAAGCAAGTAGCATGCCCATCCATCCAGGTGGCGCAAGTGTGCGTCACATCTTATCTTGTATCTACTTATATTACTTATATTTCTCCTCTTGCTTATCTTGGCTTAACTTTGCTTCTCGTCCAGTCTTTCAGTCGTTCTATGCGGTTCCGTATGGTGTGACTCATGGTGGTGCATGCATGGCATGGGATGGCATGGCATGGCATGGCATGGCATGGCATGGCATGGGATGGCATGGCATGGCATGGCATGGCATGGCATGGCATGGCATGGGATGGCATGGCATGGGATGGCATGGCATGGCATGGCATGGCATGGCATGGGATGGCATGGCATGGGATGGCATGGCATGGGATGGCATGGCATGGCATGGGTTGTCATGCCAGCATGGTGAGCAACAACCATCTCTACGGGCCTCTGCCAGACTGCCTCTTCGACAAATGCATCAACCAGATGTGAGCCCACCTGGATACTTCATCCATTCCCGCTACCAAACAGTGCTGCGAGGCATGCTGCTCACTGCTGCCAGTGCAGTCAGGTGCAACGAGTGGTTAGTGGCATGCATTTGGCGCGCTGCTGAGTATCAGGTGGGGCTTTCAGCTCGCTCTAGCGAACCATTCGTTCCCTCTCGTCCGTCCTCTGCGCCACCTGCAGCGATGTAAGCAACAACAGTCTGTACGGGCATGTGAACCGCAACTTCAACAGCATGGTGGTGGACGGCGAGGCGCTCATCAACTTTGTTCACTGATAAAAAAGCCAAGCACCAACCTTTGTCACCCCCCTTTTGAGGCGCCTCAAAAGTCCTCAAAAGGCGCCTCAAAAGTCGTCGCATGGTGGTGGACGGCGAGGCGCTCATCAACTTTGTTCACTGATAAAAAAGTCAAGCACCAACCTTTGTCACCCCCCACCCCCCACCCTGCTCCCTGCAGCGATGTGAGCAACAACAGCCTGTACGGGCGTGTGAGCCGCAACTTCAGGAGCATGGTAGCAAACAGCGACGCGCTCATCAACCTCGCACACAACTTCTTCTACGGCGACGCCGTGCTCTTTGCCGCGGGCTGCCAGGTGTGCCCCGAGGAGATCACCCAGCGCAACCAGCTTCTGCCAGACGACAGCAGCGTGGCGCTAGCAGGGAAGTGCAGTGACGCCGGCTACTCTGGCCAGCGTGACTACTCAGTGGCGGGGGCAGGCAAGGGCGCCCGGGGGAGTCTCGCAGGCAACTGTTTGACCATCAATCGGGAGGTCAATTGCCCGTCCAATGCGACTCAGCGCAGCACGGCAGCCTGCCAGGCGTTCTGCAGCATCACGGACAACGGCCCGTGTGACGGCCATGGCGCGTGCGTGCCGCCTGCACCGGCCTCCCAGCCCAACTTCACGTGCGCGTGCGATGCCGGGTACTCTCCAGTGGACGTGGGTAACGGCTCTACTTGCGCCATCGTCAATGCCACCACAACCAACTGTGAGGCACCCCCTCACACCTGCACAGCCCCCTCACACCTGCACAGCCCCCTCTGGAGCCCATGCAGCCCACGCTGTGCTCACATCACATGTCTCTCTCTGCAGGCCGTCACATAGCACGTCTTCAACTCCATCTCCTCCACTCCCCCCCTCTTTTCCCCGGCTGCCGCTGCTCCCCCCTTGGCAGTGCCGTCGCTGTCAACAGGAGCCATTGTGGGCATTGCTGTGGGTTGCTTTGCCGGGTTCACTCTGCTCACTGCTGTGCTCGCCTGGCTACTGCGGCCCCGTGGACAGAGTAAGACCGCCAACACTGCTCCCATGTCATCCCTCCCATTCTTGCACCTCTTTCCCGGTTGCCCTGCACCTTCTCCGTGCCACCATTCCTGCACTACACCCCATCCTCCCTGCCGCCCCCACCTCTGCACCCCTACTCTGCCCACTCGCTCAAGCCGTTGCTGAATGCGCGTTGCTGCATGGCCTTGCACCATGCACCCCACCTCACCATGCTCTGTGGGTGCGTAGGGAAATGGAAAGGGCTGGACGTGTGCGAGCAGTTCTCCCTGGAGCAGCTTGTGAAGGCCACAGACAACTGGGCGAGTGACAACGTGCTGGGGAAGGGCGGGTTTGCCACCGTGTACAAGGGGTGCTCGCCGCAGGGGCAGCTGTGGGCAGTGAAGCGCTCCACTGTCATGACCAACGACTTTGAGACCGAGGTCAGCCTCTGCCTTGCAGTGCTGTGACTGACTGTACCATGGCACTTCTCTCACGATGCAGGCACAGCACCGCGGCACTGCAGGTCCAACGTGCTCTTTGAAAAGCTCAGCGGCTTCTGCTGTACTGGAAGCAAGCAAGCGCTGTCGGACCCTGCAACTCGCGTTCTGTCTTCCCTTACCACTTTGTGCTTTGCGGCGCATGCAGGTGCGTGCCATGGCATCGCTGCACCATGTGAATCTGGTGCGCCTGCTGGGCTTCTGCCAGGATCTGAACGTGGAGACGGGCAAGCAGGAGCAGATCCTCGTGTATGAGTTTGTGGCCAACGGGGACCTGCACCACCACATCTACAAGTCCGAGAGTCAGTTGCCCTTGCACCAACTCACCAAGTTGCTACCCATGTGTGCTTTAGCAAAGAATTTCATAAGTTGCTAGAATGCAAAAAAACACACTTTATGTCTGCCTCTCGTGGTCTCGCTTCCAGACCCTCTCTCGTTGCGCCAAAGGCTGCGCCTGGCGCAAGGAGCAGCGGAGGGCCTGGCGTACCTGCATGGGTTTGCGACGCCCATCCTCCACCGCGACATCAAGCCAGCCAACATCCTCGTGACACCCGACATGCACGCCAAGGTCGCGGACTTTGGGCTGCTCAAGCTGCTCACTCATGGCGATGCTGATGCCACTAGAGTGGCAGGCACGCCTGGCTATGTGGATCCAGACTACAACCGCTCCAACGTCATCACGTCCAAGAGCGATGTCTTCAGGTGCGCATGAGTTTGTTCCCTGGCACGGCTGCGTTGTGAGATGTTTCAATAATCACGCCCGGCTATGTGGATCCTGACTACAACCGCTCCAACGTCAGCACTGCCAAGAGCTATGCCTTCAGGTGCGCGTGGATGGATGGCGCTCTGCCAATTCACAAGATACTGGAACACGCTGATGCCTTTGACGTGTCTGAAATATAGCTTCCGCAGGAAAGTCTGTGCTGCTGGTCGTCGTTTTCTCCAGCCATTTCCATGTCTCCCTGTGCGTCTGCTTGCAGCTTCGGCATTGTGCTCCTGGAGTTGCTGAGTGGAACTCCACCCACCTTTCACGGTGCAACCCATATTAAGGAATGGGTATGCCTATGCTAGGTTCGATCGTGGCACTGCCCCTTGCACCACATTTTCTCTCTACTATGCTATATCGCACCTACAATGCCTCCTTGCTCCTTTTCTTTTTACTGCACTAGCTCGCGGTGAGGTATGCTATTCCCTATTTATTATGCCCTTTCGCTCTACCATTGGTTCAGGCGCGGCAGAGGGTGGATGCATATGGGTTTGACGAGCTCAAGGACAGCAAACTGGAGGCCAGTGAGGAGACTGTGGTGGACTTTGCTGACCTGGCGCTGGACTGCACGAAGGCGCCGGGCACACGCCGCCCCGACATGAAGGACGTGGCATACCGCCTGCGTACCCTCATTGACAAGCACTGCCCTGTCAAGGAGGAAGAGTGGGAGTTTGGTAGAGAAGAGAGTGTAAGCACCGGAGGGGAGCCATCTGCCACGACGACCTATTCTGCTGTCGGGAGCTCGTTGTTCAGCCCGGGACACATGACATGACCACTTTGGATAATATACTGTATTCTCCCGGATACAAGCCACATAATTCATTTGCCCCGGGGCTTAACATGACGAAAAGAGGCGATAGAGGTACAGGCCTATGATTGGCGCATAATTATATTTGCTCCTCGATTTGTGTGCAAGGTTCAGTTTTCAGTTTTTTATATAACTGCTTTTAAACATTGTAATTTCATTTTAGTCAAGGGTAAGAACACCAAGAAATACCGCAATTCACTAAGGGCGTGTTCCTACGCCTCGTATCAAACGAACCCCATATAAGGCTCCCACTGGAAATTCCCCTAAACCCAAAATCCCTAGCTAGTTTTACCAGGCAAGTCTGATATGAGGTTGCCTGATACGAGGCGTAGTAACACGCCCTGAATTGCATGGATGGAGATTGGGAGGCTCCTAAAGCTACCTAAAAATTGCATAACATGCAATCTTCTTAGCAGTGGCAGGCAGTAGCATAATCAGCATCATCCTTGTCATCTGACTCGGGCTTGGTGTTGCTGAAAAAGTTGTCAGCAGCCATGTTGTTAGTGACTTGAACTTCTCCAGGGAAGCTGCATCTCCTATGCACCATGCAAAGATGGTCTTATGAGCCGTCCACAGCGTTGATTTTCCCGCAGATGAGGAAGGCCTTCAAGACCAGGGAGGTAGGCACCGCTTTCAAAACCTTGGGAATCCACCTGGGCGTCTGCTAGGTGGAAGCATCTTAAAGTTACCTGCCAATGGTTGTGGGAAGCGTATATGGTTGTTTGAAGCGCATACGGTACATAAACAGTAAGTGCATGGCAAAAGAAACAACAAACCAAGGATTCAAGGAGCGTACATTTGGTTATCAGTCAGTAGAGGCCTTCTGACCCGAACCGCTGTTGATATTGCTAGAGCACGCTGGCACACGTCCAGATTTTGCGGCTCCCTCGTGCAGCCTCCTAGGATCACTATCCGCAAAATATACCTTCACCTTCGCCGTAAGGTGACTGTGTAAGGAATCGAGGACGAGCATGGCGTCCTGCATGAGTTTGGGTTAAACGTATGGCTTGGCACACTCTTCGATCCACCGTTTCACTTTGTCTTACGATACACTCTTCGATCCACCGTTTCACTTTGTCTTACGATACACTCTTCGATCCACCACATACCTCCATCCATTGCGATGGACCGCAACGACGACATCTGCATAGTGCAACCTGTGTTGTGAGCTTAGTGTAAACATCACAAGCATAACAACACATGCCAACATATTCAGGCACATGAAGGGAAATTTACAATTTGAACTTGGGTCGCGCTTGAAAAAAACATAGGTTTGAGTATCTTGCTGCTCGCTGTGTTGTGAAAACATAGGTGTCACGCGTTCGTTCTTATATCTACCACTCCTGATTGGTACCATCTCGCGCCGACTTGTTTCACAGTATGGTCCGCATGCATCTCAAGCCAAAGAATTGCCTTCTCTCGTTGATGATCTAACGCGGGTCGGTTTCGTGCACGCGGCGGTTGTGGCGTACAAAACGCCAAAAGACTTGCACATGCTCCTCACAATCTTCATTACATGAAGGAAATCAGTTTGTAAAAAACGCAACATCAAATCACGCAACTTCTGACACTGACCAGGTCGACCTGTCTCGTTCTCCATCACTAGAGTGAGATTTTCAATTTGCGACGGGCCGGCGTACTTCAGGGCCGACGCAAGCGCGTTGATTACCGCTGAACGAGGGCATTAAAACTGCTGATGTGCATTCGGTGTCTCATAGACAAGTATGTCAACAGCTTTCTTTGCTGCGGCCTGCATGCTCGCAATGGTGCAGGGAAACGAAATGTTGGGAGAGGTTTATGTGCTTAGACACAAAGGGAAATGACTTGCTTAGTCAGAGGGGGTGAATGCACCGCATTCCACAGCCTTGAGAGCGGTATAAGGCTTGTCTTGGTGGAATTGGTGCAACGAGGAGGTCTGCAAAGGGGGGAGAGAGAGGCGGTGCCAATGGGAGGGGGAGGGGATTAGGCACGCGGGCATAAATTCGCTGTTGCAGTGCTGCTGAGTGTGTTGCATCACACCGCCACGAGCAGGAGAGTACGGCGGGTCTTGGGGTACGGGTGGCCCAAGCGCGCCTGCAAAGGGAGGAGAGAGCGGCGGTACAAAAGGGAAGGGGAGGAGATTAGGCACGAGGGCAGAGATTTGCTGCTGCAGTGCTGCTGAGTGTGTTGCATCACACCGCCACGAGCAGGAGGGTAAGGCGGGTCTTGGGGGTTCGGGTGTACCAAGCGCGCCTGCAAAGGGAGGAGAGAGAGCACGGACCAGGGGAGGGGGTTTGGGCACATTGTCACGGGGTCAATCGGCATGATTTAGTACTGTGAGCACGGTAGACTTAACATACAAATGGCATACGAAGTACGAGGGCTTGGGACGGAAACCGTTTGAAAGTGATCAAGGTGCGAAATGTGACAATGAGGATTTCGGGCCCTACCGTGAACCTGTTGTGCTTCGCTGGAATAGAGGCCAAAGCCGCCGCATAACAGTGCGCCCATGACCGTTGCATGTGAGTCAGTTGATGCAAGTCGAGTGTGGCTCCATTGCTTGAACCAGTGTAAAGAAGGTCGTCGAAGTAGGCCGTGAGTAGGATGTATTCGCCGCGAAAATCACGGCGGTACATCCCCGGGTCGTGAGGCAGCTGCTTGAACCCAATTTCAAGCAGGATGTTGTGCAGGTACTGCTTCCAGAGCCTTGGCGCCTGTTTGATTCCGTAAAGAGATTTTCGCAGCTGGCAAACACGCGAATCTCCTTTGCCATTGTGTGCGGGAGCATCGATGTGTCGGCTTTGGTCCCGGTCCACTTCACATGCGGAGACGAGTTATCGGTGATGGCGGTGGTTGACAGCAGGTTGTGCACCCGCACAGCGTGGTGCATCGCGTAAGTCCAGTAGATCGGCGGCAGCTTCGATTGCTTCATCAGCGCCCGCACCTTCGTCATGAGCGTGCGGTTCGTCCGCTCGGCTACGCCCTGCTGCTGGTGTGCGTAGGGGAGAGAAATGTGGTGCTCGATCCCCTTTTGCACCAGAAAGTCCTGCAGCTCCTTGCTCCTGAATTCCGCTATCGCCGTCTGACTGCCAGATCTTCAGTGTCTCCCCAGATTGCTGTTGCGCGTACGCCAGCCAGAGGCGGAACACTTCGTACGCTCTGCTGCGCACTTCTACGTTTACTGTCAGAATATTATGCTCTAGCTTGTAGTGGGGTGCTCTATAGCGAGTACAACCCTTCTAGGGTTTGCTATTTGTATCCCCATTCTTGCTAGTGCAACCCCTCCTTTGTTCATTTCTTACTTGCCTAGCTAGGTCAACCCTAGCTATGGCTTCTCACTGTCCTTACTATCTTGACATGCTATCAGAGCGGTTACGCTCCTGGCCTGTGGGCCCGCCTGCTTCCGCTGCCTTCCTGTGTGTCGCGCGTCCCGTGACGCGCGATGTTTGTTTTTTTCTTCCCGCCGCGCGCTCGGGGCGCGCGGCGGTTTTCTGCCCGCCGTGGCCCCGAGGCGCGCGGCGGTTTCCTCCCTCGTGCGTCACCCCGGGGACCCGCGCTTCCCCCCCTCCCGTCGACCGCCCCGTCGCCCGTCGAAGCGCCCCCCGTCGCCCGTCACGGAGCCCGCGGACCCGCGCGTCGCCCCCCGTCGCCCGACGCGGCCCGCGCGACCTGCGCCAGGCCCGCGCGCGGCCCGTACGGGCTGCGCCAGGCCCGCGCGCGGCCCGTACGGGCTGCGCCAGGCCCGCGCGCGGCCCGTACGGGCTGCGCCAGGCCCGCGCCCGGCCAGGGCAGCCTGCCCCAGGGCCGCGCGCCGTCCCCCGCGCCGTCCCCCGCGCTCCTGCCCCGTGCCACCCGTTTTAGGGTTTGGGGGTGGCGAGTGTGGGGGTGGCGGTTATGGGGGTGCAAGAGTGTGCGCCGTCCCCTGCTCCTCCTCCTCCTCCATCTCCCACTGCTGCAGCTGCCGCTGAGGGGGGTGGGTGTGTGGGGAGCCGAAGGAGTGGTGCTAGGGGGGTGACGTGGGAGTGGAGTTAGGGGTTGCAGCAGGGGGTGTGTGTTGGGGGGTGTGGGACAGTTGGAGGAGGTTGGGTGGAGGCAGCCGTCGTGTCGTCTGCAGCGCCTGTATTCCGGGGTTCTGATAGCCACCGGTAGCTCAGAGAGCCGGTTGCACCTGTCGCCCGTGGGTCCGTTGCTCCTGTCGCTGCTGATCAGACGCAGAGCCTGTTACTCCTGTATTCCGGGGCCCTTGCTCCCGGTAGCCACTAGAGCTGCACCAGAGCCGTCTGTTGCCCGTGTGTCTGCAGCTTCAGTCGTCGCCTCCACTCCTCTCTCCCCTCGCCAGCCCTCCTCCTCCTCACTTGCCCTCTGTGACTACCTCTAGCTTTGCTCATAATTGTGAACTTTAAACTATTGCTTCTTGAACTTGTGCTCAGAATGTGTGGTGACATTGTGATCCACCCTGAGCTTGTACTGCTTTGCTTGCTCTGCTGATTACACCCCACTTTGGCTATGGGGGTGTGTCAGAATATTATGCTCTAGCCTGTAGTGGGGTGCTCTATAGCGAGTACAACCCTTCTAGGGTTTGCTATTTGTATCCCCATTCTTGCTAGTGCAACCCCTCCTTTGTTCATTTCTTACTTGCCTAGCTAGGTCAACCCTAGCTATGGCTTCTCACTGTCCTTACTATCTTGACATTTACGACCCACACATAGCGCGTTCCAGCGTCGATGAAGGTGAGCGTGTACAGCTCGTCGTTGACTCCGCAATGCCCCATGTTCTGTACACTTTGTACATCTTGAGGTAGCGGATGGTTCCTGGTTTAAGCAGCGGGAACGGTTGGTGGCTCAAGGCTGCTTCGGGGCAGACGGTGCAGTTGCGGGGGTGTGTCGCGCTTCTCACTTCGGTGCCGTCAGGGCGTGGGAGTGCGCCAGGTGTGAAAACTCCTTCGTCGATGCAATTTCTCAGCGTCGCGCGTGAGGGATGTCAGAGCCGCTGGTGTCAGAGGTCATCGCTAGCGCGGCTTCCAGAGGTGCACATATAGCGCGCACGTGCTTCTTCGGGGTCTTCGTCAGGTACTGGGGCAGGTTCAGCTATTGCCTCTTCTGCTGCATCTTCTTCTTCGCTGTTGGCGGTAGTCAACATCAGTGCCAAGAATTCACTGTCGCAAATTTCGGAAAGAGGGATATTGGTCCCAAGGATGGCTCTGGGGACAAGTGTGGGTTCACGTGGTTCGAGGGCAGGTCCGTAGACGGTGCAACGCGGAGTCGATGGCTCATTGCCCTAATCAATGGTATCCCATGGGTCGCGGTGCGGCTGAATGTCAGGTAGAGGTAACGCGGGTGCAGTGCGGCGCGGGGGACGACCGAGGGGAACAATAGTAGAGTCAGCCTCTGTTCCTTCTCCTCCCTTTGTTCTTCGCGGGAAGTTCCCCATCCGCTGCCTTTGCCTCCAGATGCGGTGACTCAGCCGCTGCTTGTGTTGGCCCAGGTTCCTCCAGTGTTGCCCCATCCTCCAGTGTCGCTCGTTCCCCATCCGCCGACGCTTCCCCACCCCCCTTCATTGGAGGCGCTTTCTTCTTCTTCGGCGGCCCATGAGGCGCTTGCGAATGTGCCGCGTCCCTCAGCAAGGCGTTGTCGGCGAAGCTCCTTTCGCGGCACACCAATTCTTCTTCTTTCTCTACGGTAAGTTTCTTTGCAGGGTCGCGCCGATGGGAGTAGATCTCCATGAACTTCTTCTTTATGTAGGGTCGCAGCTCGCCATGTGCATCGAAAGCACCGACGCCAGTGCCGCGCAGCATGCCTTAGAGATGTTGCGATGCTGGTCCGATGAGGGGATGTTTTGGCGTGCCGAATACGCCGCGCGTGATGATTTCGAGCTCCAGTTGCGACATCCCTTCTTCTGGCAATGCATGTCGCTCTGCTTCAGCGATGGCGGCAATCGCGCTGGTTGACGCGGTGGGCGTGTGGCAGTCCATGCAGATGCCGTAGGGTCGGGGTCGTGCAGCGCTAGTTCGCGTGGGTGAGGGTGATGCGGCACCCACGGTCTTCCGTCAGGGTGTTTCCAGTCCCTGCGATGAATGTGCTCGAAGCGCAGTGGAACAAGGTCAATCAGCTCGTTCGAGTCGCCGCTGCAATCGGAAATGTCGAAATCCAGGATGTACACTCCATTTTCGGAGTGTGCTCTTCCGATATGCCTGCGAGAGATAATCGGCGATTCGTAGTGCAACAGGGTGTGCGTGTCTCGCGGTCCGTGCTAAGGTTAACGCAGTCCATGATCGTCCCTAGGATCGTCCATGATCAGAAATTGATCGTCCCTAAGATTACCTCGGCAAGGTTCGCGCACAATTGAATAGTGGTGGTGGGCCCTTGATCTCAATAGCAGAGTGAATGTAAAATGCCTTGAGATGTATTAAAACATGCAAATACAAAACGACTCAGCTAGCCATGTACTCTAAATGGTACATTCCCTTATTTAAATTCAAACCAACACTGCGACTCGACCAGTTACGAGGCTGTTCCCGCCAATTCCCTTGAACTTACAGCTGCTCGATTCTGTCTGGTCTGACGGTCCAGATCTATTCCAACTGTCAGCGTCGGTTCGAGTCAACTCTGACTCTGACTCTGACTCTGTCTGACTCTTTGTTGCCGACTTGATAATTGAAATGGAATGGTGTTACTGTAACATTGTTGAAAAAAAAAAAAAAGCAAAAGCAAAAGACATTGCAACCAAAGCGGAAAAAAAAACCGTCTGCATCTTGGGATTTAACACTAAAGGGAAGTGTTTATACAACATCGATACAAAACCAAAACAAAACTTGATGTGCGGTTAAAACCGAAATGCAAAATAGTGAACCCGGGGCCAGCTTGAAAGAGGGCCTGCCGAGCGAAACATTTTTTTCTCGTTTTCACTGTTTCATTGGGAGCATTTGTGCAGATCGAACACACCTGATTGGTTCCCGCCAAACCAAAAAAAGGCAACACAGCACGTCAAACGTCGCACATCTGTGTGGAAAGTTGCACAACACTAACTCTGCGATCGCTCATGCACGTCCTTGCGATTTTGGGCCCAGCTTGGGGTTCAAGTTGGGCCTGGGTGAACTACTAGTTTTTCCGATCATTCATCTCTGTGTTTTAGTTATAACTAGCCACCCTAGCTGCTGCTGAACCATCAACTTAGGCCGGTGTTGTTTCAATTTAGACGCATAGTGAACCTCTCAGGGTTGTGTAGTACTCTGTGCCGTTTCGAACGCCCTCTCGCCGCCTTCCCATAGCATCTCGCTCGCCCTCCCGTTCCGATCGTCCTCACGTCGTTCCGTCCGTCGCCGTCCCGTCGTCTTCCCGTCGCCGTCCCGTCGCCGTCCCGTCGCCCTCCTGTCGTCGCCCCGTCCCTCTCTCGTCACCCTCGTAATGCCCCTGTTTGTCCCATCGCCATCTCCATTACCCCTCTCCTCCAATCACCCTCGCGATGTTCCCACCTACCCAGTCGTCCATCGCGTTCCTACGTCGCCACGTCACTCTGCCTCTCACATTCGCTCTCCCTTTCACCGTCGCTGCAGGTGTCACCCTTCCGCTCTCCCTTCCTATCACCCACCTCGTCGGCTACTATACCTCCCTTTGCAGCCCGTCCCCTCGCTATATCGCTGCCATTCGCCTCGCCATCTCCCTTCGCTGCTCGTCACCTCGCTTCGCTACATCCTTTCACTTCCTTTTTCACAAGTTAATGTACGGTATTGAACCCTCGGGTCGTCCTCGCGATCTTCCCTTCCACCCCGTCGTTCTTCCGCTGTCCGCTCCTCTCACCATCTCCCCTCCCTTACCGTCAGTCTCACGATCGCGATTCCCTCCCCCCCGTCGTTCGTCCCTCCTCCCTCCGTCGTTATTCCTCTCTCCGTTCCCCTCCGCCGTTTTTCCTCTCTCCGCTACCCTCAGTCGTTTTCCCTTTCTCCGCTCCGTTCGTCGTTTTTCCTCTCTCCGCTCCACTTCGTCGTTTTCCCTCTCTCCGCTCCCCTCCGTCGTTTTCCCTCTCTCCGCTACCCTCCGTCGTTCTTCCTCTCTCCGCTCCCCTCCATCGTTCTATGCCTCCCCGCTCCCCTTCCGTCGTTTTTCCTCTCTCCTCCCATATCATCGTTCTTCCTCTCTCTCCTACCCTCCCGTCGTTCTTCCTCTCTCCCCCCCAATCCCATTCATCCCAGACGTTCCCTTCCCAATGACACTTTTTTCTCTCTGTTCGCGTCACTTCGTGGCATGTGTCATTTTCCCCCAGCGTTCATTTTTCAGGGCTTCCCGGTCTTTCAGGCCCCATGTCTATGGCTAAGCTGGTCTCACAGCTCGGCTGCTCTCTACACACGCCACACACTCTTGTGGCATGTGCTTCTAAATCTGCTCTGCTGTGTTGCTCTGCGAATGTGGTGATGGTACGACATTTCCAGGGTGTGATGCATTGATTTTTGCGCAACCTTGCGCCAAATTCGCGCATCTATGTGCGACAAGTTTACCACCAATCAGCACTGTTAAAAAAGAAACCATCGTTCGCCGCTGAAAGAAAAAACACAAAGCACTTCCAACCTAACAAAAACTTCACAAGTGAAAGGAGAATTCTAGTTGGACCCAACTAGAAGGGGGGGGTCACTATTTTAGCTGCTGGCTTTAATGTATCCACCTTGAAACGCAATACTTGATATTTACAGATATGCACACATAAAATCAATTACTTCTAATTACAAACAAGTCAATAAGGAGGACTATCTCCTCAGAATCGGGAGATCTGTCGTAGGCCGGCAGGTCCCTGGCTGACGGAAACGTTCACCAAACAAGGACCCCTTGTCCAGGCCTGGGGAGAAGCGAGAATAACGCTTCTGATAGGCTGACGTAGCTCGACAAATCGGGTTCTTTCGACCGTCAACAGGTGGGGAAACGAACCAGCTGGAAATCTGCGTGAAAGTTGCGCCATTCAAAAAACCTAACTTATGTCAAGCATATGTCGATACCAGGGGGAGTGAAAGGTGACTTCTCGAAACCTACTAAATCCACCACCTCATTTTTGGGATGTCACCCTTGCCCAGGGTGGTTGCTACCACTACTGCCAGCAGTGCTGCCTCAGTTCTCAGGCTGTGTAGTCCGGTTATCCTTCCTCACCGACACTGTTAGCAAAGGATCAGTAGCAACCAATTAATTGGCCGGCTCTGGCAACCGCCGCGGTTCCGGCCTCGATGCGGCGGAGCAGCGCCATGCGGCGCTCCACCCTCTGCCTCAGCTCGCCTCCAGCGGCGGCGGCAAGCCTCGAGGGAATGGCGCGAGAGCGGCGGGTGCAGCGCGCGCTGTCACTCGCATGCTGCCTCGTCACCCTTCAACTCGTCTCGACCGTGGTCCACGCTCAGCCGCTCCAGGCCTCGCAAGGTAGCGCCGCTCAGGGCGCCCTGCGATTCATCATGATGGCGCGAGGACTAGCAACGGCCGCATCGGCCTTTGCATAACAACTTGCTTGCCATCGCGCTCTTCCCCTCCGACACACCAGCGCATCCACGAATCGCCGTTTCCTCCTCACCTCCGCCACCCTCCAACACTTCTTCCACCCTTCTCCCCACCCCCTCCCCCCCTCCACCAACCCGCAGTGCAATTCCTGCAGGACTGCCAGACGGTATGGGGTCAGACGTTTCCTGGGTGGGGCGACTCCAATCCTGACTGCAGCAGTGCAGAGGGCGTCACATGCGACAGCAGCGGGATGATCAGTGCGATGTGAGCTTCGACCTGCACTCGTGATTCGCGTGCAGGGCTTGCACGAAGCACCCCACCGATTCGGACTGGCTTTGGGACGAACCGACTTCTTCCTTTTTGCTCGACGGGGCGAGCCGCGACTCGTCCCTTTTGCCATCTCTAGTAGTGTTGGCCACTCTGAGGCCATTTCAACTCAGTGCCATCTCTAGGCCTTACCACTCTTTCAAGCGCCTCTTGATGACTAGTGGTACTATCCACTGCGGGGTACCATCTTGCATTTACGGGGCATGTTTGGGTGCATTCGGATGCAGGGGAGTATCGAACCTCAATCTGAAAGGGTCCATTCCTGACTCCATCAGCAACCTCCGAAAGATCTCTTTGCTGTACGTCCCCATTCGTTTGGCACGCGAAGCTGTGGGTCTGAGGAGTGGAAGGGCGGATAAGAGGTGCGGGAAGAGGGGGAGAGGGGGCTTGAGGGTGCAGTGCGTATTAAGGATTCCTTACAAGCTCCAAGTACGAACTGCCTCCTGTCTAACCCTCCCTCACCCCCTGCTCCCTCTTCCATCTGCTTCCCTCCTCCTTCCAACACCATTCCCCATCCCCCTGTACATCTTCAGTGCGTTTGCGTCTCCAGTGTTGTCGAAATTCCACCACCTCACTCCTCACTCCGTTGTCCTCATGATTTCTCACTTCATCCTCTCACTCCTTCCGTATCCTTCTGTCGCTATCCCGTCTCCACCTCTCTTTTCCCCTCGCTTATGCACTCTTCACCACTCACGCATTTGGGCACAAGAGAGCACCTGTTTCCTCACTTATCCTGCCCCCCGCCTATCCCCAACCATTGCCTGCACACATTCCAGGGACAATGTCCATCGCACTGCTATCATGCTTTTGTTGCCTTTTCTAGATTTCGCATAACTTCCTATCTGCTACTCATCTCCATGCAGACTCGAGCTCCCTGTATCTACCTTCCCTACGACATGCCCATCCGCGTTTATTGTCGCAGGGATGTTTCGTGGAATAAGCTCAGTGGCTCAATCCCAACTGAAATTGGCGTCCTTACAAACCTTCAAAGCTTGTAAGGTCCTTTCGTTGTTTTGCTCTCTTCTGTGATTCTCCTCTCAACCGTTTCTCCACCTCTTGATGCTAGGCCAGACCCTTGCCTGTCGGTTGAAAGGGGAGAGTGGTGCTTCACTTTGAGTCCAGAGCCTGCGATTCAAGTCCCTACCCCGTTGGACTCAGATTCTGGGCGGTTGACGATCATTTGCTCATTCAGGTTTGCATCACCTCCTACCTACTGCTTGGTCGTTTCTATGCAGATTAAGCTCATTGTATGGCACGCCTTGGGGCACACAAAGGGTTTCTCTCTCCATTTCTCCTTCCCCCAGCTATCCCCTGCCACTGTCTGCACACACCCAGCTGGCAATATCCACTGCGCTGCCTTCCATGTTTCTTTTTCTTACTAAGGATATCAGATAACCCCCTTTCTACTGCTTGCTCGTTTCCATGCAAACGTTAGCTCCTTGTATGTACCGCATGTTCATGTTTTCTGTCCCACAGATGGCTTAATGAAAACCAGCTCAGTGGTTCAATCCCTGCTGCGATTGGCAACCTTACGAAGCTGAGTATTTTGTAAGGCATCTCTGCTGTGTTGGATACTGCATTCTCTGCCCCATCATCCCAACTCTTTCTCCTCTTGCTTCTTCTATCGCTGCTCTTTGCTGGACCGCTCCAGTTAACCCTCTGTCTAGGCTATTGCCGACTTATGATTCGATGGTGTGGAATGCACACAACTGCAGTGTCTGCGGACATGCACATATGGCAAACCGAGTCTTGCTTAGGCATGAGCAAAGCAAATGACCAAATCGTACTAGATTCATCAGACCGGTTTGGTACCGAACTGAACCAGTTTATAACGAACCAGGCGGGGATTGGCCGGTTCGAGGTTTGGTTATAGAGCTATAGAACCAAACTGTTCGGTCCAAACCGGAACCGGTATGAGGTGAACCGAACCGGTTGGGTTCGATCACTACAGGGGGAGGATATTGAATAAGGGCAGCTTTGTTACAAACAAAGCAAATCCATGAATATGACCGTGGGAAACCCGATAAGGTAGGGAAGAGGGCGTACTAAGAAAATTTGGAGCTCGAAATGAGCTCCAAGTTTTTTTTTTTTTTTTTTTTTTTTTTTTTTTTTTTTTAATACCTAGAACGCGGTCACGTGGCTTCGCCGCGTTGAATCGGGGCCGATTCGTCTTAAAACCGGAAACTAAGTCGAACCGGTTCGATTCCACACGGCTTGTAAGGGGGAAAAAAGAAAGAACGAATTGGTCGCCCTATTAAAACAGGTTCGACATCGAAACGGTTCGGACCGTTTCGAAACGGCAGCCTAAGATAGGACCCTGGTTTGGTTCGAAATGGTCCAAACTGAACCAAACCGCAGGTTTCAATCCCTGCCTCACGCATGCCTACTCTAGCCTACTCTAGCTCACCCTCATGTGCCAGTATTAAGGAAGAGTGATGCCACACTGTTGTCTACAACCGGGGGTTCCAATCCCTGCTGCGCTCACTCACCTTCTGGGAGATTATCAAAAAAGCTTTCTTCGACCATTCATATTCGTCGAGACCAGCCTTGACTTTACCTCGATTGTACCAGACTCTCGGCTCCATTCAGCTGCTGTTATAAAACCTGAATCATAACCTTAAATCGGCGGATTGAATAACAGAAATGTATTTATGTAACGCGTAGGGGAACCAAGGTTCAAAAATGCAGTTTTCGTAAAATACGCGGTACGGTATGTTTCCAAGAAAACAACGTTTTTTTTTTTTTCTCCGTTAGAAAAACTTTTTTCACCAAGCAAAAAAGGGAAAAACAAGATCGTATACATTTTCAATCATGCCCACAAACGTAAACTATATTGAAATGGAAAGTACCCCCCAAAGAAAATCGTTCGAGTTCGAGTCAAACACATTAGTGTTTGTCGGCCTTGCCTCGAAACTGTTCGACCCTTTACTCGAACAAGGAACACAACATTTAGGAAAACTGTTCGAGTCAAACGTGTTCAATTCGCCCGTTGCTCATGTCTACTCACCCTCATGTGTCAGTTATTAACGGAAAGTTATGCCACACTGTTGTCTACAACCGCGTGTTCCAATCCCTGTTACGCTCACTCACCTTCTTGGAGATAGGCAATCAAACAAACCTTCTTCGAGTGTAATGCCTAATATAGGGGCAAAGAGCGGCGAGGAGGGGTCAAGGGGGGCAAGCAAGGTTCAAAATTATGGTTTTCGTAAAATACGGTCTGTTTTTTACGGTGACAAAAAAAAAAAAAAAACTGCCGCTTTTTTTAAAGAAATCTGTTCACCAAGAAAAAAGAGAGAAAACAAGGTAAAAAACATCTCCAATCATGGCAACAAGCGCATACATGCAAAAAGGGGTCCGTCCCCTTCATGCGGCTGCGTTTCGGGTTCAATTTGGTCCCACTAAATGGCAGTTTTGTTAGTTATAGAGGAAACACCTCCTGGAACCGTTTTAAACCGTTTCATACGACTGTTTTTTACGGCATCGTTTTTTACGGTAAAATTTCAATAAAACGGTCGTTTTTTTGAACCCTGGGGGCAAGGAGGGTCGAGAATTGTCGAAATGGTTTGGTTGGGCCCAGTTCGTTTTTGTTTCTGATTGTTGTACTAAAAATAATAATAATAATAATAATAATGATAGCAATAGTAAGAGTAATGATAATAATATTCACTTTAATATATTGTTTTTCTTGTTATTATTATAATACTGTCTAGGGACATTGTCCATCGCACTGCTACCGAACTGACATTGTCCCTAGTAACGCATCCCTAGTTCGGTTTGGTAATTTGCCCATGCCTAGGGGCAATGTCCATCGCACTGCTACCGTGATTTTGTTGCCGTATCTGGAATTCGCATAACGTCCTATATGCTGCTCGCTTCCGTGCAAACTCGAGCTCCCTGTATCTATCTTCCCTACCACTTGACCATTCGTGTTTTTTCGCCTCAGAGATGTTTCATGGAATCATCAGCTCACTGGCGCAATCCCGACTGAAATTGGCAACCTCACAAACCTGGAAGGCTTGTAAGGCCCTTTCTGTGGTTTGCGCTCCCTTCTGTGCTTCTCCTCTCCACTGTTTCCCTACCTCTTGATGCTAGTCCAGACGGGAGAGTGGTGCTTCAGTTGAATCCAGGGCTTGCGATTCAAGTACCTGCTTGACTCAGATTCTGGGCAGTTGCCCATTTTCTGCTTCTTTTGGATTTCGCATTACGCCCTATCTACTGCTTGCTCGTTTCCATGCAAATGTAAGCTCCTTGTATGAACTACATGTTCGTGTTCTTTTTTTCCGCAGATGGCTCCAAGAAAATCAGTTCAGTGGTTCAATCCCTGCTGCGATTGGCAACCATACGAAGCTGAGTATTTTGTAAGGCATCTCTGCTGTGTTGGATACTGCATTCTCTGCCCCTCGCCTAACTCTTTATCCTCTTGCTTGTTCTACCGCTACTCTTCGCTGGACCACTCCATTTTACCGTCCGTTTTTCTGCGTTCCTCTCCGTTCCACTGATGACCACCCTCTCCTTCACTGTAATTCGTGCTCATAGGGTGCAGACATGGTTGCAGACGGACATTGTCGATACACGTTTCACATATTATAAGAAAGCGTATTTTTCATGGTATATTTTCGAGAAACGCGGAATTCTGGGAGTCATATATGCAGCAAAAACGCAGGGCCGGGAAGCGAAAAAGGTTTTTGGGCAGCGAAAGCTCAAAATTGGAGTTGGCGAGCACGTAATTCAATTTTGCAATGTCGAGAAACCGAGCTCATCTTTTGGGTTCCTTTTTTCCGGTCTGCCGGAGCGTTTGTTTGCGTTTCTACACCAAAAACGCAGGGTACACATTTTTGGTTAATGTATACTCAAAGCACAACCCAACTTTAACGTATATTCCAACTTAGTTACTTAGGTGCAGATATGGCTGCAGACGTGTAGTCTTGTTGGCTTGGCACATGGACATTGTCCATAATACTTCAGAGAGGCTACTAGTTGGAATCGAATCAAGCCTCGTTGCAGTATGGCATGGATTCATCCAGTCGGGTGCTTTTATTCTTCCCCGGATGCCTGGTAACTTAGGGGGCGGGTTGTGACACTCAGCGTAGGGTCACGTAGTCACCAAGCTGCAAGTAGGGCTGAGCAAAGGGCGAACTCGAACAGGTTCGGGTTCGTCCTTTGTCGAACAACCCGAACAGCCGAACCGAACACTGTTCGGTTCGGCGAACAATTTTTGCCGACACAGATGTTCGGTGTTCGCCATTGGGGGCGAACATTTTTTATGTGCAGCTGAACTCGAACATGTTCGAGCCGAACATGTTCGGGTTCGGTTTCAAGCAGGATCAACATAGACCCACCTGTCAGAAAGGTTACAATACGGTCCTGAAATATGAAAAATGAGGTTTGCATGGTCTAAAATTGTTCCTGCAACCCACCCAGTGCTGCAAACACCATCCAGATTGATATCAGAAAAGTTAAGAAAGCATTAAATTACTAGGCTCACGCGCCGCCACTGCTTCTACCAACAGCAGGCTCCACCCCGCCACCAGCTGTCTCATCATCAGCCCCAATACCCTCTCCCCCCTCCGCCTCCCCCTCCTCCTCGTCCTCCTCCTCGTCGTCTTCCTCCGCCCCCTCGCCCTCAATTGCGAACTCTGGCGGTGCGACGCCTCTCTGTCGGCGGCCCTCGCCTATCCTCTGGCCGGGGTGTGAGGTGTACCAGGATCGGAGAACCATGACAGCTCGGGTCCTCTGGGATGTCAGGCGGTGCCGCTTCCAGGAAATGACGTTGCGGCCAAGGGAGAACACGCGCTCGCTCGATGCGGACGTGGCAGGGATCGCGAGATAATCCCGGGCCATCCGCCTCAGCGTCTGCATGTTGGTGGCGGTGCGCCAGTACTCCAACGCCGTCACGTCATCCCGAATCCGCTCCGACAGGTACCTGCTAACCTCGTCATCCTGTAGCATCCCGCCCCTCCCCGCCTGCTGGCTCGCCGAGAAACGCGCTGCAAGTCGACGGCGACTAGGGATATACTGCGCATCCTCGTCGTCATCCGCCGCGTCACCCTCCTCCTCCTCAGTCACGGTGGCAAGTGGGGGCGCCCGGGGGGCTATCTCTGCAGCCCGGGCCTGGTACTCAGCCACGCGGTCGCGTACCAGCTGGACCACCTCACTGGACGTGGGACGCGGCCTCACCCTCGGCTCGGTCTCGGGATGCTGCGACTCCCAGTGCGCGTCATCGAACCACGCCGCCTTCATGGACGGGTCCAAGAATGAGCCCAAACTCAAATCGGCCGCGACCCTAAATTTGGTCGCGGCCAAATTTGACGCGAACACCTTGGTGTTCGCGTAGCCCCCAAGTCGAACACGAACATGTTCGTGTTCGACTTGGGGGCCCTTATCGACTGAGGCGAACGTCGAACATGTTCGGCCGAACACCGAACATGTTCGGCCGAACACCGAACATGTTCGGCCCGAACAATTTAGGCAAAAAAAAAGGCCTGTTCGGTTCGCCTCGAACTTGTTCGAAGCGAACCGAACAGGCGTTCGGGATTTTGCTCAAGCCTAGCTGCAAGGCAGTTTCAAAAGACAGATCCTCTTGTGGGAGAAGTGCCGGACGGCAGGAGAGGACAACCCCGCTGGCGTGTCATGTGTTGGCCCAACCTGCTACCGACTGGGCTAGAAGGGCATGTTTGTATGGTGGATAGCACACCCATACATAACCCCCTTGGATGCATATGTAGCCCTCCCACACCTAACTGGGGAATGATCTAAGTGTCGCACCAACATCATGAACCATACTGCTTTGTCTCCGGCTCGCCTTCAAGGACGGGCCACAAGTCGGCTGGCTCTGTCTTTTAGCTTTCCCCTACACGTCGCTGGCTCATCTCAGGCTCATGTCATGAATACCACGGAGTGCATATTATGCAGCAGTAGAGACGGGTGGTGGTAAATGGACAGGAGAGCATGGGAGAAAAGGCAAGCAGGTTGAATAGAGTGGTTACGAAAGGTGTAGATGACTCGTGGTGAGCGAGCAGGGAAAACAATATAATGAACAACCAAGGGTAGTCAAGATATAGTTACTAATGTCAGAACTTAAGCTTAGAATCCATGCATTAGTAATGAGCTTGAAACTCTTTAAGTACAACCAGGATGAGCAAGGAATGGATGGGGAGGGAATCGGAGGCAATCTCTAGAAATTGGGGGTAATCCCAGAGTAATGTCCAGTTGGTGGGTTGGAGATTGCTTGGAGATCACATTTGGGTTTGGTTGGGATGTGGGTGTACACCCAACCAAACACAAAGTGCACACTACATTAAGCTATGAAATAAAAAGCACAAGTACAAAATGTGAGATTGAGGGCTAACATTAATAACTAAGGCAGCACCACCACCACCCCACTACCACCACCCTCGCTTCTACTGCAACATATTATGCACTCCGTGTTATTCATGAGCGTGAGCCTGAGTCAATCCTGTACATGTAGGGGAGCCAAGGTTCAAAAATACAGTTTTCGTAAGTTACGGTCCGTTTTTACGGTCCGTTTTTACTGTATGTTTTCAAGAAAACAGCCATTTTTTTGTTAGAGGAACTCTTGTCACCAGGAAAAAAAAGGGAAAAAAAGGTCAATTACATTTTCAATCATGCCCGCAAATGCACACTATACTGAAACTGAAAGTACCCCCAAAGGATAACTGTTCGAGTTCGGCTAATTTTCTCATGCCTAGGGACAATGTCCATCACTTTGCTACCGTGATTTTGTTGCCGTATCTGGATTTCGCATAACGTCTTATATGCTACTCGCTTCCGTGCAAACTCGAGCTCCCTGTATCTATCTTCCCCACCACTTGACCATCCGTGCTTTTTCGCCTCAGAGATGTTTCATGGAATCAGCTTACTGGCTCAATCCCAACTGAAATTGGCAAATTTACAAACCTGGAAAGCTTGTAAGGCCCTTTCTGTGGTTTGCGCTCCCTTCTGCGCTTCTCCTCTCCAATGTTTCCCTACCTCTTGATGCTAGTCCAGACAGGAGAGTGGTGCTTCAGTTGAATCCAGGGCCTGCGATTCAAGTACCTGCTTGACTCAGATTCTGGGCGGTTGCCAATTTTCTGCTTCTTTTGGATTTTGCATAACGTCCTATCTACTGCTTGCTTGTTTCCATGCAAATGTAAGCTCCTTGTATGTACTGCATGTTCGTGTATTTTGTCCCGCAGATGGCTTAGTAGTAATCAGCTCAGTGGTTCAATCCCTGGTGCGATTGGCAACCTTACGAAGCTGACTATTCTGTAAGGCATCTCTGCTGTGTTAATTACTGCATTCTCTGCCCCTTGTCCCAACTTTTCCTCCTCTTGCTTCTTCTACCGCTACTCTTCGCTGGACCACTCCATTTAACCCTCCGTTTTTCTGCGCTCCTCTCCGTTCCACGGATGACCACCCTCTCTTAAACGGAACGTCGTGCTCAAAATGCAACCCACTTTAGCGTATATTCCAACTTAGGCGCAGACATGGCTGCAGACGTGTAGTCTTGTTGGCTTGGCACATGGGCATTGTCGTTATTCTCGCAGAAATACTTCAGAGAGACTACTTGTTGGAATCGGATCAGGCCTCGTTGCAGCATGGTATGGACAGAGTTGAGCATTTGGCCCGGCCCGATCCGACCCGACCCGATTTGGCCGGGCCATACGGGCCCTCGGGTCGGGTCGGGTCGGGCCGACCTCGGGCCAGACTCCCCAAACAGCTGGCCCGACCCGGGCCTACTGACTCGGGTCACGAGGGACCCGAGTTCGGGTCGGGCCGGGTCGGGCCAGGATGACCCGCCCCCTTAGTGGGAGGGTGGGGGTTCTCCCCTTGATTTGTACATTTATATTAATAGACTTGTTACTCTATTTTTATAAAACTGGTTTTTATACCACCTAAAGGTGGGATGGTTTGATAAGCAATACAACAGTTGCAATGACTTGTATAGACACCACGAAACAAGAACAGTGCGATTAGGTTTCCCATAGGGTTTAGGGCCAACAAGAGCAAATAATTCATGCAAACTATATACATGTCTTCTAATAAAAACCCCAAAACAGCAACTGTCAAAGCAAAGTACCACAAGTACAAGGAGGTCCCTAATAACTAGGAAGCACCAATACCACCACAATCACAACGACAAAAGACCCCGCAGCAGCTCTCCCCTAGCGACCGGCTTTCACAACCCGAGCTGCTCTGCCTCAAGGCAAAGCTGCGCAATCGTGGTCCTGCCACCACGAACCTCAAACCTCTGGTGAAGGTGGTGATCCTGCCAAGTCTTGATCATCATGGCCGCACGCATCTGCTGTGGGCTCAGACGGTGCCGCTGCCACCAAATGATGTTCCTGCTCTGACTGAAGGCTCTCTCACTCGCTGCAGACGTGGCGGGGATACCCAAATAATCGCGAGCCATGGCCCTAAGCCCGGGCAGCTGCAGCTCCCTCCCGCACCAGTACGCTAATGCGCACCCACCCTCCTGCCTCGCCTCAGCTAGGTACTGGTCCACCTCGTCCTGTGCCCGCACCCCCTTCTCTGCCTCCATCTCGACCAACTCAGCGAACAGCCTAGCCTGAAAGTCCTGCACGCCACGCGACCTGGCCCCCCTGCGCCCTGCAGCCCCACTCCTCGCCGAGCCCTCCCCCGTCACTCCTCTAGCGCTCGTCACCTCACCCCCAAGGCGCGCCTCTGCCGCTGCACGGGCTGCTGTCTGGTAGGGTGGAAGGCGCTCGCGCACGAGCGCCTTCACCCTCTCCTCGGTCAGGTCGAGAGTCCTGGCACCCATGGCATGCCCCCCCGCCGCCACCACAATGGGCGCAGTAGGTCTCGCCCTCCGGGCCCTGAGCCTGAAGGTTGCCGTCTTGAGCCGACGATCGAGGAAGGTGGCAATCACACACTCCTCGCTCACCCTCCCCATGTGACGTTCCAGCTTGCTCAGGGCCCGGGTTGACAGGTCAATGCACAGCTGCGACACATGTGGCGAAACTTTGTTCGCCTCGAGGATGTCCAGGAGCATGTTGTACTGCGGCACCACCGCGCCCATGGTGGGGTACAAAGACCCCTCCACGAACAGGGTGATGCTGTCAAACGGCTCCAGGAAAGCCCGCAGCTTGTTGAGAGCAGTCCAGTGGGCGTCGGACAGCTTGATCTCTGCCCAGGCCGTGCGTGTGGTCTGCCTGATGTTTGGCTGAGAGGGGGAGGGAGTGAATGGATGGAGAATGGCGACGAGATGTGGTTGGGAGGGGTTGGGAGGGCGGGCACGTGACATGCATGGAGCAGCCATTCGATATAAGCACAGGGTATCCAACATGGTATGGAGACGCAGTGTCGGTGACATTGGTGACATTGGGTGAGAGAATGGCGACGAGATGGTGTTTGGTGGGGTTGAGAGGCCGCGTGACATGCATGGGCCAACCATTCGATTTAAGAACATGGTATCCAACATGGTATGGAGATGGAGTGTCGGTGACATTGGGGAAGACAATGGTGATGGGATGGAGTGGGCATGGGATGGAGCATGGTAATCCCATACTTACGATAGAAGACTCGTCGAAGTACATCGTGAGAGGGATTGACAGCTCACACCCCCTCACCACCATCTCCAGCGTAGAACCCCAGCGCGTGTCCGAGTCCACGATCAAGCGCAAATCAGTAGGTCTCTTGCGCCTACTGCTGCCTCCCTCTGCCCGCGTCGCCCCCCCCCTCTGCAGTGCCCCCCTCTGCCTGCATCTCCCCGTCCTCTTCCGCCCCCTCCTCTGCCTGCGTCTCCGCAAGGGTCGCAGCGTACCGCTTCTGGATATCAAAAAAACGCTCCGACCGCTGTACCGACCACCCTATGTAGCTAGCCACAGCCCGGAGCCTCCGGAGCGCCTCGGCCACCGGCTCGATCTTGATGGCGTACTGCACTGCGAGGTTCAGAACGTGCGCCACACACCTGGAGGGCAAGCATAGACAGAGATGAATGGGTATGATCCTCAATGGAAGTGTGGGACAGTTGGAACTTGACTTTGCCCGATCTGCGCATATACACTTATAGCAAGAGGTGATGGCACTCACTTGAAGTGCCGAGCCAGGGACATGATGGGAGGGTCACGCGGACGTGAGCCCGGTGTGTCGTCTGGCACGCCGGACAGCAGACGAATCGCCCGGTTGTTGTTCTCGGCGTTGTCGGTCGTCACGCCGAAGAACTCACCACCACCCAACGCCCACTCCCCTATGACCTCCTCCAGCTCATCCGCAATCTTATCCCCCGTGTGACGGCCCTCCAGCGGCCGGAAGTCGATCACCATCTGCTGCAGCTGGAAGTCCGAGGTGACTCGGTGAGCAGTCACCACCATGAAGGCGACGTTGTTCTCGCTAGTCCATATGTCCGTGGTGAGTGTCACCCGCCCCGCCAGACCGTCGCCCGTCAGTAGCTGTCGCAGCTGAGCCCTAGCCGTCTCGGCCGCTGACAGCAGGTCCCGCGCAAGGCGGAAGCGGTTGCCGAGATACTGTGCCGCGTCGGGGTTAAGCAGGGCCACGAAGTCACGAAACTGCCATAGAGGAGGTGGGACACAAACATGGTTGGGAGTGAATGGAGATTGTGGTGGCAAGAGATTGGCATAGCATGTCAACGTATACTTGATCCTGCGCCAGAACAGAAGGAAACGCGCAGTGTGCTTACCGCTGGCCTGTCGACAGAACGGAACGACATGTCAAGGCCGGCGAACAGCATGACCAGGCCCTCGCGCAGCTGCCGCTCTCCAACTCGAGTCGTGACGTACTGATCGATGGTACCCTGCCTCCCCCTCCCGACGGCAGCTCCTCCGGTCAACCCACTCGGCCCGGCCCCCGTCTCTGCTGCCGGCACGTCAGTCCATGTGGCAGCGTGCTCCCACGGCCACTTCGTCCTATCCGGAACTGTAGCTCCCCAACCCCCATCCGGGAAAGCTAGCGAATCAGACTTGTTTGGATCCAGAAAGCGACGGACCCAAATCTGAAGGCTAGGATAGTGCGTCCTCTTCACATGCCTGGCCCCCGAGCTAGTGTTGCCTAAACGCCAACCATTCACCGTGTTGCACGTAAGGCATCGCCGGGAATCGTTGTTCAACGCCCCGAACATGCCTTTCACCAAGCCCAGCTCTCCCCTGCTCAGGGCTGCCTCCACGATCGGATCCAGGTCAGCGTCCGTCGGCTGCTGGTTGGCCTCCCGCATTGCATTGATAGTAGCCCAGGAAACACCAATGCGGCGTGAGCCATCAGTGGCCACGGCAGCAGCAGCAGCAGCAGCAGCAGCAGTAGTGCGAGGGCGTCTGGCAGCGCGAGGACGAGCAGGTGCAGGAGTAGCAGAGGGCGGACGGCCAGCAGGAGCCGCGGCACCAGTAGCGGCAGCAGCAATAGCGGCAGCAGGAGTAGCTGGAGCAGCAGTAGCGGCAGCCGCTGGCGCAGCACCAGCTGGAGCGGACACGGCAGTAGGTACTGCGACTCCACCCTGACGTGCTCTCTTCAGTCCCACACGGTCCCCCCCATCCTCGCCACCGCTTTCACCGTCACTCGCAGCGCCAGCATCCGCGTTACCCGGCGTCTAAGTCGGGTCACGACGTTCAGTTGGCGACTGCTGCCGCTCAGCACGCATGTCGTCCATCGCCTTCTGCCATCGCTGCTCCTCCGAAGCGCGCCGCGCCGCAATGGCCTCTTCATGGGCCACCGGGTCAGCACCAGGGGAGGACTGGCCCAACTGGAACCCCTCCCCACCGAAGGATGTCACACCGACGGCCGCAAGAGAAAATCCTGGAATCCGCGTGGAGCTCGCTGGAGTTTCGTCCGCGCCTGACATTGTACGCGCCTAAAATCGCTACTTAACGAATCAAACCGAGACGCGTGCGCGCGGATCCACCGTCACGGTGCAAGCGGGTGACGCTAAACAAATGCGGAATGGTGCAGCGGGTGCGTCTAAACTAGTCTAATAACGCGGAAACGCCACGGAAGATGTAGGCTTGGTTGGAAGTAGAAAATACGCCTGAAATGTAGAAACCCTAACGGCTACCAAGCTGACCGCCGCGAAATGTACTAAGAGCTGCCTAAATCGTGTATCTAGGAGTATAAATAAAGGAGTGTCACATAGTGGGGTGATGCCTTAGGCAGTTAGTAGCTAAGGGGGGGAACTTAGGAAGTGCTGCTGCTGGCTTAGCGTGAGTGGCGAATGTAAATCGATCGGGGGAGAAAATCCCTCGATCGATTTACATTAGGGCTAGGGTTTCGGCCCTAGCCCTATCGAAAATCGGGTCGCGCGTCTGGCCCGACCCGATTTCGATGGTTCCGACCCGATTTCGGGTCGGGTCTGGCCCGACCCGAAACTTGGCTCGGCCCGGCCCGAAATTGCCCCTCGGGTCGAGCCATCGCGCGGGTCGGGCCGGGTCGGCCCGCACGGGGCAGGGATCCCGAATATATGACCCGACCCGTGCAAATACACGGGTCGGGTCGGGTCGGCCCGACCCGAACGGGGCACCTGCTCAAGTATAGGTATGGATTCGTCCAGTTCGGGTGCCTTTATTATTTCCCGGTACCTTTGGGGGCCAGTTGTGACCCTCAACGCAGGGTCACGTGGTCGTTGTGGTTTTCTCTACCTCTTGATACTAGTCCAGACGGGAGAGTGGTGCTTCAGTTGAATCCAGGGCTTGCGATTCAAGTACCTGCTTGACTCAGATTCTGTGTGGTTGCCAATTTCCTGCTTCTTTTGAATTTTGCATGAACCGCATGTTTGTGTTTTCTGTCCCGCAGATGGCTTGGTGGAAATCAGCTCAGTGGTTCAATCCCTGCTGCGATTGGCAGCCTTACGAAGCTGAGTATTTTGTAAGGCATATCTGCTGTGTTGGATACTGCATCCTCTGCCCCTCGTCCCAACTCTTTATCCTCGTGCTTCTTCTACCGCTACTCTTTGCTGGACCACTCCATTCAACCCTCCGTTTTTCTGCGTTCCTCTCCGTTCCACTGATGACCACCCTCTCCTTTACTGTAATTCGTGCTCATAGGGTGCAGGCATGGTTGCAGACGGACATTGTCGATACGTGTTTAGCATATTATACGACAGCGTATTTTTTAGGGGATATATACGAGAAATGTGGAATTCTGGGGAGTCATATACGCAGCTTAAACGCAGGGCCGGGAAGTGAAAAATGTTTTTGAGCAGCGAAAATTCAAAATTGGAGTTGGCGAGCACGTAAGTCAATTCCGCGATGTCGAGAAACCGAACTCATGTTTTGGGTTTTTTTTTTTCCGGTCTACCCGAGCGTTTGTTTGCGTTTCTACACCAAAAACGCAGGGTATACGTTTTGGGTGAGTATATACTCAAAGCTCAACCCAACTTCAACGTATATTCCAACTTAGTTACTTAGGTGCAGATATGGCTGCAGACATGTAGTCTTGTTGGCTTGGCACATGGACATTGTCCATAATACTTGAGAGAGACTACTAGTTGGAATCTAATCAAGCCTCGTTGCTGTATGGTATGGATTCGTCCAGTTCGGGTGCTTTTATTTTTCCCCGGATGCCCGGTAACTTAGGGGGCCGGTTGTGACACTCAGCGCAGGGTCACGTAGTCACCAAGCTGCAAGGCAGTTTCCATTCCACAACTCCTCCTAGCAGCTGATCAGGTGTTTTGCTGCCTTAGTTATTAATGTTAGCCCTCAATCTCACATTTTGTACTTGTGCTTTTTATTTCATAGCTTAGTGTAGTTTGCACTTTGTGTTTGGTTGGGTGTACACCCACATCCCAACCAAACCAAAATATGATCTCCAAGCAATCTCCAACCCACCAACTGGACATTACCTTGGGATTACCCCCAATTTCTAGATACTGCCTCCGATTCCCTCCCCATCCATTCCGTGCTCATCCTGGTTGTATTTAGCGAGTTTCAAGCTCATTAATAATGCATGGATTCTAAGCTTAAGTTCTGACATTAGTAACTATATCTTGACTACCCTTGGTTGTTCATTATATTTTCTTGTCCCTGCTCGCTCACCACGAGTCATCTACACCTTTCGTAACCACTCTATTCAACCTGCTTGCCTTTTCTCCCATGCTTTCATGTCCACTTTCTACCACCCTCGTCTCTACTGCTGCATATTATTCATGAGCATGAGCCTTAGATGAGCATGAGCCTTAGATGAGCCAGCGACGTGTAGCGGAAGTCTAAAAGACGTAACCAGGCGACTTGTGGCCCGTCCTTGAAGGCGAGCCGGAGACAAAGCAGTATGGTTCATGATGTTGGTGCGGCACTTAGATCGTTCCCCAGTTGAGTGTGGGAGGGCTACAGATGCGTCAAAGGGGGTTATGTATGGGTGTGCTATCCACCATACAAAATGACTTTCTAACCCAGTCGGTAGCAGTCTGGGCCAACACATGACACGCCAGCGGGGTCAGTCCTCTCCTGCCGTCCGGCACTTCTCCCGCCAGAGGATCTGCCTTTTCGACGCCAGATCCCCACGATTCTGGCATTTCGCCGCCATGGTGTTTCTTTTACCCCTTGGTAGTCGACGACGAGTCGACGGCTCAGCGATACGAATGTCGTTGTTTGCTGTTTGCTCTCGCTGTTTGCTCGTTCCGATGCAAAATGCCGAATATCCACGGAGCCAGCAGCGAAGTGACGCGTTGAGTAACGACAGTAGGCGCTATCCGGTTTTAGAATATGATAGTGCTTGTTGACTGGGTGACCTGAAATTTCCGTGCATGTAATATTCCTGCTGTCTAGAGTAGTTGTTCGAACTAGCAGTGACATCCGTCAGCGAAGTTGTGGACATTGCCGCTTGATTCTAAACCAATCCTAGGACTAAGGCGTGAACGGAGGAAAGCGGGGTTGGTGGGTGGGGCCGGATTCTTCAAGGGTTAAGAAGCAAGGATTGGCAAGCTAGAGTAAAAGCAGAGAATGACATAATTCTCTGGGCAAACAAACAAACAAACCCGTGTGTTCTTCTCAACTCCGTCTTCCTCTTTTCATGCCTTCTCTGTCCTCGTGATCTCTCGTTTCGTTTTCACTCCTTCCATTTACTATTGTCTTTATCGCGTCTCCGCATCTATCCTCCTTTCTCCAATGCTAACTTGTTCCCTATGCCCATTTTATGCGGTGATGAGACGCCTTTGGGAAGGAAAGGGCACCTGTTTCTTCCCTTCTCCTGCCCCCATCTATCCAAAACCATTGCCTGCACACATCCCAGTAACAATTTCCGTCGCACTTCCTTCATGCTTTCGTTGCCTTTTCTAGATTTTGCATAACTTCCTATCTGCTGTTTATCTCCATGCAGACTCGAGCTCCCTGTATCTACCTTCCCTACCACATGCCCATCCGTGTTTATCGTCGCAGAGATCTTTCGGTGAATCAGCTCAATGGCTCAATCCCGACTGAAATTGGCGTCCTTACAAACCTGGAATCATTGTACGGCCCTTTTTATTGTTTTGCTCTCCTTTCTGCGCTTCTTCTTTCCACGATTTCTCAACCTCTTGACGCTACTCTGGACCCTTGCCTGTCGGTTGAAAGGGGAGACTGGTGCTTCACTTTGGTGCTTCACTTTGTTACGCCACACTGTTGTCTACAACCGTGTGTTCCAATCCCTGCTGCGCTCGCTCACCTTCTGGGAGATTGGCAATCAAACAAACCTTCTTCGAGTGTAATGCCTAATATAGGGGCAAAGAGCGGCGAGGGGTCAAGGGGGGCGAGGAGGGTCGAGAATTGTCGAAATGGTTTGGTTGGGCCCAATTCGTTTTTGTTTCTAATTGTTATACTGCAAAAAATAATATTGATAATAATAATTTTAAGAGTAATGATAATAATATTCATATTAATATATTGTTCTTCTTGTTATTATTGTAATACTGAACCTCGAAACGGCCTGGGATAAGAACGGTCCGAAATGAACCGGTTCGGTTCGTTAACGTATTGGTTCGGTGAATGCGTTAAAGTATCCGAACCAGTTCGGTTCGGTAATTTTCTCATGCCTAGGGGCAATGTCCATCGCACTGTTACCGTGATTTTGTTGCCGTATCTGGATTTTGCATAACGTCCTATATGCTGCTCGCTTCCGTGCAAACTCGAGCTCCCTGTATCTATCTTCCCTACCACTTGACCGTCTGTGCTTTTTCGCCTCAGAGATGCTTCAGGGAATCGGCTTACTGACTCTATTCCGACTGAAATTGGCAACCTTAGAAACCTGGATAGCTTGTAAGGCCCTTTCTGTGGTTTGCGCTCCCTTCTGCGCTTCTCCTCTCCACTGTTTCCCTACCTCTTGATGCTAGTCCATTCGGGAGAGTGGTGCTTTGGTTGAATCCAGGGCCTGCGATTCAAGTACCTGCTTGACTCAGATTCTGGGCGGTTGCCAATTTTCTGCTTCTTTTGGATTTCGCATAACGTCCTATCTACTGCTTGCTCGTTTCCATGCAAATGTAAGCTCCTTGTATGTACTGCATGTTCGTGTATTTTGTCCCGCAGATTTCTTCAAGGAAATCAGCTCAGTGGTTCAATCCTTGCAGCAATTGGCAACCTTACGAAGCTGAGTATTTTGTAAGGCATCTCTGCTGTGTTGGATACTGCATTCTCTGCCCCATCATCCCAACTCTTTATCCTCTTGCTTCTTGTACCGCTACTCTTCGCTGGACCACTCCATTCAACCCTCCGTTTTTCTGCGTGCCTCTCCGTTCCACTGATGACCACCCTCTCCTTTAACGGAACGACTGAAGAGATGAGGGAATCGGCATGGAGAGAAGCTCACCGACGAAACAAGCTCCTAGTCCTCCAGGGCCGTCACCGACTCGTAAACTAATGCATGAACGTAAACTAATGCATGAACGTAAAAAAGTGGGGTGGTGGAGGGATATTCTAGGCTTAATTAACGAACAAAGACGGGCGAGCTAGAGTAAAAACAGAGAATGACGCAATGGAGTGGTGGAAAGGGGTGGGGAGAGGAGTGCGTTTTTGTTGAGAGAAAGCGCACTCCCAGTCTGCCGAATCTGACGTGTTTTCAGTCGCGGCAACCGACGTTGAGCGTGCTTTTCAGGCATGCCTTTTGTCAGAAGAGAGCACATGTTTCCTCAACCATTGCCCCCGTCTATCCCCAACCATTGCCTGCACACATCCCAGGGACAATGTCCATTGCATTGTCATCATTATTTTGCTGCCTTTTCTGGATTTTGCATACCTCCTATCTGCTGCTCGTTTCCATGCAAAATCAAGCTCCCTGGATCTACCTTCCCTTCGGCATGCCCGTCCGTGTTTATCGTCGCAGAGATGTTTCGTGGAATCAGCTCATTGGCTCAATCCCAATTGAAATTGGCGTCCTTACAAACCTGCAAGGCTTGTAAGGTCCTTTCCTTGTTTTGCTCTCCCTTCGGTGATTTTCCTCTCGACCGTTTCTCCACCTCTTGATTCTAGGCCAGACCCTTGCCTATCGGTTGAAATGAAAGGGGAGACTGGTGCTTCACGTTGAGTCCAGAGCCTGCGATTCAAGTCCCTCCCTGCTGGACTCAGATTCTGGGTGGTTGCCAGTTTTCTGCTAATTCAGGAGTTCGCATAACCTCCTACCTGCTGCTTACTCGTTTCCGTACAATATTTTAAGCTCCTTGTATGTACCTCATATTCGTGTTTTTCGTCCCGCAGATCGTTTAATCGTAATCAGCTCAGTGGTTCAATCCCTGCTACCATCGACAACCTTATTGATCTGACTTTCTTGTAAGGCCTTTCTGCTGTGTTGCATGCTGCATTCTCTGCCCACGCCCCATCGTCCCAACTCTTCCTCCTGTTGCTTCTTCTACCGCTACTCCTCACAGGACCACTCCATTAACCCTCCGTTTTTCTACGCTCCTCTCCGTTGCACGAACGACCACCCTCTCCTTTACTGTACTTCGTGCTCATAGGATGCAGACATGACTTTTTTGTCACCACACACATGCTTTAGTGAAAACCCTTCGTGCTCATAGGGTGCAGACATGGCTGCAGATGGACGGTGCTGATATTATCCCAGTTAGGGATGAGCATGAGGGCGGGCCAGGGCCCGCCCGGGTCGGGCCCGCACGGAAATTCCCCGGGCCGGGCTTCGAAATTTCGTCGAGGGCCCGGGGCGGGCCGGGCCGGGCCCGCCCGCCGGGCCGCGACCGCCCGCTTTTGGCCCGCCCATGTACGGGCTGGGCCGGGCTGTGGTAAGCCGATGCGCGGCCCGGGTGGGGCCATCTCGGCCCGGTTTTTACCCCCGCGACAACTGTTCGAGTCAAACGTGTTCGATTCAGTTCGACTTGACCAAGTGGTAAAAAACTGTTCAAGTCAAACGTGTTTGGTTCGCTCGTTGCTCATGTCTACTCACCCTCATGTGCCAGTTATTAAGGAAGAGTGATGCCTGACTGTTGTCTTACAACCGGGGTTCCAATCCCTGCTGCGCTTACTCACCCTCTGGGCGATTGGCAATCATACAAACCTTCTTCGAGTGTAGTGCGGCGTTTTTGACCCATTTCCTACTCGTTTCATGCTCGTCCCTGCTCATACCTATTACCTCTTCACCACAATTTTGCTTCTTTATAGCTTCTCCTTGTTAACGGGAGTTGGGAGTTGCCCCCCCCGTCCTCGCTTGGGCGGAGTTGAATTCGTGGTCGGGCGTGCGGGAGGTGCAGCCGACCGACCTCAGTGCGCGTCGCCGACTTGGGCGAGCTGGTCGACGGGTTTGGTCGACCTGCACGAGGCCACTGCGAAGTCGCCGACGACGGGAAGCCGGCGGCCGACTTCTAGCTGGTGGTCGACGAAGGGGCTCGTCGACCTGGAAGGACGCCGACTTGTGGGTGCCGACCTAGGGAAGCCGACTTGGTGCAGTCGGCGATCAGCCAGTCTGGTCGACCTCAATTTCTGGAGTGGCCGATTTGGTGAAGTGAGCTGGTGGTCGTCGACTTGGGTGGTCGACGAGCATGTACAGCAGTTGGTCGACTTCCGCCGCGCAAGTCGACGCTGACTTGGTGGTGTCCCGGTCGACCATGTAGCCAGGGCGATGAGGTTCTGCGGGGGTGCGCGACCGTCGCCCAGGTGGTTTTGGCGAAGCCGGCCTCGGAGTGGTATTCCGAGGTCGACGTGGCTGATCAGTCGCAGTCAACGGCACGTGGTCGACTTGGCATCTCCGCTGTGCACGTGACGGTGCATGTCACCTGCTGAACGACCGCCTTGCTGCAGGCAAGCCGCCAGCTTGCTGCGCTGGGAAGTCGCCACTTTGCACTGCTGGAGAGCGGTCGACGTTGCAGTGCTGGAACACGGTCGACCTCGCTGCGCTGGAGGTCGACCTGACTGTGTTCTAGGCAGACTTGTTCCTGATGTAGTCAAGTTTGCCAACTTTGTTGCTATCATTGTGTAATTTTCTTGCAAGTAAAACTCATTGCCGTTTTGCGCCGTGAACACGCAAGTGCTAGAGAACACAGGGAACGCTACGAGCACTCCTAAAACCAGTGCCTTCCCCCGTAGTCCAGCTCCAGGTGTAGAGTGACTCTCCGCACTCCTCCTACAGGTTTAGGGGGCCCTATAATTATCTCTTTTCTTCGTCTCTCTCCTCCCCTCTTCCATGCTCCCTCTTCTTTGACCCCATGAGTCGAGTATTACTCGCAAGTAAATGAATACTCGCAGTTTACTTGTTTTTTAAAATGAGTATTTTATTACTTGGTTTGAACACCTGTTTAACACAAAACGAGTCTAGCATTACTTGCTCCAAAACAAGTACTTCACTACTCGGTTTTGCACGAGTAACGAGCCAGGTCTAGGGGTGAAATTTCTCGGGCGAGTAATACTTGACTCGACTAGTTTCCAAAACGAGTCGATTCACAACGAGTGGAGTATTGCTCGACTTGTCCTTTGGTCATGCCTAATATAGGAGCAATGAGGGGCGAGGAGGGGTCAAGGGGGGCGGGGAGGGTCAAGAATTGTCGAACTGGTTTGGTTGGGTTAAGTTTGTTCTTTATTAATATTATCGTTAATATTATTATACTGAACCTCTAACCGGCCTGGGATCAGGACAATTCGAAAAGAACCGGTTCCGTTCGTTAAGGAACCTGCTTGGTGAATGCGTTAAGAATCTGAATCGGTTCGGCTTGATAATTTGCTCATGCCTAGGCTAGAAACAATGTCCATCGCACTGCTACCGTGATTTTGTTGCCGTATCTGAATTTCGCATAACGTCCTATATGCTCCTCGATTCCGTGCAAACTCGAGCTCCCTGTATCTATCTTCCCTACCACTTGACCATCCGTGCTTGTTCGCCTCAGAGATGTTTCAGGGAATCAGCTTACTGGCTCAATCCCGACTGAAATTGACAACCTTAGAAACCTGGAAACCTTGTAAGGCCCTTTCTGTGGTTTGCGCTCCCTTCTGCGCTTCTCCTCTCCACTGTTTCTCTACCTCTTGATGCTAGTCCAGACAGGAGAGTGGTGCTTCGGTTGAATCCAGGGCCTGCGATTCAAGTACCTGCTTGACTCAGATTCTGGGCAGTTGCCAATTTTCTGCTTCTTTTGGATTTCGCATAACGTCCTATCTACTGCTTGCTCGTTTCCATGCAAATGTAAGCTCCTTGTATGTACTGCATGTTCGTGTATTTTGTCCCGCAGATGGCTTAATGAAAATCAGCTCAGTGGTTCAATCCCTGCTGCGATTGGCAGCCTTACGAAGCTGAGTATTTTGTAAGGCATATCTGCTGTGTTGGATACTGCATTCTCTGCCCCTCGTCCAAAATTTTCCTCCTTTTGCTTGTTCTACCGCTACCGTTGGAGAGGACCCCTTGGCCCATACCTCTCCTGCCGTCCGGCACTTCTCAAGCCAGAGGATCTGCCTTTTCGTCGCCTAATGCGCACGATTTTTGGCATGGTGTTTCTTCTACCCATGTTGTTTCTTTTATCCCTCGGTGGTCGACGAGCCACCTCTGCCTCGTGGACGAATCGACGGCTCGGCGATACGAACATCGAGAATCATTTGTCTCGCTGTTTGCTCATTGCTATGCGAAATGCCAAAAATGCACGGAGCTAACGGCGAATCAATGCGTAGTATATTTTTTTACTCGTCGACTAATAGTAAAAAGTACTTCTAGCAGAATAAACGTCACGACAAATGGCGAGTGAAAATCAGGCTCGTTTACTCAACCGAGTTTAACTCGACTCCCTTGTTCATGTTTACCACTGTCGTGTGCAACACAGCTGAGCTACGTGTTAGGGCCTCTGTACTGTGTTGACTTCCCTGTCTTGCCACTCCGCTTGCTTTTTGTTCCCTCCTCTCCAGTCCACCCCTTGTGTTCATAGCTGCACTGCACATTGTGTATTTCGACCTGATACGCCATTGTGCTCAAAAGGGGGCTTTCTTGGCTCATGTCGAGCCACCTGCTGCCCGCCCAGTCTCGACGGGTGACGCAATTTATCTGTTCATGTCGCTTGTGCACTTTGTACTTTGTATTTGTACTTATATGGTGCTTTAAGGCTGTGTTACCGTGGACGCATCCAATGTTTGGACGCTGGTCTCCAGACGCTGGAAACTTCATTCGAGGCAAAAAAACATGCGTCAAACAAACAAAAACAAACATTCGGGCTGGGAAAAAGGCCAGGGAGTGTGGAGGGAAGGGGAGGAAGACTTGTGGGGCAAAGGTATATTTCATCATACCAACCTCCACTAATGGACTCCCCTTAGTAGCATGAGAAAGAGCTCTTGCTGTCATGTGGCTGCCTGCCAGCTAACCCCTTTCACGCACCAGCCCCCCATGCTCCGCAGCGTTTTCCTCAACTTCCCTATAAGCCCTCTTCCTTATGCTACAGGTCCATTGGCAACAATCACTTGACAGGACGCATCCCTCCTTCCATCGGCATGTTGGGAAACTTTCAATACCTGTCAGTGTTGCTCTGGCTCTGGTTCTCTTCATTCAACCCTCCTGACCTCCTCACTCCTCCTTTCAACCCCTCATGCACCGACTCCTGGTTGCCTGTGAATGTGTTTTGTTTCCAAATGCCATTGACCTTCCTTCATTATTGGTCCTCTCCTTCAATTGATTGGGCAAATTTTCTATTTATTGAACACTCCCTCACACCCATCTTAATCGTCGTCTCCCCCGACATGTCCCCTCATGCCCTTATCTTTCCTCCATGCCTTCTGCATACCTTCTTTTCTGTTCCAAATTCTTCCTCTGCTCACCACCTCGTTCATACCATTCACATGCGTCCTCCTGCCTTTTTTTGACCCCCCCCCCCCCCCCCCCATCCCCCTCACAGTGATCTCTCAAACAACTACCTCACAGGTCCCCCAGTTCAGATCTTGAAACGGCGGCCAGACTTCAAGGCGGACCTCTCAAGCAACTACTTGTCGGGTCCTTGGAAAGCAGCAAAGTGTTCTCAGTACAGTATCGCTGCCAACTGCTTTGCACAGGACAGAGCTTGCGTTAAAGAAACACAGCGGCCCCCGGCACAGTGCACAGCGTTTTGTGGCGTATCTGCAAAGAGTAGCACTTCTGCATGTGACGGCCGTGGCATCTGCAAACCAGTTGGGCCCAGTTTGGTGCCCACGTGCTCGTGTAATCCGGGGTCAGTGCAGCTTGGAGGAATCCACTGTATTGCGACAGGTAAGATGTTTCTGTGTATCGCAAAAGGTAAAATTTCTGTGTAGCACACCTTCAGGGCTTATGATTGTACTGTGAATATAACGCATGACTGCACTTGCACCGGCTATACGGACATCACATTGCTTATCTGCCCAGTAAGCCCTCTATAGCCGTTTTCTTTATAATTTCGCAGCAGTCTTGTCCAGCCAGCCTGGTACCACACATTGGTTATTCCATGCCTCTGCGGCTCTCACCCTGTTTAACCAGAGCAGATCAGCTCATTGAGTCACACAAAGTAGCACCACACGGCACAGACCCCCTTACCATGGATGCCCCCTTCAAAGAGCTGACCACATAATTTCGTTCACATATGGCACCATTGCTCACCACTCCCACCCTTCCCTTCCCCATGCCCTGCTTTACTGCCCCTTCTTCGAAACTTTTCAGGCTTGATCGTACAAAGCCCCATTCTTCCCCCATACACTGGGCTCACGAACGGGTGGCAGCAGCAGACAGTGGGGCGGTTCATGGCGAAGCCAGTGACCCTGTTTGCTTACCCTCCTGGTGTGACCTCGCGATGTGGATTGGAGTTGGCGTTTAGAGTCAACTTCACCTTCGCTATCTTTCCCCAGAATGGTGATGCCAGGTCCAACGGCTTTGCGTTTGTGATTGCAGCAAAGGCCAAGGTGGGGAAACCCGGTGGTGTGGGATATAGAGGAGTCGGGTCTCGGAGCATAGCCATTGTGTTCGAGACGATTCAAACAAACGAGCAGAGTGATAGCGAGCAGCACGTGGGGCTGAACATTAACGGCGTGGAAGATTTGTTGGTGGAAGAGGTCTCACCATTCACTCTCACCATCCGCGCTGGATACACGGCATGGGTGGACTATGAGCCTGGGGATCCCGGCACCATTCAAGTGTTCCTGGCGGATTCAGCCGTGAAGCCAGAGGATCCGCTGCTGCAGACGAGTCTGTCACTCTGTGAGCTGCTTCAGGCTCCAGTGAAGCCCTTCCAGTCAGCGTTCTCGTTTGGTTTCGTGGCGTCCACCACTTTGGAGCCCTTCCAGCGATACGCCATTTCCTTCTCTTATGTGCAAACAGGTAAGGATATGCCAAGTTGGGTGATGGTGATGGCCATGACTGTCTGAATGGTGATAGCATGTTCTGTATAGGGGGGGTGGTGGTGGTGGTGGTGGTGGTGGTGGTGGCGGCGGCGGCGGCGGCGGCGGCGCCGTTGCTGCTGCTGCTGCTGGAGTGAGGCCGTTGGTAGCCCTTCATGTGGTTCTCTCCCTCCCTCTCTTAAGACTCAACCATCCTGGGCTTCTGTGCTTTATTTCTGCTTGTGTCTTTCTCTCTCCATAGGTGCTCCCTCACCCAAGACACCCGAGATCAAAGAGCAAGGTGAGCACTACGGCTGGCATGTGGCAATGGGATGTTGAAATGCCCACAAGAAACCTTAGGCCGCTGGTGAGGTGCACCTGTCACACGTGACATGTATGTCACAACCATAATTTTTCAAGAGCCGCACCTAGTCGTCCCAGAACGCATGCTCATCTCTGCTCCTGCTCCCGCACTACTCTCCAATCACATCTCTTCTTCTTCTCCACCCCCTTCCCGCCCCTTACAGCTCTCGGCCTTTCACTATCGGAGGCCACGTTTGCACCATCTCACGGCAGCCCCTTTTCGCGCTACGTGAGTGCGGACTTCAGACTGACGCCCACCTTGAGCGAGTCGTGGAGCATCCACGACCTCCACACGTGGGACGCTGTGTCCTGGCTCGATTGGCCTGTCAAGAACCAGAACGACTGCGGTAAGTGGAAACAGGATCGCAAATTCCCAGCTCACATTCCGACCCGCTTTTGCGTTGCCTGTAAATAACATATTTTCCTACTGTCATGTCTTATGTTAAACGTCAGCTGCTATTTCTTTCTTGTCGAACAATGTTGTAGCCGCGCTGCACGAGGCAGCAAATGCCGCCGTCTTTGCATGATTCTCCTTCTCCGTCCTCTTTTCAGATGCGTGCTGGGCGTATGCGGTGGTGGCGAGTGTTTTGAGACGAGTGTTCTCAAAACACACTCGTCGCTCACCCAACGTGTTTTGAGACGTCTCAAAACACTTCTTCAAACACGTAGCTGCGTGTGTGGGAGGGGAGGCAGGAAGTATGAGCTGTTTTGAGACGTCTCAAAACACTTCTTCAAACACGTATGCGGTGGTGGCGAGTGTAGAGGCGGCATACGGCATTGCAAAGCAGCAGAGCGCTCCCCTGACTGAATGCTTTACCTTTCCTGCTCTACCACTTCTCAGATGCGTGCTGGGCGTATGCGGTGGTGGCGAGTGTGGAGGCGGCATACGGCATCGCCAAGAATGGCAGAGCTCCGCAGCTGTCAGTGGAGTCCCTCTTTGCTGCCATGGGGCTCACTGACGCAGACAAGTGCACAGCTGGCGGCTCCCCCGCCCAAGCGTTTGAAAATCTCGTGGCTCTTAATGCCGATGGCGGCAGTGGGCTCACAGGGGCCAACGACCCGGTAGGGAAAACAGAATGGTCTGCTAACAAACCTGAGAACCAGAAATTCGGAAAAAATCCGAATTTCCGGTCTAAGTCCGGAAATTCCAGCTGAGTTCTATATCTGTTGCGATATTGACCAGCCAACCTGTGCCGGACCCCCACGGGCTGCGATGAGGCCCGTCACGCTGGCTGCGGCGGCTTGGAAGAATTGGCCAGCCCAGGCCCCTCAAGAACTCTGACATGTGGCTCTGGCTGGCCCTGGCCCATAGTGCCGATCGGGCCTCGCAAAAATTCGGCCCGTGTGATTTCGACAGGCTGGCTCTCCACAACCGTCCTTTCTTCACCCACCCCACCTTCCCCCTCCCTTTTCCCCCCTACCTCCTTCTCCACCCCCCTCACCCCACCCTCCCCCACTCCAACCCCTTCCCCCACTCCAACACCCCCCTTTCCCTTCCACTAATATTGCATTCCCCTATTCTCGTGACCCTAGGCAACTAGGTACCCAGTGCAGGCGTTTGAGCGTGCGCAGTTCAAGGGGTATGTGGGGCTCATGCTGGCAGTGCGACACCAGCCAGTGTTGGTTCACATCGAGGCGTCTGCTGCCACGTTCAATGCGTATGATGGGGTGAGTCGTTGCAACTCTCAGCCAGTATGGTGCCTCGTTGTCCCACCATGGCGCATTTAGCGCGGCTTGGAATGAAATTGTGGGTTTCAAGAGCTGATTAATGAAGAAAAGGAGAAGAAATCAATGAAAGAAGTCCAATTGCCTCAATTTCACTCAATTTCACACCACTCAATTTCACTTGTGCATCTCAGTAGGTAATATTTCTCTTTCCAACAGAGATCCTACCGGGTAACCCAAATTCAAATGTTTATCTATTTCATAAACATTTTGTTGAATACATATTCTCGGTTTGTTTGCTCAAACATATATGGCCCGGACATTCATTGTATAGTGCTTTAACCCTTTCCAGCTCAGATTCATACTTGACTTGACTGACTGTTCTAAACCCACAACTCCCCCTTCTTTCCCCCCTTTATTTTACAATGTATCTTCTGCCCGAACTCTGTTGCAGACTTTTAAATACCAGGATCCAACTTGCTACACGGGCAGTCTCAACCATGTTGTACTCGTTATAGGCTACTTCATCTTGGTTGACGACGGCAGTCAGAACCGCATTGCTCCACCATTTTGGATCATCCGCAACTCATGGGGAGAGGAGTGGGGAGACAATGGTCACATGCGCATGGACATTCAGGGAGGGGATGGCGTGTGTGGCATCAACGTGCTGCCTGGCATCTACCCCATTATCAGAAGTGAGCACTATCTACCCCATTATCAGAAGTGAGCACTATCTACCCCATTATCAGAAGTGAGCACTATCTACCCCATTATCAGAAGTGAGCACTATCTACCCCATTATCAGAAGTGAGCACTATCTACCCCATTATCAGAAGTGAGCACTATCTACCCCATTATCAGAAGTGAGCACTATCTACCCCATTATCAGAAGTGAGCACTATCTACCCCATTATCAGAAGTGAGCACTATCTACCCCATTATCAGAAGTGAGCACTATCTACCCCATTATCAGAAGTGAGCACTATCTACCCCATTATCAGAAGTGAGCACTATCTACCCCATTATCAGAAGTGAGCACTATCTACCCCATTATCAGAAGTGAGCACTATCTACCCCATTATCAGAAGTGAGCACTATCTACCCCATTATCAGAAGTGAGCACTATCTACCCCATTATCAGAAGTGAGCACTATCTACCCCATTATCAGAAGTGAGCACTATCTACCCCATTATCAGAAGTGAGCACTATCTACCCCATTATCAGAAGTGAGCACTATCTACCCCATTATCAGAAGTGAGCACTATCTACCCCATTATCAGAAGTGAGCACTATCTACCCCATTATCAGAAGTGAGCACTATCTACCCCATTATCAGAAGTGAGCACTATCTACCCCATTATCAGAAGTGAGCACTATCTACCCCATTATCAGAAGTGAGCACTATCTACCCCATTATCAGAAGTGAGCACTATCTACCCCATTATCAGAAGTGAGCACTATCTACCCCATTATCAGAAGTGAGCACTATCTACCCCATTATCAGAAGTGAGCACTATCTACCCCATTATCAGAAGTGAGCACTATCTACCCCATTATCAGAAGTGAGCACTATCTACCCCATTATCAGAAGTGAGCACTATCTACCCCATTATCAGAAGTGAGCACTATCTACCCCATTATCAGAAGTGAGCACTATCTACCCCATTATCAGAAGTGAGCACTATCTACCCCATTATCAGAAGTGAGCACTATCTACCCCATTATCAGAAGTGAGCACTATCTACCCCATTATCAGAAGTGAGCACTATCTACCCCATTATCAGAAGTGAGCACTATCTACCCCATTATCAGAAGTGAGCACTATCTACCCCATTATCAGAAGTGAGCACTATCTACCCCATTATCAGAAGTGAGCACTATCTACCCCATTATCAGAAGTGAGCACTATCTACCCCATTATCAGAAGTGAGCACTATCTACCCCATTATCAGAAGTGAGCACTATCTACCCCATTATCAGAAGTGAGCACTATCTACCCCATTATCAGAAGTGAGCACTATCTACCCCATTATCAGAAGTGAGCACTATCTACCCCATTATCAGAAGTGAGCACTATCTACCCCATTATCAGAAGTGAGCACTATCTACCCCATTATCAGAAGTGAGCACTATCTACCCCATTATCAGAAGTGAGCACTATCTACCCCATTATCAGAAGTGAGCACTATCTACCCCATTATCAGAAGTGAGCACTATCTACCCCATTATCAGAAGTGAGCACTATCTACCCCATTATCAGAAGTGAGCACTATCTACCCCATTATCAGAAGTGAGCACTATCTACCCCATTGTCAAGAGCCGGTCCGGTACGAGCACGAGGATGAGCCGAGTGGGATGGCAACGAGCTTGAACGAGTCACGAGATGGCCGAGGAAAGCCAGGGAAGCGCTGGCCTGAGCCGAGCTGACCTGCCGAGCAGGCCGACTCGTGGCAGCCATGCGAGGCAGCCAGCTGGTCCTCTCCTACTGTTGGAAAATCTCTTGCAACACTGCGCAGATCTGGAATTTCAAAGTTTGATCCCTGGGAATCCGGCATTTCACTGGCAAATCCTGTAGGATTTGGCATTTTGCCGCCAGAACCACTCGCATTTTTCACCTAACCACTCCTTTGATCTTGAACTAATCGTTCTAGCAAAGAGAGTGTAGACAATCCACATGCTTGCTCAAGACTAATATAAATAAGCACATAACAGCCCAAAAGGACGTCAAAAACAGCACGGAAAATTCGACCTTGTCTCACTCTGTATGCACGCTTTCCAAGCTCAATTCGACCTTGTCTCACTCTGTATTTTTCCTCCACACTTGCTTGTTTGCTATGGTCGTCTAACATCCATCTTCACGTTTTGAAAAGTGCAACCTCTTTGTCGCCTTCCAGTTCCAGGGGACCCTTGCGGGCTCAGAAGCTACAAGTTCGATAAGGAGACGGAGACCAGCATGAACCCGTGCGGCCGCTTCCAGTGCCAGACCGGAACAAGCAGCAGTAACAGCAATAACTGCAACTGCAGTATTCCCGATCTTAAAGCCAATTCGCAGCCCTTTGTCGAGGTTAAGAATGGATATGGCTCCAACACATGTGCTTACGGTAAGTTTAATTGCAAGGGAAAGCTTGAGTTTCCAAAATTGGCCTCACACTAAACTCAAGTATGCCTGGTTCTTGCACCATGCGAAAGCCCCCTCACCCTCCTTATATGAGTGCGGAGATTAGTAGGCGAGAGGGCACATCAACGAGTGAGTGAGTCACAGGACATTTCTCCCAGCCTGCTTGTGCAATGTGCGGAAGATCTGGCGGCATCTTGTGGTGTGCAGCATCATTTCTCTTGAGTGACATGTAGTGTCATATCCCCTCTCTCTCCTCTCCATATCCTCCCTTTTCTTCTCCCCAACACTCATCCCTAATCTCTTTTCCCCACATCCCCACTCTTTCTACCAATATTCCCACATCTTTCTCCCCATATCCCTCCAATGTCTGTACCATGCGCCACCCCTATACACCTGGGGCAGTGAACGTGTGTGGGTCTTACTTCAAGAACCCCTGCTACGTGGGAGCATGCATCAACGATGGCAAGGGCGCCTACTCCTGCATCTGCCCTCCCAACCACGTGCCCAGCACAACCGTTGATGGCTTTCCCACCTGCGATCCAGGTGCTGCCACTCTACCCCAAGCAAGTGTCTTTAGAAGTGTCAGTCTGTATTGCTTAAGATCGCGAACGTGTTGTGCTTGTACCACAACTGAGGGCATTCCAGCACTGTACGATGGGCCCCGAATCTTCTGTTTCTCTTAAGTTGCTAACCCTCCCTTTCCGTTCCATAATGCCTGTGTCTCTCCTCATTCTGTTGCGTCTGCAGCAAACAGCACAGCCACCACAATGACAGTTCGAGGAGACAACTGGTTGTGCTCGGATGTTTATGCACTTGTTGGCCTCTCACTGGATGAATTCACTCTCCAAAATGCAGTAAGGATTGTGGGTGATAGGCTAGCCTCCATCCAAATTTCTCGCTTCACTTCCCGAATCACCTATTTTCACGTCACTTCCACCGGTAGTCCTATATCAACCTGGTCCTGGTATGGTTTGGTTTAACATCGTGTCTACCTTGACCATTGTTGATAGTTGCATTTTATTTAATCAGTCTTCAACTCTGTTTTTTTTACAGAAAGAATCCAAGAACCTCAAATCACATAGTGAGGTGCAAGAACCTTACTCCCTAGGACCCGGTACGAAGGGTAGGCCCATGTGGAATTTGGTACGAACCTCTACTTCCGTGCATATGTTTCCCACCGCAGGGCATTGACTGCAGCCAGCCATTGCCCAAGGGCAGTGTCCTTCAGCTGGATGGTACTCCCGCCACACCCTGCACTGCCTTCTTCTACTCCCTCAAGGTGAGAAACTGCTTGCCTCTTGGCCACACCACACCATGCTCTTAATCAGCTCGGGGTTATTGGGGTCAATGCTCCTATTGCGTCTTTATTGGTACAAGATAGGGATCGCTGATTTTGATCCAGCAAAAGCACATCACATCAATCGTTGTTGACACGAGCAAGCTGCAAGCACACTGTCCCTGCCTCTCTCAAACCTTCCAGGGAGACACCTGTGAATCCATCAACAAGCAGCTTAACTACAATGTGGGGAATCTCGCCACGCTAAACCCCGGCCTTGACTGCTCCGAGCCCTTGAAGGCGGGCCGCTCGGTGTGCCTCGAGCGCAACGCTGCCTTCGCCTACAAAGTGCCTGAGTGTGTGAAGTACGGCATACTCACACCTGAAGACACATGCGACCGGCTGCTTCAGAGGACAACTACTTCAGAAGGGAGCTCCAAAGATAACCCGTGGCTTGCACTTTACCGCAACAATCCTGGCCTTACTTGCTCCTCCACCATCCCTCAATCTGCCTCCGCTGCTGGCAGCAAGATTGGCGTACAGGTGAGGGCTGTGAGGGCTGGGGGGTGGGGGAAAGAGGGTGAAAAGGGGAGGGTAGAGGGGGGGGGAAGGGGGGGAGGGAAGAAGAGGGTGTGACTAGGGTTGGGGGAGCAGGGAGGTAGGTGGACAAAGGTGGTTGTGCTTTGCATTCTGGGCTTCTGCACGAGTACGTGGTTTGTCGCCCTTGTATTCTGGCACTCTTTGCTTGTCAACTTGGTTTCACCTACACCATCATGAATTCCATTAACTTCACTCCCGTGAATCTTGTCATCCCAGATTTGCCTCCGAGCAGAGTATTGGTCATTCACATTGGGCATCTGCAAGAAGGGAAGGGTAAAGCCAGTCCAACCATCTATGGCATGTTCAGCTGCTTACCTCTTTTATGATAGACCAACCTCGGCAGCAATTGTACAGTTTTACGACTATAATGTTAGGTCTTGCTCTGGAACTGTAAGAGCGAAGTCTATTTGCGTGCCCTTGCCATCTTAGACTGACTTCCAAGTGCCAGATTCTCCTTACCGTAAATAAGACCATAGGGACCACGCCCCATGACAGAGGGTTGCCCTTATGACCTGGGTCTCCTCTGTTATCAGACGAAATTACAGTCCGTCTGTTTGATTTTTATTCGCGTGTTGTTTACTAGTACCCAGGGCCTCAGATTTCAGCGAAAAAAGGCTGATTTAGGTACGGTAGGTTGGAATGCTGATTTTTTAGACATGGGGATAATGTATGGCCTGATATTTCAGTTTTGTTTTTAAGTGTATGGGCTGATATTTCAGCAGATTTTTACAAAGTTTGCTCAGCGTACTAACGAGGGTGTAGGCTGAACTCGCGCTATTTCTGATTCATGTAGAAGCCGTGAGTTTAGGCTGTCTAGGTACATCCCCCGTCAGTCACGCCGAAGTTGCCATATACAGCGCTGATGCAAAGGGAAATCGAATTCCCCGACGCGTCGATTCGGTGCAGAAGTTCCGCAGCAGAACAACAACGCACAGCAAAGCACCGCGTGCCCCCGCGTCAAGCACCCCCACCTCACCCCACCTCACCCACAGCACTTAACTGTAATGGATTCTAGATTTGTTCATCCTTAGTTTTTAAGTGAGGCTGATTAGACAGCCTTTTTTCAAACCAGGACACTGATTTTTCAGGTTTTTCATAAGGTACAACGCTGACTGTTCAGCCTAGGCAAAAACGAATCTGAGGCCCTGCTAGTACCGTACATCATATTTCCTGAAATCCAATCATACCGGTAGGTTTTTTATGATTTTCAAAATTAAATGTCTAGATTGTCCTTTTTTTTTTTGCCTCCTTCAGTCAGTTTGTTCGAAAGCAGAAACTTCGGCCCTGACTATATTCCTCCACACCCCACACTTTGAGAGGCAGAAGTACCGTACCGTAATCGGAAAGGCCCTAAACCCTAAACCCTCAGCAAGGCCCTCTTGATGAAAGACCTCGGTGACCTCAAACACTACCGTACCTGAGGATGGAGATCACTCGCGATCGCCAGGCTCGCACCATCTCTCTTTCCCATAAGTTCTACAACAACAATGTGCTCAAGCGGTTTGGGATGGAGCTGTGCACACCTATCGCCACCCCACTGCCACTTCAACACCTCCTCACCGCCCCAGCTGTACCCACACCAGAGGCATGCACTGAGCCGTACCCAGAGCTTGTTGGGTCCCTCATGTACGCCATGATGTGCACCCGGCCTGACTTGGCATACCCTGTCAGTGTCCTCTCTTGATATGTGGCTCCTGCGCGCTTCACATACCTTCATTGGAAAGCGGCAAAGCGGGTGTTGCGCTATCTGCAGGGCACCAAGTCCCATGCCCTCACCCTTGGTGGGCTTTCACCTCTTCATCTGGAAGGTTATACAGACTCCTCCTGGGCAGATGACCAGACCGACCGACGCTCCTCCCAAGGCTACTGCTTCACCCTTGGGAGCAAGATTGTCAGTTGGCGCTCCACCAGGTCGTCTGCAGTCTCCCTCTCCTCCTGTGAAGCCGAGCTCTAAGCCGGCACCATGGCGGCTCAGGAGGCTCGCTGGCTCACCTTCCTACTCCAGGAGCTTGGCTTTCCTCAGTCCACTCCCACCCTCTGGTGTGACAACCAGAACACCATTCACCTCTCCCGGGATCCCGTGTTTCACACTCGCACCAAGCACATCTAACTTCGCCACTTCATCATCCGTGACCTTGTCCAGCGAGAGCAGCTCAATGTGGAGTATGTGGCTTCCGACTGCAACTTGGCTGATCTGTTCACCAAGCCCCTTGGGAGGTTCTTCACCATCGCCTTCTAGGCGCCATGGGGCTCTGCGCTCCTCCTCCGCCATAAGTTCGATTGACGCCTATAGGGGGTGTTGGTGTTAGCCCTCACATTTTGTACTTGTACTTTTATATCCTAGTTTAGTGTAGTTTGCACTTTGTGTTTGGTTGGGTGTACACCCACATCCCAACCAAACCCAAATGTAATCTCCAAGCAATCTCCAACCCACCAATTGGAGATTGCCTTGGGATTACCCTTGATTCCCTAGGATTGCCCCCTGATTCCCTCCTCATCCATACCTTGCTCATTTCTGATGTACTTAAAGAGCTTTGAGCTCACTACTAATGTATCAGTTCTAAGCCTAAGTTCTGACACTGGTATAGTGCGTTTGATCTGTTAAAAGCTGACGCGTTAGTGGGAAGCCTTCGGGAATGCTTATAATGACCTTTCGGTTATTCCAACCCAGTATGTGCTCCGTTTTTAGCAGGTATGACATGGATATGATGTCAGGATAGTACGCAAGAATGAGAACGGAAGCAGGGGGTTGTACTAGAGGCAGGTGGAGGCAGGGGGTTGTACTCTCTGTTGAGTACCCCACTACAGCCTACACAACATATAACATATAACATTCTGACATATGACGGAGATATGACACGCGATATGGTGTGAAGGAAGTAAAAGAATGGGTTGTTGGACAGGATGATGAGTAGTTGTGCTTTTGTGGCTGGCTGTTACCCCCTCTTTAATGAACGTGTAATGGGATTTGGTGTAGAAAAGGGTAGAATTCTAACAGAATTACATTTCTTGCTTATGATATGACATCGTCTTATAATGTTAGACCCCCAAAAGTGGGTATAATCACAACCGACCTCATACCCCCCTCCGTATTATAGACCCGGGGGTCTACAGCTAGAGGAGGTCTTATATCCGGGGTATTACGATATTATAATATGCATAGTCTTTTGAGTTTGAAAGGCCGACAATCTGGTGTGAGTAAAACTCCATGCATTTTTCTCCATAGGAGGCAGAACCCTGCATATTTTCGCAATTGAATAGAAGCGCACCTAATAACCGTGTATAGTTTAAAGTCCGCAGAGCCTTCCAACTGCCACGCACGCCACCTGCAACACACCCATTCCATATCAGCACGTGTGTCTTAGGGCGCGTGCCTTTTGTAAAAATCTATGCAAAACTCTAGTTTTGAGTTGAACCGTACGCAGTTGAACCTAGGTCGACCTAGGCTCAACAATATTGGTTGCTGTAGCCCGAGTCGCTGCTCCTCAACCCACAAGAACCACAGGGCACGCGAAAGTTCAACTGTTGAAGTTGAACTTTCCCGAGTCGCGGTCAACCTACCTTGTTTTTCACGTGTTTTTGGCAAGATTGTAACACTTTTTTCTGAAGCCGTTCGTGCGCGCGAATTGTGCTGCGACCTTCGCCTAATTCTCAGCTAGCTAGTGTATTGCCAAGAGGACACAGTGAATTTTTTTGCATGCATAGTTTCAGCCGAAAGTTCAACCCAGGTTTAGTGTACTTCGTCTATATACAATGTTGTACACAATGCACGAGCGAAACATTTCGCGAGATTTGCGAAGAGAGTTACCAGCAAAAGTTCAACCAAATTTTCGAACCTCCACAGCAAAAGACACGCGCCCTTAGAAAAGCATACATAGTTGTCTATGTTAGAACCACAGAGTGCACTATCTACTAACCTAGTCATTAACTAAGCCCCAAATTATGTACGTCATTCTGCAGGTGGGGTCGCAGGCCTACGCGCACCGGCTGTTCCTCTACGCCACGTCAGCCACGCTCAAAGTACGCCTGGGAATCACAGGTCCTGCTGAACAGCAGCGCTCTTGCCGATTGCGGATTGCGGTAGTTAGTGCGGTTGCGAAGCTCGTTAGCGGTTTCGTCGCCTCCCATCCCATCGCAGTGTCACAATTTGCAGCGCTGGCCGCCTTAGGAGCGGACCATGCTTTTCGACACAAGAATAGCGCTCGCATTGTTACACAGCACGCGCGCCGCACCCCCCACCTCTGCAAACATTTGGCACATAGTAACTCATGATTCAGCGTCTTTTCTGCAGTGATTTTATGCACAGCAATTTCTCAGGGAAAAGCTTTGCGTGGCCGAAGGTCTCAAACAAGTAGCAGCTCTTGGCTTTGCTTTTTCCCGTGTGCGTGCGTGACGCATCTACTCATAGACAGCAGTTTTACGGCAGCGATTCCGGGTTTCGCCGTGCCCTCTTTCACGTGCTCATAAACCCTCAACCTCGCTTCTCCCCTCCCCCACACCCTTCTTTTCCCCTTCCCTGACCGAACCCACTTATCTTCTACCCCCTACTCTCTACCAAATCTCTCCCCCGCCCCCCATCCCGCCCCATTCCCTCCTCCACACATCCCACCCTCCTACCCACCTCCCCCCCTCCCCACCTTCCCCCCTCCCCTCAACCCCCCGCGCAGCTGTTCCCCCCAGGGGCGGTGGCGGGCGCGGAGGAGCTAGGGCCGCACACGGATCACCATGGGGCGGCGCTGGTGCTGCTCCGCGGATGCCGCCTGTCCCCCGCGGAGTTGGTGCATCTCGTTGACTCCACCTTCCTCAGCAGGTGCGTTTTGACTCGACTCAATCCAAGCATAACCTGCGGCGCTGGTGCTGCTGCGCAGATGCCGCCTGTCCCCCGCGGAGTTGGTTCATCTCGTTGACTCCACGTTCCTCAGCAGGTGACGTGTCGTGCCGTGCTGTTTTCATTGCAAAGCATCCGCCTGTTCTGTGTGTGCGTGTTGTGACGGCCGCCATTTGGCCACGCTGGTGCTGCGGCGCGGGTTCTTCCTGTCCCCGTAGGGAGATTCCTGTTCTTGCCTGTATAATTTCTGAGAATGATCAGAAGTGATGCACTCATGCGTGATAGCAGCTCGGTTCTGCTCTGCCATAACGTGCATGCCTACGCCCCTCTCTTCATGTGGCCCCTGCGATTGCATCGCATGGCATGGCATAACATGCCACTGTATCGTACGGCACTGTGTGTGTGATACATGTGGCGTGGCATGGGCATGGCATGGCATGGCATGGCATGGCATGGCGTGGCATGGCATGGCGTGGCATGGCATGGCATGGCACGTGAGAGCAGGTACATCCATCGCATGTACTGGTGCGAGCACGTCGAGTCCTGCCCCTGGCAGATGGTGCGATCAGTAGCACAGTGGGTGGACGCACAAGCCCACGCACAAGCCCACGCACAGTGGGTGGACGCACAAGCCCACGCACAAGCCCACGCACAAGCCCAAGCCGAGCTCATGGAGGGAATGGGGGCAGCAACAAAGACAGGGGAGAGTGGTGGTACGCAGAAGGAGGGGGAGGAGGAGAGCAGAGCACGGGTGGTGGAGCAGCAGGAAGAGCATCAGCAGCAGGAGGAGGAGGAGGAGGGAAAAGGAAAAATGCAAGAACAGACCCAAGGCACTGCTCCCCGTGTGTCCATCCGCATACAAGCCTTCCCGAAACACTTTGAGCGATGGATAGCCACGCACCTGCCCCCCTCTCTCCCCCTGGACCCCAAGCGCTTCACCCACACCCTCAGTGCGGTTTCCACCGCGCCCCACTTCTTCCCCTTCCACCCCCGCCAGCCCTCCGCGCCCCCTTCCCTTACCCCCTTCGACCTGCTTCCCCCCGTGCCCCCATGCTGCTGCAGCAGCAGCGGCGGGAAAGGGAAAGGGGACGGACAAGGGGGAGGGGAATGGCGAGGGGGAGGGGGAGGCGGAGGAAATGATGGGGGAGAGCGGGGAGAGGGGAGTAGGGGCGAGGAGCAGGATGGTGCGAAGGGAGAGGATGGGGAAGGGCAGAGAGCTGGTGGTGTCAGTCGCCTATCTACCAAGGCAGGTTGGTTGGTTGGCTGTGCTGTGCTTGTTTCGTTGCGCTGCGCTGTGCTGCATTGCGCTGTGCTAGTGCCTTAGTGCCAGCGCGCTAGTGACTGTGCATTAATGCCCACTCCAATGAATGACTCTTACAATCCCTCCCACATGATCCATTCTATCCATCCATGCAGGAGGCTCCTCACTCATCCACCATCTCAGCGCATCCCACCATCCCACACACCCCCCCTTCTTCCACCTCCTCGCCACCCTCCCCACTGCCCTCCCAACCACCCTCTTCCTCCTCACTCTCCTCGCCACCCTCCACGACTCAAACTTTCCCTTCACAGTCCCCTGAAAGCTCAGAAATCCTCTCCGCTTCAAGCTCAGAGCCCCATCAATCTTCGTCTTCTGAGCTTCCTGAAACCTCTCGTAACGATCCAGTTCGCTGCCCAACTTTTGAGAAGTCTCCAAAGTCCCCTGAAAGCTCAGCGCTCCCTTCCACCTCTGACCCCCATCAAGCTTCGTCCTCTGAGCTCCCTGAACGCTCTCCCAACGACCCACCTCGTCGCACGCGTCGCGACAGCACGCCTCTCCCGCTGGTCCCTCCCGACGCGCGCATCTTCTTCTCGCTGTCCCCCGCGTGCTCCATGTGGCGCCTAGCGAGCGACTGCAAGGGCGGCAGTGACGGCTGCGCCAGCAGTGCTGTGAGCAAGCTGGAGGAGGTGCTGCACGTGGTGGGGTGGCGGTTGAGAGAGGATATGACTGGTAAGTGGGATGGGGAAGGGTATGGCGAGAATAAGGTGTAGGAGTGTTGCTCGGTTGGTTGGTTGGTGTGCCAGCAGCGCCGTGAGCAAGTTGGAGGAGGTGCTGCACGTGGTGGGGTGGCGGCTGAGAGAGGATATGACAGGTGAAGGGAAGGAGAGGGGTTTCAATGGGTGGGGTGGGGGCTTGAGGGATAGCAGAGGGATGTAGGAGCTACTCGGATGGTGTGCCTTTGTGTCGTGAGCAAGCTGGAGGAGGTGCTGCACGTGGTGGGGTTGCAGTTGAGAGGGAATATGACAGGTGAGACCCATGAGGGGAAGAAGAGGGGGTTCAAGGGGTGGAGTGGGAGCTTGTAGGAAAGGGGTGTGGGGCGGTCACTAGGTTGATGCCGTGAGCAAGCTCGCACCCTTCCCTCCCTCCTCCCTCTGTGCTCCCTCCACCCACCCATGGACGTGGGGGCGGCACCGGGGGCATGGACGGAGTATCTGAGTGCCAGGGTGCGCCATGTTCTTGCCATTGACCCTGAATCAAACGCGCTCCCTGCCCTCTTTCTTATCCTATCTCCCTCCCTCAATCCATCCCTCCGTTCCTCCCTCTGTCCCTCCCCACTTCCCTGCATGCAGCCATGGATGTGGGAGCAGCACCGGGGGCATGGACGGAGTATCTGAGTGCCAGGGTGCGCCATGTGCTCGCCATCGACCCGGCAGCCCTGTCGCCTGCTGTCACGGCCCGAGGCAACGTCACCCATATCATCAAGATGGTGAGATTGAGGGTGGGGGAGGGTGTGGCTTTTATGCCCTCCAAAGTTCAAACATCAGCACAAGCCCTCTTGCCTGCTGTCACGGCCCGGGGGAACGTCACCCATATCAAGAAGATGGTGAGCTTGTCAAGGGAGATGGTGAGCTTGTCAAGAAATCTTTTAAGCAATCAAAGATATAGGGCGTACTTCTTCTAACGACATGTCAAGCGAACTAAAAAGATTGCTCTTTGATTTCCTACCCTTTGATTGCTTTTTGATTTCCTACCTTTTGATTGCTCTTTGCTGCGTCTATGGCATGTGGTGGCATAAGCAGGTGGAGGATGCGTGGGACGATGTGCAAGCATGGTCCCTGGCCTGCCAAGCTGATTCTCACCCACAGCCACAGCCCACCAGTGCTGATGGGCATGATATAAACCGGGTGCATGAACCAGGGACAGACACCGCTGCACCCACCAACACCACCAGCGCCAGCAGCAGCAGCAGCAGCAGCAGCACCAGTGGCATGACCAGCAGCAGCAGCAGCAGTGGCATTGCCAGCAGTGCAAGCACTACACCCGTATCAGCAGGGAGCAGTGAGCATGGTGGTGTCAACCTTGAGAATTCTCAAGAGGTTTCTCAAGAGCGTGGTGCTGCCACAGCTGCCATGTGCCACGGTCTGTTCTGTGACGCCAACAAGCACCCCCTGCAGGCTGCAAAACTCGTGGCGCCGCTGCTGCCTGCGCTGGCCTCGGGGGGGATACTGGTGGTTACAATGAAGTGCCGCGGACGAGGCAGGTGAGGAATACAATATTTTAGTCTCGACTTTTGAGTCTACTTGATGTTCAGCCTTTGAGTCGACTCAACAGCCTGTGCTGACCTCTGGGGGAAAACAGTACTGGTGGTTAGTTACCATGAATGCTGGGGACGGGGCAGGTGAGGAATGGATATGAGTCGACGTAAAAGGGGTTGTTCCAAAGACGAAGTGGCAGGGACGATGATGGTAATGAGTGGAAGCTTGTGGGGCAGTGACTAATTTTCAGTGTTCTTTGTTTACTTAACTCCCCGATTCCATCTTTCTGCGTCAACTATATTTTTCCAGGGACAAGGAGTTATTGACGCAGCAGTTGACCGAGGCTCTTCCTGTTTCTTTCCGTTATGCTGAGTGCGTGTGGCTTATGGCTAACTCGGTCTTCGAGCGCACGTTTGTTGGCATCAAGGCATAGCTGACATGCTTGAAAGTATGAAACCGTAGTACTTTGAGAAAGATGTTACACTTGATAGTACCTTATGGTTCCGATGCAGAGATATTGGGTTCACAGACGCATGCCAAATATAACACTACTATCTCCTCCCAGTTCAGATACTAGCTTCAAGATGGGTACTGGTAGTGTAGCAACCATCATCAGTCCCATTTTAAGTACAAACAGTGTCTTGACTTCCACGATAACATAAGGATGGACTGAAACGCGTGTGCTTATACACCGGTCATTTACAAGACCGCCGTTCGCCTGCCACCGCACACCCAAGCAGTCCAGTCTGGGATGACTCACGTCTCGACCAGTGCTTGCCATTCATTTTGGGCCACGCAAAAACAATAAAAAGGGGGTGACTAGTAACTACGACTCGTTTCTGTAGGGTTATTTCAAACCAGCTCTGAGTTGCAGGATTTCATTGAGGCCGACGATCAGAGGGGATCGCGAACTCCGTTCAAGTTGCGCAAGTACTCATTCTTTGCTAATTAGCAGTGGCGAGTGCTGTTTAGAGAAACACGTTACGACTGAGCGATTGAACACAGCCAAGAAAGTACACGAAAGCAGGTTTCCCTCGACCTGTGTCTGGAACGATACTGGTGGTAAATTACTTTGACAAAAAGTACACGTCTTGGGAACTGCCAAGGGCCTCGGGAGGAATTCATTGTCCACACCTCAGCCCCAAAGGGCATTTCGTTTCGTGTACGATTACTGGATGAGGGGACCTAGCGGAGCGGCATCACTGACCAGTCTGCTTGAGACCCTCCAAACCGCACCATGGTGGTCAGTTAGTTGATGTAGGCAGTTAGTCCAGTATGCCTGAGTAGATCATAAGAGTGAGTGTCGCAGACTTAGTGCCGCTGACGAGGCGTCGCAGACGGAGTATCTCAGCCGAAGTCCCTTCCTCCGCCTTCGCGAGCGCGGGCTTGTCCGATTGAGCTTCGTCGCAGCGCCAATGCGCTTTTCCGCTCCGACCCTCTAGGGTCGCTGGGCTCGGCGCGCTTGAGTTTTCGCCATTGAGGCATTTGAAGTTGCGACTCGATCACATTGCCAATTCCCGGTCAGAGCTTTCTCTCCGCTGCCGATACTCTTCCATCCGGTCAAACAACCTTTGAGTCGTCTTAAAGACGTTCTTCTAAGAGCTTCCGGTCAGGGCTTCTGCTGCAGATACAGCCACTTCAATCCGGTCGAACAACCGCTTCCGTTTTGACCACTTTTCGACCGCCGTCGTCGTGAAATCGTAGCACAGCGTTACCTCTGTCGCGGCTCATCGCATAAACGTCGCATGAACGTCGCTCGCACGTCGCGCGCGCGTCGCACGTCGTCGACTCGCCAGGGCGTAGATAGTATCCGAGCCATTTGAGCCCTTGCCGAAGCCGCGCCGCAACGGTCCAGCTTTGCGCGGCGCCGTCCGCCGCGCCAAATACTATGGCCTCCCACTTAACTCTTAATCTCTTCTGTCTCGCTCTCAATCTCTCCGCCTGCCACATCACCCCTCCGCCTGGCCGCGTTACGTTCCCCGGGTTTGGCCTTGGACCGGCGGGCGACTCATTCCCCGCGGGTCCGCGCGCGTGCAGCGAGGCGGAGAAGGCGGAGGCGGTAGAAGCGCTGCAGGCGACGACTGAAGGGCTGCGCTTGTGGCGGGGGGACGATGCGCGGATATGGTGAGTGCGGAGGTGGAGCAATGCAGGTGTCACGTCTTGAGTGTGTGCTGATATGAGTGTATGATGATGTTATGTGCGGGCAGTTATGATGGGAATTACTCCATCGTAGTGTAACCTTCCTTCTGTCGAGCATTGTTTTTGACACGCTCACACATGCACGCCTCGCCTCCCTCCCTTTCTCTTCCACCCCTTTCTTCCTCCACCACTTTTTACCCTACCTCCCCCACTCCCCCTCCTCCCCCCCACCCCTCTCTCTCCCGGTCCCCTTCCCCCTCTCTCCTTTACCCCTCACCCCTCTCTCTCCCTCATAACCCCTCCCCTCCCCTTACCCTCACCCAGTCCTTCTCTTTCGCCCTCCCTCTCCACGTCCCGCAGTCCTAACACGAATCCCCGGCCCCTTCTCCCCCTCTCCCCCCTCACCTTTCCCCCTCTCCTCTTCCCCTCCCCGCTCCCCCCCATCCAGCACGAGCGCTAGAGGCGTGTGCTTTCAGCCGCAGCCCATCTCCGTGCCTGCTCGTGGCAGCAGCAGCAGCAGCAGCGGTGGCAGCAGCAGCAGCAGCAGCAGCGGGGACAGTGTTTGTCCCAAGTTGCTGCTGCTGCCGACTAAAGGTGCAGGAAGAAGAAGGGGTAGGGGGTTGAGTCGGATTTTCTTGACTTGAGAATTGTGGTGTGGTGTGGTGTGGTGTGGTGGCATGCAGAATGGCGGCGAGAGGGAGGCGGTTGGGAGGGACGGGGAGGGCGAGGGGGGGATGTGGGGGGGAAGGGAGGGAGGGTGGGGGGAAGGGAGGGAGGGTGGGGCGAAGGGAGGGAGGAAGGAGTCGCGGAGACATAGTTGTTCAACGCACTCTGGCACTCTTTTGCACTCTGGTACAGAGCAGAACCCAGAACCCTACACTGTATCAAGAACTTGCCACCCCACCCCCAACCCCCCCCACCCCCCCCCCCCACAACCCTCCCTCCTCCACTCCCCTCCCCCTTCCTTCCCCTTCGTTCCCCTCCACCCTCCGCCCTCCCTGCTCTCCCCTCTCCATGCCATTTTCTATCTTCCAAGCCCCGATTTCTTGCCCCAGTTTCTCCTGTTTCTCTGTCATTGTTCTGGTTCCCGTTTTCTCATCCGTTCCTTGGAATCACAGATGTTTTTTGAGGCGCCTGAAAAACCCTTCCGTTTAATTTTCTTGACGCGTTATCTCTGCCCTGTCCCCTTGTCCTGTTGTCCGTCCCTTGCGCAAACCACACCACAGATGCTCCCTTCCAGGTGTTGCATCAACCACTCCCATCCAAACGCTCCTCTGCTGCTAGAACCACCCGTGCCAGTAGCAGCAACGCCAGCCCATGCGGCAGTTCCCTCCCTGCTTCCTCCTCCCCGCGCCTGCCTCTCCTCCCGTGCTCGCCCCCACGTCTCCTCCCCGCACTCTTAGACGCGAGCGTATGCCTGCAGCTGAGCTCTGGAGCAGCAGATACAGCACGCAGCAAGCACAGGCGCGCAGAGGGGACTGTGAGGGGAGTAGGGAGAATGGAGAGGGTGGGGAGGAGTGCTGCTGCTGGTGCTTCTGCTGGCAGTGACAGCAACGAGGGCCGCAGGGGGAGAGGCAGAAGCGGAGGCAGAGGCACAGAGAGTGATACACAGATAAACGGAGCAGCTTGGAACGAGGATAAGGGTAGCCGGAGTGGGGGAACGGGCAGGGGAGTAGACGCAGGCAGAGAGAAGGAGACAAGGAGGAGGGAGGGTAAGGCGGGGCGTGTCGGGAAGTCAAAGTGGAGAGACGAGGAGGATGATGAGGACGAAGAGGAGGAGGAGGAGGAGAGAAGGGGGAAGGGGAGGCGGGGGGGGAATGTGGTGGGGGGGAGTGGGGGGCCCGAATCAGCGCCACCAGAAGTACAGATGCTCATGTCCGTGGCAGTGCAGCAGGTGTGTGTGTGTGTGTTTGGGGAGGGGGAAAGGGGGGGGGGGTAGGTGGGTATGGGCGTGTGTGTGGGTGTGGATGTGGGTGTGGGTGTGTACGTGTGTGGGTTGGTGAGTGGGTGGCGTGCTGTATGTGTGTGTGGGTGTGGGTGTGACGCCCACAACCAGGCACTTCAATGGGTCAACCCCATTAGAAACTCTGCTCCTTTCTGGGTAATCTGCCTCTGGGCTGTTTGGGTCGATAGGTACAATACAATGCATTGCCTGCTACACATGCATCCCTCCCAACTCCCCACGCCACTCGAATGGTCTCTATTCAATGGTGAAGCAAAAACAAAGCGTTCTCATAGCACGCCCTAACTCCCCTCACCTCTCCTCTCACCTCTCCCCTCACCTCTCCCCTCACCTCTCCCCTCTCGTCTCCCCTAACTTCTCCCCTCCCATATGGGGTTCACACCAGGTCAACACGGGCAACTTCCAGCATGCAATCGATCTGTTCACCTCGGTGAGTTGTAGAGATTTGAGAATTGCATTGGGTTGCATTGTGGGTAATTAAAATAATTTCGAGGCGCCTCAACACGGGCAACTTTCAGCACGCAATTGATCTGTTCACCTCGGTGAGTTGTCGAGATTTGAGAGAGACGCCTCGGAACGGAACTCTTTGAGGTGCCTCACTGTTGAGAGTTCTCAAAGGTGCTTTCAGCATAGCTGTCAATCTTTGAGACGAGAGAGACGCATACCGGAACGGAACTCTTGAGGTGCCTCAGGAGTAACGATCCCCCCGCCCTCCTCTTCTCCCATTCTTCCCCTGCTCTCCCGCCTCTTCTTTCCGCCCGCACTTCCCCCACAGATGATAAAGAAAGGGCATTTGGTGCCGGCGGCGTTGATAGGCAGAGGCACGGCGTATGCGCTGTGGGGCAAGCTCAAGACGGCCATAGAGGACTACTCCAAGGTCGGTCCTGCAGGTTCCTGCAGGTTCTTGTAGGTTTTACTAGGATTTGGAGGTTTTGGAGGTTAAATCGCTGTGGGGCAAGCTCAAGACAGCCATAGAGGACTACTCCAAGGTCGGTCCTGCAGGTTCCTGCAGGTTCTTGTAGGTTTTACTAGGATTTGGAGGTTTTGGAGGTTAAATCGCTGTGGGGCAAGCTCAAGACGGCCATAGAGGACTACTCCAAGGTCAGTCTGGTTCCTGCGAATTCCCGCAGGCTCTTCTAGGTTCTTGCATGTTCCACTAGGTTTTTTTAGGCTTCTGCAGGTTACTTTTGAGTCGACTCGAAGGTCTTCTCGCTCTGTGTGTGTGTGTGTGTGTGTGTGTGTGTTTGTGTGTGTGTGTGTGTGCACATCAAAGATTTTCTTTTTCCCCCTCTCTATCTTACCGACCCAAGTAACGCCTGGGTTTCCCCCCCTGGATTCCACCCCACCCTGTGCGTGCCCTAATCAGGCGATAGAGGAGGAGCCTCGCATGGCAGAGGCATGGCGGAGGCGAGCGCAGGCGCGCATGGCAGATGGACAGGCTGAAGCGGTGAGGAGCGGTGGAAAGGGTGGGGAGAGTGGTGATGGATGGGTGAGGATGGTTATCGATGGGTGAGGGGTGGGGAGAGTGGTGATGGATGGGTGGTAGAAGGGCGAGCACAGGCGCGCATGGCAGATGGACAGGCGGAAGAGTTGCAGTGCGGTGCGGAGCGGTGCGGTGGTGGAGGTAAGGAAAATTGCTTGTACCTGAGTGAGTGACCGACTGACGGACCAGAGAGCACGTGGTGTTGCGGTGGCTTAGGAGGAACATGGAAGATTGGCACCACCTCCCCCACCCCACCTCTCCCCACCCCACCTCTCCCCACCCCACCTCTCCCCACCCCCCACCCCACCCCCCCACCCCACCCCCCCACCCCACCTCTCCCCACCCCACCTCTCCACACCCCACCTCTCCCCACCCCACCTCTCCCCACCCCACCTCTCCCCACCCCACCTCTCCCCACCCCACCTCTCCCCACCTCCCCACCTCTCCCCACCTCTCCCCACCTCTCCCCACCTCTCCACCTCTCTCCACCACCCCACAGGCAGTGAAGGATCTGAGCCGAGTGGTGGAGCTGGAGCCGCACAACATGCAGGCGTACAACGAGCGAGGTGTGTGTGCTGTGCCACTGTAACGAGGTGACTTCTGAGTCGACTCAAAAGGAAAAGGGCAAAAGTAGTGGAGCTGGAACCGCACATGCAGGCCTACAACGAGCGAGGTGCGTGCTTGCTCGTGCTACAGCTTGTTTCATTCTATCCCGGAGGTATGGTGCTGCTGCTACAGCCAGTTCGTTCCGCAGGTGTTCCGCTGCTACAATTCGCGAGGCATCTTGTAGGGCTGCTGGTTGGTGATGCCTCATCCGCCCTTACCTGCAATGCTCATCTGTTGCTGCACAATTTGCAGATTTCCGCATGTGCTAAGCATCAGCTACAACCCCCCACCCATCCCTCCTTCCATCCATCCATACATGAATACATGCTTCACTCACAACATTTATCACCACGTGTGCACCACACTGCACGACACGACACGGTCTGGGATGGGATGGCACGTCATGGTATGACATGATGTGGCATGGCATGGCATCGCATTGCATGGCACGGCGTGGCACGGCATTGCATGGCATGACACGGCATGTACCCCACACACATGTGGCACCACCACCAGCAATGGCGCACCTGAGGGCGAAGGCGAACTGGGATGCAGTGCGGGACATCAAGTACGTGCTTCAGAAGGACCCAACCAACGCCTTCGCTATCACCCACCTGGTACGCCGTGCTAGAGACGTCTCAGAACCGTGTTGCTGCGATGCAATAGAATCTGTCCCTACGCTACACTGCCCGTACGCTACCAGGGCCAGGTGTATCGATCAAGCAACGATTGCGACAAGTGTCTCCATAGTCAACTCAAATCTTGCACTATCCCGGGCAGGGTGAAAAAAAAGTCGTGCTCAAGATTAAGAAGGTGTTCCCTATTCTCACTAAGGCTTTCGTAGCATCCTAAGTCTGAACGGCGATTGGGGTGGGACGTGGAGTAGACACCAAAAGGAGAAGTATGTAGGAATCGGAAGGAGCTCTGCTCACTAGGGGGCTGTTCGCCAGCACCATTATAGCAAAAAACGACGGGATAACGACGGGATCAGGAAGGTGGGTCTCGCCTTCCTGATCCCGTCAGTTAGAGTTCGTTAACCTCCGTCAGCCTGGTCAGCCCGTGAAAAAAGTGCCGAGCCTCACCTACCGTCCAAACCAACAAACAAAGTGGGCGTCTGGCGAACGCCCACTTTTGTCCACCAAATCTAACGCTTCGACGGCATATGGAAGCGGGGACGAAACTTCGTCCCCAGGCAAAACACCATCCCCTAGCCATGCCATCGCCATGCTGCGTTTTTCAAAGCACAGCGATGGCACAGCCGTCGCATTGCCGTTCAAAAGGGATCGAAGGGAACGTGGGGATGGAGGTTCCCGATGCGGTTGAGAAATTTCTCAACCGCAGGCGCAGAAGTTTCCTGAACGGCATTACGGCCAAACCTCGGAGGTGGGTTCCACCTCCGTTTCCATATGCGGTCGCGATGCCGATGCCATCATTTTCATTTCAAAATACGATTTGCTGGCGAACAGCACCTAGAAATGACGACTGGAATTCTGCTGGCTGGTAAGTAGCGTGAGTGGGGTTTGGTGGGGGACGTTTTTGACAAGTTGGAATTCGTAGATAATATGGGTTCCAATGCGGTACTAATCTAATGTTCAAATTTGAACTGCCTGCAACTTCGAAAGCACATTCCCGCTTCCATAGACCGTCGAATTGCATTTCGACTTAAGCGAAATGCTCAGCAGAAGATTCCGCATCTTTCTGTATACAAGCGAATTTTTTCCTGGGCAGCCCGAAAAAAATTCTGATAGCGTATAGCGTATTAGCTAGCGTATAGCGTTTTGCGTACACACGCTAGCGTATATACGCTGTATGCTTTAGGGTTTGAGCGTATATTCCCACTAAGGCGCAATCCACCCCACCCCTCCCCCTCTTCATCGTAGCCCAGGGCCAGGCGTGTCTATCAGGTGGCGACTGCGACAAGTCTTTCTAGAGAAACCAACCTCACCCCACTGCATTCCACCCCACACCACCCCACTCAACCCCCCTTTTTCTCCCTGTCACAGGGCCAGGCGTATCTATCAGGCGGCGACTGCGATTTGGCAATCGAGGCGTTCCAGAGAGCCTTGAAGCACGACGGCAGCAACAGGGACGTGCTGCTGCAGCTGGCGCAGTCCCAGCGTGAGCTGGGGCGAGTGGACGACGCCGAGAAGAGCTACCTTCAACCATCCCTTCTCTTCAATCTTTCCCTGCCTCCACTCCCCTCCTCTCCATTATTCCCCCTTCCGCCCCGTCCCCATCCATCCCCATCCGCTCCCCTCGCCCCAACCCCCTTCCCCCTTTCCCCCTCCCGCCTTCCCACCCACCAGGGCCAGGCGTATCTATCAGGCGGCGACTGCGATTTGGCAATCGAGGCGTTCCAGAGAGCCTTGAAGCACGACGGCAGCAACAGGGACGTGCTGCTGCAGCTGGCGCAGTCCCAGCGCGAGCTGGGGCGAGTGGAGGACGCCGAGAAGAGCTACCTTCAACCATCCCTTCTCTTCAATCTTTCCCTGCCTCCACTCCCCTCCTCTCCATTATTCCCCCACCCTTCCGCCCCGTCCCCATCCATCCCCATCCGCTCTCCTCGCCCCAACCCCCTTCCCCCTTTCCCCCTCCCGCCTTCCCACCCACCAGGGCCAGGCGTATCTATCAGGCGGCGACTGCGATTTGGCAATCGAGGCGTTCCAGAGAGCCTTGAAGCACGACAGCAGCAACAGGGACGTGCTGCTGCAGCTGGCGCAGTCCCAGCGCGAGCTGGGGCGAGTGGAGGACGCCGAGAAGAGCTACCTTCAACCATCCCTTCTCTTCAATCTTTCCCTGCCTCCACTCCCCTCCTCTCCATTATTCCCCCACCCTTCCGCCCCGTCCCCATCCATCCCCATCCGCTCCCCTCGCCCCAACCCCCTTCCCCCTTTCCCCCTCCCGCCTTCCCACCCACCAGGGCCAGGCGTATCTATCAGGCGGCGACTGCGATTTGGCAATCGAGGCGTTCCAGAGAGCCTTGAAGCACGACGGCAGCAACAGGGACGTGCTGCTGCAGCTGGCGCAGTCCCAGCGCGAGCTGGGGCGAGTGGAGGACGCCGAGAAGAGCTACCTTCAACCATCCCTTCTCTTCAATCTTTCCCTGCCTCCACTCCCCTCCTCTCCATTATTCCCCCACCCTTCCGCCCCGTCCCCATCCATCCCCATCTGCTCCCCTCGCCCCAACCCCCTTCCCCCTTTCCCCCTCCCGCCTTCCCACCCACCAGGGCCAGGCGTATCTATCAGGCGGCGACTGCGATTTGGCAATCGAGGCGTTCCAGAGAGCCTTGAAGCACGACGGCAGCAACAGGGACGTGCTGCTGCAGCTGGCGCAGTCCCAGCGCGAGCTGGGGCGAGTGGAGGACGCCGAGAAGAGCTACCTTCAACCATCCCTTCTCTTCAATCTTTCCCTGCCTCCACTCCCCTCCTCTCCATTATTCCCCCACCCTTCCGCCCCGTCCCCATCCATCCCCATCCGCTCTCCTCGCCCCAACCCCCTTCCCCCTTTCCCCCTCCCGCCTTCCCACCCACCAGGGCCAGGCGTATCTATCAGGCGGCGACTGCGATTTGGCAATCGAGGCGTTCCAGAGAGCCTTGAAGCACGACGGCAGCAACAGGGACGTGCTGCTGCAGCTGGCGCAGTCCCAGCGCGAGCTGGGGCGAGTGGAGGACGCCGAGAAGAGCTACCTTCAACCATCCCTTCTCTTCAATCTTTCCCTGCCTCCACTCCCCTCCTCTCCATTATTCCCCCTTCCGCCCCGTCCCCATCCATCCCCATCCGCTCCCCTCGCCCCAACCCCCTTCCCCCTTTCCCCCTCCCGCCTTCCCACCCACCAGGGCCAGGCGTATCTATCAGGCGGCGACTGCGATTTGGCAATCGAGGCGTTCCAGAGAGCCTTGAAGCACGACGGCAGCAACAGGGACGTGCTGCTGCAGCTGGCGCAGTCCCAGCGCGAGCTGGGGCGAGTGTACGACGCCGAGAAGAGCTACCTTCAACCATCCCTTCTCTTCAATCTTTCCCTGCCTCCACTCCCCTCCTCTCCATTATTCCCCCACCCTTCCGCCCCGTCCCCATCCATCCCCATCCGCTCTCCTCGCCCCAACCCCCTTCCCCCTTTCCCCCTCCCGCCTTCCCACCCACCAGGGCCAGGCGTATCTATCAGGCGGCGACTGCGATTCGGCAATCGAGGTGTTCCAGAGAGCCTTGAAGCACGACGGCAGCAACAGGGACGTGCTGCTGCAGCTGGCGCAGTCCCAGCGCGAGCTGGGGCGAGTGGAGGACGCCGAGAAGAGCTACCTTTAACCATCCCTTCTCTTCAATCTTTCCCTGCCTCCACTCCCCTCCTCTCCATTATTCCCCCACCCTTCCGCCCTGTCCCCATCCATCCCCATCCGCTCCCCTCGCCCCAACCCCCTTCCCCCTTTCCCCCTCCCGCCTTCCCACCCACCAGGGCCAGGCGTATCTATCAGGCGGCGACTGCGATTTGGCAATCGAGGCGTTCCAGAGAGCCTTGAAGCACGACGGCAGCAACAGGGACGTGCTGCTGCAGCTGGCGCAGTCCCAGCGCGAGCTGGGGCGAGTGGAGGACGCCGAGAAGAGCTACCTTCAACCATCCCTTCTCTTCAATCTTTCCCTGCCTCCACTCCCCTCCTCTCCATTATTCCCCCACCCTTCCGCCCCGTCCCCATCCATCCCCATCCGCTCCCCTCGCCCCAACCCCCTTCCCCCTTTCCCCCTCCCGCCTTCCCACCCACCAGGGCCAGGCGTATCTATCAGGCGGCGACTGCGATTTGGCAATCGAGGCGTTCCAGAGAGCCTTGAAGCACGACGGCAGCAACAGGGACGTGCTGCTGCAGCTGGCGCAGTCCCAGCGCGAGCTGGGGCGAGTGGAGGACGCCGAGAAGAGCTACCTTCAACCATCCCTTCTCTTCAATCTTTCCCTGCCTCCACTCCCCTCCTCTCCATTATTCCCCCACCCTTCCGCCCCGTCCCCATCCATCCCCATCCGCTCTCCTCGCCCCAACCCCCTTCCCCCTTTCCCCCTCCCGCCTTCCCACCCACCAGGGCCAGGCGTATCTATCAGGCGGCGACTGCGATTTGGCAATCGAGGCGTTCCAGAGAGCCTTGAAGCACGACGGCAGCAACAGGGACGTGCTGCTGCAGCTGGCGCAGTCCCAGCGCGAGCTGGGGCGAGTGGAGGACGCCGAGAAGAGCTACCTTCAACCATCCCTTCTCTTCAATCTTTCCCTGCCTCCACTCCCCTCCTCTCCATTATTCCCCCACCCTTCCGCCCCGTCCCCATCCATCCCCATCCGCTCCCCTCGCCCCAACCCCCTTCCCCCTTTCCCCCTCCCGCCTTCCCACCCACCAGGGCCAGGCGTATCTATCAGGCGGCGACTGCGATTTGGCAATCGAGGCGTTCCAGAGAGCCTTGAAGCACGACGGCAGCAACAGGGACGTGCTGCTGCAGCTGGCGCAGTCCCAGCGCGAGCTGGGGCGAGTGGACGACGCCGAGAAGAGCTACCTTCAACCATCCCTTCTCTTCAATCTTTCCCTGCCTCCACTCCCCTCCTCTCCATTATTCCCCCACCCTTCCGCCCCGTCCCCATCCATCCCCATCCGCTCCCCTCGCCCCAACCCCCTTCCCCCTTTCCCCCTCCCGCCTTCCCACCCACCAGGGCCAGGCGTATCTATCAGGCGGTGACTGCGATTTGGCAATCGAGGCGTTCCAGAGAGCCTTGAAGCACGACGGCAGCAACAGGGACGTGCTGCTGCAGCTGGCGCAGTCCCAGCGCGAGCTGGGGCGAGTGGACGACGCCGAGAAGAGCTACCTTCAACCATCCCTTCTCTTCAATCTTTCCCTGCCTCCACTCCCCTCCTCTCCATTATTCCCCCACCCTTCCGCCCCGTCCCCATCCATCCCCATCCGCTCCCCTCGCCCCAACCCCCTTCCCCCTTTCCCCCTCCCGCCTTCCCACCCACCAGGGCCAGGCGTATCTATCAGGCGGCGACTGCGATTTGGCAATCGAGGCGTTCCAGAGAGCCTTGAAGCACGACGGCAGCAACAGGGACGTGCTGCTGCAGCTGGCGCAGTCCCAGCGCGAGCTGGGGCGAGTGGAGGACGCCGAGAAGAGCTACCTCAAGGCGCTGAGGCTCGACCCGCGCCACCCCCAGGCGTACCGCGTGTACAGCCAGTTCAAGCAGGCCATGGGGGACCACCGGTGGGTGTGGGGTGAGGGGGTGTGTGGTGTTGAAAAGCTAGAAGAGATACATTGAATAATGAGCCAAGAGGCCCTTTAGTACAAACAATGAGCAAGAGAGAGATGAAAGGGAAGCTTACCCTATTGGCCAATAAGTTGGCCAATGGGTGAGCTTGCTTGTGACCCAAGCAACCACAAATGTGTGTTGGTTGGGATTGGTTGAGCTAGGGACCAATCCCAACCAACCACAAAATGTGGTTGGAGGGTACACTAAACAACCCCCCAATTTATAAGTGTACTACAGATCTAATTCTAGCCTATGTATGTTGTACAAATTATGAAATTACAACACAACCCCCCAACATGCATAAGGCTAGAAGGCTAGAATCAAGAGGCGGGAGGCGACTTAGGAGGAGTGAGGCCAAGAAGACGAAGTAGGAAAGAGTGAGCGACATGAGGAAGAGCTTTTGTGAAGATGTCGGCAAGGTTGGCCGCCGAGTCAACCTTGTCGAGCCGAAGGTGCCCCGCCTGAACAAGATCGCGAATGAAGAAATGACGGAGCTCAATGTGCTTGGAACGCCCGTGAAACACGGCATCTTTGGTGAGGTGAATGGTACTGGCATTGTCACACCAAATGGTGGGACAGCGCTGGGGGGCACCAAGTTCCTCAAGGAGGAAGGTGAGCCAGCGGGCCTCTTGCGCAGCCATGGTGGCGGCATACAACTCCGCCTCGCAGGAGGAGAGGGCGACAGCCGAGGAGCGGGTGGAGCGCCAGCTGATAAGGCCGCTGCCAAGAGAGAAGCCATAGCCCTGGGAGGAGCGACGATCTGGCTGGGAATCAGCCCAGGAGGAGTCACTGTAGCCGCTGAGGGTAGGTGGGGAGGGGCCGCCGAGGGTAAGGACATAGTCCTTGGTGCCACGAAGGTACCGGAGGACACGCTTGGCGGCCTGCCAGTGCTCTTCCGTATGCTTGCCTGCGCCAACAAAACGAGCGAGGACGCTGATGGGGTAGGCAAGGTCAGGGCGAGTGGAGACCATGGCGTACATGAGGGAGCCGATGAGCTCGGGATAAGGATGGGAGGAGGCTGAGGGGGAGGTGGGTGGAGAGAGGTGGTGCCCGACAGAAAGAGGAGTAGGTTGGGCGCCGCCGCGGACCATGTCAAACCGCTCCAAGACCTGCTGCAAGTAATGACCCTGGGAGAGAGAGATGGTGCGGGCGGAGCGATCGCGGGTGATTGTCATGCCCAGGTAATGCTGCAATTCGCCCAAGTCCTTGCACTTGAGACGGCTGCCCAACTCAGCCTTAACACGCTCCAACTCGCTGAGGTCGGCAGTGAGTAGAATCATGTCATCGACATAGACAAGGATGTAGAAGGGGGAGGGGGAGGCGCGGAGGAAGAGGCTGGCGTCAGAACGGGAGGTGCGGAATCCAAGTTCAGCAAGGGTGGCGGCAAGCTTAGCATGCCACTCCCTCGGGGCCTGTCGGAGCCCATACACAGGGCGACGCAGCTGCCAGACAGAGTCCGCAGGGAAGGGAAGGTGAAAACCGGCAGGACGCTCCATGTAGATAAGCTCGCGGAGGACGCCTTGGAGGAAGGCGTTAGAGACGTCCATCGAGTGGATCTCCATATTGAGGCGAGCGGCGAGGTCGAGCACGGCGCGAACAGTAGCGGGCTTGGCAGTGGGGGAGAAGGTATCGAAGAAGTCAAAACCATACCGCTGCGTGAACCCCTTGGCGCAGTAACGAGCCTTGTAGACGGGCGGCTCCCCTGGCAGTTGTTTGACGCGAAACACCCACTTCCCCTTCACCACGTTCGTAGAGGAGGGAGGGCGAGGCACATCAACAAAGGAGGAGTTGGCGACAAAGGCCTCCAGCTCCTTGATAATGGCGGCGAGCCAGAGTGGGGCGTCGGGGCAAGCCATGGCCTCCTCATACGTGGTAGGGATGAAAACGGAGGGAGCAGAGGAGAATGCGAAGACAGGTGTCCCAGAAAGGTCGAAGGTGATGGGTAGAAGGGAAGGGTCACAGAGGTGGAGGTCAAGGAACTCCTCATGGGAGTCCTCAGAGAGGGAGGTGTGGAAGGAGCGGATGACCGTTGGTGCCGCTGGTGCTGCTGCACGTGCCGCTGCTGGTGCCGCTGCTGGTGCCGCTGCTGGTGCCGCTGCTGGTGCCGCTGCTGGTCCTGCTGCTGGTGCCGCTGCTGGTCCTGCTGCTGGTGCCGCTGTTGGTGACGCTGCTGGTGCCGCTGCTGGTGCCGCCGCTGGTCCTGCTGCTGGTGCCGCTGCTGGTCCTGCTGCTGGTGCCGCTGCTGGTCCTGCTGCTGGTGCCGCTGCTGGTCGTGCTGCTGGTGCTGCTGCTGGCGCCGCTGCTGGAGAGGTGGCGGCGGGGGCTGCTGCAGGGGGAGGTTGATGCAGAACAGCCTGGAAGAAGTGGTGAAGGAGAGGGGAGAGTGGGGGGAGGGTAGAGGTAGAGAGGGTAACAGGGGGCGGTGCACCAAGGATACTGTCTTGTGACCTGGTATGGGGGTACCGGGTTAGTACAGTGCGGGGAGGGGGGGAAGGACGAGTCGGCAGCGAGGGAGGTGAAGGAGGGGCGGGAGGGGCACTAGGAGAGGAATGTGTGGGGGAGACGGGAGAGGACAGAGGTTCCGGGTCAAATATATCACCAGACAAGGGAGGGGCACCGTGGGACGAGGACGACGGTGGGGGAGGGGGAGGGAGGATGGGGGGAGGAGGAAGTAGAGGGGGAGGGGTGGTGTCAGACCAGACAAGGGGACGGGGAAGACGGGGGAGTGGGTCAGTGGATGGGGGAGAGGAGTAGTAAGGAGTGGACTCATCAAAGACCACATCCCTACTGCGGAATAGACGACCTGAGGGGGGATGGAGGAAAAGGTAGTCAGGTGAGGAGGAGTTATGACCAAGAAAGATGCAGGGAAGGGTACGAGGGGCAAGCTTTCCCATAGAACGGGAGCGGTCAGCGGGGTGAAGAAGGACATAAGCCTTTGAGCCCCAGACACGAAGAGATGAGACATCAGGCTTGTTGTTCGTCCACAGCTCAGTGGGGGTGGTGGATGGGAGAAGAGGGTGAGGGTAAAGGTTAGTAAGCAGGGCGGCATGAAGGAGGGCGTAGCCCCACAGAGAAGGAGGGCAGGAGGCGTGGACAAGGAGACACCGGGCAGTTTTGGTGATCTCTCGAACACGACTTTCAGCCACACCGTTCTGCTGTGGGGAGTGAGGGAGGGTGTAAGTCTGAAGAATGCCATGAGACTGGCAATAGGAGGATATTTGGTTGTTAAGGAACTCACCACCACCATCAGAGTGAAGGCGGCGAACAGGGCGCCCAAAATGGGTGTTTGCTCGCTCGAGCCAGGCGATGATCGCAGCCGGGGCATCTGCCTTCGTCCGAAGGAGAGAGACGGACGAGTACCGACTGTGATCATCGACGAGTACGAGGAGGTATCGATGGCCCTGGCGAGTGGGAGAGGGATTGGGGCCCCAGAGGTCCATGTGAACAAGATCAAGTGGCTGAGCAGCAGCGGAGGGGGAGCTCCGGTGCGGCTGCTGCTTGAGCTTGCTCTGAACGCAGACGGTGCAGGGGGGGGCAGGGGATTTGGGGAGAGGAGGTAGGGAGGAGGGGAGACCATGGAGGAGACCGGAGGAAACAGAGGAGCGTAGAGTAGCGAAGTTAGGGTGACCTAGCCTGTGATGGAGGAGGACGGCAGGGTGGGAGAGGGAGCGACAGGAGCAAGAGGAGTCAGGGGGGGGGCGTGAAGGGAGGTCCGGGTTAGTGGGAGGGAGAGGAGGGGGTGGGATGAGTGGGTGGAGGGGAGGACGAGAGATGACCTGACAGGAGGGGAGGCGAGGAACACGAAGGGTGTACAGACGGGAGCGAGGGCAAAATGGAATGCGAGAAATGAACTGACCGGTGGCGGAATGGTAGAGAGCGCAATAGTTAGCATAAGCTGGGAATACTGTGGTGATACCGGCTTGTTGAAGGGACCTTTGCGAGAGGAGATTAGCGCGAAGAGAGGGTATGTGGAGACCGGTGACAGTGCCTGAGGGGAAGAGTGGGCAGGGGAGAGTCGAGGTGTTATGGCAGGGGATAGAGAAGCTGCTATCGGCGCCAAGGAGGGAGGTAGGCGTTGGGAGGGGGCGCAAGGTGCCAGCATCGCGAAGAACTGTGTCAGTGGCGCCGCTGTCAAGGACAAAGTCGACAGTGGAGGGGAGGGAGGAGGAAGGGACAGAGGACTGGAACGCAGTTTCTTTAGTGCTAGAGGAGTATGTGGCAGGGGCAGCTGATGTGGCTTGATTGACCATACCAGCAATACCAACGGATGAGAGAGGTGGGACATTGCTTGAAGTGGCGGAGCTTGTGGAACAATGCGGAACTGAGTTCTGCTGGGAAGTTGGGGGAGGAGGAGGAAGAGGCAGCTGCGCTTGTGCGCTAAGGTGCTGCTGCAGGCGGTGAAGCAACTGCTGGAGCTGGAGGAGGAGGTGCCAGAGCTGCTGCTGCTGCTGCTGCTGCTGCTGCTGCTGCTGGAGCTGCTGCTGCTGCTGCTGCTGCTGCTGCTGCTGCTGCTGCTGCTGCCGCCGCCGCCGCCGCCGCCGCCGCCGCCGCCGCCGCCGCCGCCGCCGCCGCCGCCGCCGCCGCCGCCGCCGCCGCCGCCGCCGCCGCCGCCGCCGCCGCCGCCGCTGCTGCTGCTGCTGCTGCTGCTGCTGCTGCTGAGGAGGAGGAGGAGAGAAGGGTGGACTCGGGGCATGGTGGGCTTGGGTGGAGATTTTGCACTGAAGTCCCCGAGTCGGGCCATAGCGAGGCACATATTCACGAGGAGAGAAGGCTGCTGCTGCGCCGCAGCCTGCGCTCAAACCCCTGATACCACAATATCCTGCGAGTCTCCCTTGACCACCACCACAGCTACCACTATGCCCTCCTCCATGCCCACCGGCACCACTTCTGCTGCATGCCAGGGCGACTATTGCCATGGAGGGAGCAATGTGAGTGTGGGCGGTTACGGCATGGCGCAGGCGAGCAGGGCATGAAGGTGTGCGGTATGCGTTTGCAAATGTGCGGTATGCCGGGGAGGTGGGCAGGGGGCGGACGAGGGGACGGGGGACAGCGAGCGGGGAAGGAGGGCGTGCGACGAGTGCGCGGACGGGGAGGGCGCGGACGAGCAGGGCGCGCGGACGGGCAGGGCGCGGACGAGCAGAGCGCGCGGACGGGCAGGGCGCGGACGAGCAGGGCGTGCGGACGGGCAGGGCGCGGACGAGCAGGGCGTGCGGACGGGCAGGGCGCGGACGAGCAGGGTGTGCGGACGGGCTGGGCGCGGACGCGAAGGGCGGACGAGCAGGGCGCGCGGACGGGCAGGGCGCGGACGAGCAGGGCGTGCGGACGGGCAGGGCGCGGACGAGCAGGGCGTGCGGACGGGCAGGGCGCGGACGAGCAGAGATGGGCGCGAAATGGTCAGATTTCAGCGCGGGAGATGCAGATCTGGTCGCGCGGAGGGCAGATCTGGGCGCGCGGAGGGCAGATCTGGGCGCGCGGAGGGCAGATCTGGGCGCGCGGAGTGCAGATCTGGGTGCGAAATGTTCAGATCTGGGCGCGGGAGGAGGAGATCTGGTGGCGCGGAATCCAGATCTGGGCGCGGAATGATCAGATCTAGGCGCGGGAGGAGTAGATCTGGTCGCAGGGAGTGCAGATCTGGGCGCTGGAGTTGCAGATCTGAGCGCGGGGAATGCAGATCTGGGCGCTGGAGTTGCAGATCTGAGCGCGGGGAATGCAGATCTGGGCGCTGGAGTTGCAGATCTGGACGTGCCTTGGAGGGCAGCGCCTTAGGGGGCGCACGGGGAGGGAGGACAGCGCCTTAAGGGTGCGTGAAGGGAGGGCAGCTCCGTGGGTGGGGCTAGATCTGAGGAACGGGGAGGAATAGATGTGAGCTCGGGAGGAGTAGATCTAAGCTCGGGAGGAGTAGATGTGAGCTCGGGAGGAGTAGATCTGAGCTCGGGAGGAGTAGATCTGAGCTCGGGAGGAGTAGATGTGAGCTCGGGAGGAGTAGATCTGAGCTCGGGAGGAGTAGATCTGAGCTCGGGAGGAGTAGATGTGAGCTCGGGAGGAGTAGATCTGAGCTCGGGGGGGATAGATCTGAGCTCGGGAGGAGTAGATGTGAGCTTGGGAGGAGTAGATCTGAGCTTGGGACGAGTAGATGTGAGCTCGGGAGGAGTAGATCGGAGCTCGAGAGGAGTAGATCTGAGCTTGGGAGCACCGTAGTAGGACTAGGTCTGAGGGACGGGGAGGAGAGGGTGGCCTTAGGATCGAGGGATTAAGGCGTGAGCCAATAGCTCATGATACCATGTTGAAAAGCTAGAAGAGATACATTGAATAATGAGCCAAGAGGCCCTTTAGTACAAACAATGAGCAAGAGAGAGATGAAAGGGAAGCTTACCCTATTGGCCAATAAGTTGGCCAATGGGTGAGCTTGCTTGTGACCCAAGCAACCACAAATGTGTGTTGGTTGGGATTGGTTGAGCTAGGGACCAATCCCAACCAACCACAAAATGTGGTTGGAGGGTACACTAAACAACCCCCCAATTTATAAGTGTACTACAGATCTAATTCTAGCCTATGTATGTTGTACAAATTATGAAATTACAACATGTGGGTGGGTGTGTTGTTGGTGTATGTGCATGTGTGTGAAGGAGCAGCTACCTCCCTCCCGGCGATGCGCTGCTGAGGCCGGCTAAACCTGCGACACTCGCAGGCGTAGCATGTGCCTGTGCATGCCTGTGGCTGTGCCTGTTCCGTATTTCACTGACTTGCTCATGTCTAACGCTCCCACCATCCATCCTCCACGCCCCACCACAACACACTTGCGGAGGAGGCGAGGGACTGTCACCGTGAACCTACCATGCAAGCAAAGGCACAGCTTAAACAGCAGCTGAGGCATCTCAACACTCCTCTCCTCTCACCACCGCCACATCACATCCCACCAGGGCAACGCTATTAGTGGCGAGGCAGGGGCTGAAGGCTGCCAAACGACCGTTGAGGCTGCTATGCCACGAGTGGCCGCTCCTCAGCAGCACTCTCCTCTCTCTACCTTCAAATCACATCCCATCAGGACCGCGCTATTAGTGGCAAGGCAGGGGCTTAAGCTTCTGCCAAACGACATGGATCTGCGCTACACTGAAGCCTCCTGCGTGCATGCACTAGGACTATTCTCTGAAGCGGTGAGTCCCCGCCCTCCCTTTTGTTTTAAGACTGCTCACCGCACTGCACCGTGCTACACCGCCCTGCTGCACGCCCTGTGCTGCCTGCCGCAGGCCATGTGCGAGTTTTATTGAGGCACCCTCGTGCACACCCATCCCACCATCATCCACCTCTACTCTTTCATTGAGTCACCTCGAAAACGGAATGCGTGCAGTCCCATATGTGAGCTCTACATCTGTGTCTCGCTCCGTAGAAAGAGACTTCCTGTCATCCATCCAGACTATTCAATTTCTTTTCTTTTCATTTCCTTTCTTTTCTTTTCTTTCCTTTCTTTTCTTCACCTTGACTCTCGCACCTCCCAGGTGCAATTGTACGACAGCTTTCTTGGTCTCAACTTCCCGCCTGAAGAGGAGAGGACCAAACAGTTCCAAGCATTTTACCAGGTACATACATCTATGTCACTATGTGCTTTGACTCGACTCGAAAGGGGGCTTCTACCAGTAACCTGTGTTACTATGTGTGGAGACATACTTTCGACGCGCCTTGAGATTGCACCTATGTGCATACCTGTTGTATCACATGTTATGTACTACCTAGCGCAAGTGACAACCTACGGCATAACTGCATACGGCATTCCACATCGTTTCCGCCCCCCCCTTCCACCCTTACCTCCTCCCCTCTCCCCTCCTACCTCTCCATGGCCTGTTCTTCCCCTCTGCACCTCACACGATGGGTGCGACACAGAGGGAGCTGACATGCTACCTGGCCATGAGGAGGCACAAGCCGCTGCCAGCACTCAAGATAGACGACGAGCTCAATCCCACCTTCAAGGTCCGCCTCTAGCCCGCTCACCGTTGATAGGAAAGCTCACATGCTACCTGGCCATTCTTTTGAGGCGCCTCAAAAGCGATGAGGAGGCTCAAGCCGCTGCCAGCACTGAAGATAGACGATGAGCTCAACCCCACCTTCAAGGTCCGCCCCTCATGCCATGCCATGCCATGCCATGCCATGCCATGCCATGCCATGCCATGCCTTGGAACTGATGCCACTCCCTGTCTTCCGCAACCCTCACTCGTTTTCTACCCAGTGTTCCTCACACTTCCTTCCACACTCCCCACTGTAACAGCCAGGGCGTGCCTCTAATGGTCCTCTCTTCCGGATATGAAATGCGGTCAGCTTTTAAGCTCCCTCTCACACTTGCCTCCACGCTCCCTCTCTGTGACAACAGGAAGGGTGGAGCAAGCGCATGCCCCCAATGGTCCTCTTCCCCGGATACGAGATGCAGCCGGTGCAGCAGGTGGCCCGCCTTCCGCCCTCCGAGAACGGCGGTTACCGCGTAACCTTTTCGAAGCAGATTCGTGCGTTGCTGCAAACAGCAGAGAAGCTAGGATCCCTGGTGAAATACGACTGGCAGGGATTCCTGCCCAACAAGCGGCAGGTGAGCATGAGTGAGGCCGAAGGGAATTGAAGAAATCTTAAAGCAGATGCACGCGCTGCTGCATGTAGCCGAGAAGAAGCAGCATGCAGCAGAGAAGCTAGGGTCCCTGGTGAAATACGACTGGCAGGGATTCCTTTGCAACAAGAGACAGGTGAGCTTGAGCGTGAGTGTGAGCATCTGTTGATTGAGACGACTCAAGAAGCGGAGAAGCCAGGATGATAGGGTCCCTCAAGAAGCTAGGATCCCTGGTGAAATACGTCTGGCAGGGATTCCTTCCCAACAAACGGAAGGTGCGTATGAGTGTGAGTGTGAGTATGAGTGTCAAAAGTTGGTGAAAATAACAGGGCAGTGCAACCAGTGTGCAGAGAATGAGATGGCTACAGATTGACTAAATGCAGAGGTTACCTCTTTCCCCCTCTCCCCTCCACCCGCTCCTTCCTCCCGTCTTACATGCACGGGTCACCCCCAACAGTACCGCATGGCAGGGCTGGCAATGATGGACCTTCGAGATCTGGTGCGGCGCACATGGGAGGAGAGAGCCAGGCACGCTGCTGCTGCTGGTGGTGGTGGGGGTGGTGCTGCTGGTTGTACTGGTACTTATGCTCCCTCCCATCCCCTCTCTCTCCGCTCCCTTCCCAACCCCCCACCCCCACGCCCTACATGCACCGCCACCCCCACCAGTACCGCATGGCAGGGCTGGCGATGATGGACCTTCGAGACCTGGTGCGCCGCACATGGGGGGCCATGGCAGAGGAGAGAGACAAGCAGGCTGCTGCTGCTGCTGCTGCTGCTGCTGGGGGCAGTGGGGGTGCTGGTGGTGCTGGTGGTGCTGCTGGTGGTAGTGGGAGCAGGAGGGGGCGGAGGAGGCAGCAACGGCTGCAGCAGCAGCAGCAGCAGCAGCAGGAGGAGGAGGAGAAGCAGCAGGGGGAGTCAGAGGGGACAGAGCAGGAGGACAGGCAGGAGGAGCGGCAGCGCGGCAAGAAGCAGGAGCGTAAACAAAGACGCAGCAACAAGCGGCAGCAGGAGGAGGACGAGGAGGAAGAAGAAGACGAGGACGAGGAGCAGCAGCAGGGGCGGCGGTCGCGGGGGCGCGAGAAGAAGGGTGGGGGGGGTGAGGCGGAGAAAGGGAAGGCGCAAGGGAAGGTGGGAGAGACGATCGGCGGGTGGAGGGAGATCTATGACCGTGTGGTGAAGTGGCGACAGCTGGCTGAGCCCATCGACCCTGTGGTGTGGATCGACAAACTCACGTGCGTGCACTGGAAGGGGGGTGTGGGGAGAGGGTGGGAGGGAATATGGGGGGTTGAGGGTGGGGGGGTTGATGTGTCTAAACAGTGGCGCCAGCTGGCTGAGCCCATCGACCCTGTGGTGTGGATCGACAAGCTCACGTGCGTGCACTGGGAAGGGGGGGGGGTATGGTGGGGGTTGGTTTGGTTTGTTTTTGGGGGTTGCCTCTGAAACTGCGTGAACTGATGCGATTATTGAGGTGCCCCAAGAGTGGCGCCGGCTGGCTGAGCCCGTCGATCCTGTTGTGTGGATTGACAAGCTCACGTGTGTGGATTGAGGTGGTGGGGTTGGGAGTGCATAGCAGGGAGGGTTGCTTTAGAGGGGGGGAGGGTTGGATTGCAAAGAGAGGGAACAAATCATGGCAGAATCAAAGAGATGTTGGTTGCATTGAATGTCTTACTCACAGCCCCTCCTGTCTCCTGCCCACATTCCTCTCCTCTCTCCCTTCCTCCAGGGCCAAGGAGTTTGAGGAGGGCTTTGGGTCTGTGACAGCCATGCTGGTGACTACTGAGGCTCCCCGTAAATATGTCTCTCTCCTGCCTACCTTCTTCACCTCTCCCATCCCTCAGGGCCAAGGAGTTTGAGGAGGGCTTCGGGTCTGTGACAGCCATGCTGGTGACTTCTGAGGCTCCCCGTAATTTGTCTCTCTCCCACCTGCCTTCTTCACCTCTCCCTTCTTTAGGGCCAAGGAGTTTGAGGAGGGCTTTGGGTCCGTGACTGCCATGCTGGTGGGGCAGATGAAGAACAGCCGCTACTACTTTATTTTTGACCGGTGTGTGCCGTGCTGCGCTGCGAGTTTTGAGGTGCCGCTAAATGCCTAGAAGTGGGTTTTGAGGTGCCTCTAAATGCCTCGAAATGAGGTTTGAGGTGCCTATGAATGGGTTCCCAGGCGCCTCACAACCGATGAAAAGAAAAGCTGCTACTACAATTTTGACCGGTGCGTGCCGTGCCGTGCCGTGCCGTGCCGTGCCGTGCCGTGCCGTGCCGTGCCGTGCCGTGCCGTGCCGTGCCGTGCCGTGCCGTGCCGTGCTCTGAGGCGCCTAACACCAGGTTTTGAGGTGCTTCGAAATGGGTTTCCAGGTGTTCAAAACAGATGAAGAACAATCACTAGTACTTCATCTTTCACCAATGCATGCCCTGCCCTGCCTGCCACCACTCCCTTCCCTGCCTGCCACCCCTCTCCTCTCCATCCTCGCTTTTCTGTTTCCCATTAAGTGCTGTCTGCTCGTCGCTCTGTGCGATGTGTCTTCCTGCTGCGTAAGTGCATTTCTGTCTGTTGTGCTTTTGCCTTGCGTGCGCGCGCGCGCGCGCGCGTGTGTGTGTGTGTGTGTGTGTGTGTGTGTGTGTGTGTGTGTGTGTGTGTGTGTGTGTGTGTGTGTGTGTGTGTGTGTGTGTGTGTGAGAGAGGGACGGGGAAGGGGTGGGGTGGGGTGGGGTGGGGGGGGGGGGGAGAGGGGGGGTTGTGTGCATGCGTGCGCCCATGTTTGCATGTGTGTGTGTGCATGCGTGCGCCCATGTTTGCATGTGTGTGTGTGTATGCGTGCGCCCATGTTTGCATGTGTGTGTGTGTATGCGTGCGCCCATGTTTGCATGTGTGTGTGTGTATGCGTGCGCCCATGTTTGCATGTGTGTGTGTGTGTATGCGTGCGCCCATGTTTGCATGTGTGTGTGTGTATGCGTGCGCCCATGTTTGCATGTGTGTGTGTGTATGCGTGCGCCCATGTTTGCATGTGTGTGTGTGTATGCGTGCGCCCATGTTTGCATGTGTGTGTGTGTATGCGTGCGCCCATGTTTGCATGTGTTTGCATGTGCATGTGTTTGCATGTGCATGTGTTCATCAGAGCGTTGGACATAATGAAGGGGCGCATGCTGGATGACGGCGTGTGGAACGGACTCAACAACCCTGTCGAAATCACACCAGAGATGAAAAAACAGGTGCGTATCCTCCCAGTACAGGTGGCCTGATCTAGGCAGTCTATGCATCCCTCCCTACCGCACCATACCATACCATACCATACTACACCCATCTTCTTTGAGATTTGAGGTGGCACTCAGTGACATTTGATCCTCGTTTGGTCTTCTATTCTCCTTCCTTGTGCAGATCAAGGCGGCAAAAGACGCAGAGGAGCTGTGGAAGGTGATTGGGGAGGACTACTGGGTGGTCACGCCTTGCTACAGCACCGCCACTCCTGGGTGGGTGATAATACAATGCGATCCTACTTTTGAGGCGCACCTTTCTAAAATCGTAATCTGAGGTGCCTCAAAGGGTTTGTCTATGGAAGAAGGGGCACTCTCTCTGAAGTCGCGTATTCATGTGGAAGGAGTACAGTGTGGTGGTCACACCGTGCTGTGCTACAGCACCACTACTCCTGGGTAATCCACGCCACGCTGCACGCTGCGGGCGCGCCTCCTCTCCTGTTCTCCTCCCCTCCTAATGTAAATAAGTACTGTTACATTCATATTCAGGGTGAGATTTAATTTAAGCCCCATCCCTCTGCACTGCACCGCCCTCTCCCACTCTCCCTCTCTCCCCCACCCTTCCCCTCCCTTCCCCTCCCCCCTTCCCCTCTCCTCTGTCTGCAGTTATGTGATGAACGGCACTCGCCTCACCATGGTTCGCACGTGAGTGCACTTCCTCTCTTCTCCTCTCTTCACCTCTCTTCGCCTCTCTTCTCCTCTCTTCTCGCCCACTCCTCTGCCTGTATTCACTTAGCTGCTCCGCTCAGCTCCGCCCCGCCCCTTCCCCCCCCCGCCCCCGCCCCCGCCCCCGCTCTGCTCTGCTCTGCTATGCTCTACAGCAGTGGTTCCTCTTTGCTCGCCTCCTCCTCATGTCACCATCTCATCTTCCTCAAGCACCCCCACGTTGCATTCTTCTGTCTCCTTGAAAGTCTAGGAGCTTTGCATCCATGCAAATTCCACCTCCCCACCCCCTCCTTCTCATCGTCCCTCACCGCACCACATCGCACTGCACCGCGCCCACCCTTATCTTGTCCCGTCCCCTGTGCAGCCCTACATATTATGACTTTGCCATCAAGACACCCGGCACGCCTCCCCGGTGGAAGGAGTACGACCATGAGATGGACGCGGCTTGGAAGGTAGGTGCTGCTTCCATTGTTTCTAGTTTTGAGGCGCCTCAAAAGTAGTCCCCTGTACAGCCCGACGTGTTTTGACTTTGCCATCAAGACACCTGGCCCGTCTTCTACTGGTGCGCGCTAGAAGGAGTACGATCATGAGATGAAAACGGCTTGGAAGGTAGGTGCTGCTTCCATAGTTTCTCCTCCTTTTTCCCTTCCTCTTTCTCCCCGTCTTCTTCTCATTGTTCTCCTCTCTTCCTCCCCTCTTCTCGTGCTCACCACATCAATCTCCCCTTTCCGCTCGCCTCAACTACTCCCTGCTTTCACCCTCTCTCCATCCTCCCCACATCTTTCCCACATCTTCCCATCATCCTCCCCCACTTCCACCCCCCACCCCACCCCACCAGGCCCTGTGTGCAGCATACCTGGAGACAGGGCTGAAGGAAAGCAGCACACACCCCCCATCTTCTCTTTACCTTCCTTCGCTGTGCTTCCCCCCTTCCCCCTCCACCCCCACCAGGCCTGTTTACAGCATAGCTGGACATGGCGCTGAAGGAAAGCAACATCACTCTCCCTCCCTCTTGTCCTCCCTTCACCTTCTTTCTCTGTGTTCCCCCCGTCCTCCTCCCCCACACCAGGCCCTGTGTGCAGCATACCTGGACACAGCGCTGAAGGAGAGCAACATCTTGGAGTATCGGCTGCGCATACAGCGCGCCATTCTCGCACTCGCCTTCTACTGGTGCGCTGGGGGGCAGGGGAAAGGGTTAGAGGGTGGGGGGGAAGGGAAAGACTCGGCAGGGGGAACGGGGAAGGGAGAAGGGGGAAGGGTAAAAGGGGAAGGGGGAAGTAGAATGGGGAAGGAGGAAGGGGGAAGGGGGAAGGTGGGGGGAAGAAAGGGAAGGGGTATGGAGCGTATGGAGAAGGGAAGGATGAAGAGCAACAACATCGCAGAGTATCGGCTGCGCATTCAGCGCGCCATTCTCGCACTCGCCTTCTACTGGTGCGCGCGGGAGGCAAGGGAAAAGGGTGGAGGGGGGGGGGGGGGTTGGGGGGGAAGGTGGGGCAGGGGGAAGGGGAAAAGGGGAAGGGAAAGGGGGAAAAGGGGAAGGATAAAGGGGGGAGGGGGTGGGGGGGAGAAAGGGAAGGGATATGGAGCGTATAGAGAAGGGAAGGATGAAGAGCAGCAACATCACAGAGTATCGGCTGCGCATTCAGCGCGCCATTCTCGCACTTGCCTTCTGGTGCGAGCGGGAGGCAAGGGAAAGGGTTGGAGGGTGGGGGGGAGAAGGGAATGTTGGGGCAGGGGGCAAAGGGGAGAGGGAAGATAAGGGCGGCAGGGCATGGGGAACTGGATTTGGGGGGAGGAAGGAGTGTATTGCTCGCATGTAGAGAGGGGAAGCATGACCGAAGCTACATCCCCCCCATCCCTCTAGTCCCTCGCATCCCTGTCTTCCCTCCCATCCTCCCGTCCTCCTCCCAACCTCTCCATTTTCCCCCCATCCCACATCTCCTCCTCATCCCATTTCATCCGCCCCTCCCCACACGCCTAGGTCCAGCTTCATGCTGCTCGCACGTGGCACGGCCATGGTGGGGTATGTCACCATGCTGGGGCTATTTCAACCGTTGCCACACCTTTCTCTTCCTGTCACTCCCATCCCATCCCTCCCCTGCCTCTTGCCCCTCCCGTCCCTCCCACCCTCCCATCCACACCCATAGGTACAACTTCATGCCTCTCGCACGTGGTACAGCCAGAGTGGGGTATGTCACCATGCTGGGGCTATTCAGTCAACTCGAAAGCCCCCTCCTATCCCACATCTCCTCCTCATTCCATCCCACCCGCAGCTCCCCACCACACCCATAGGTACAACTTCATGCCGCTTGCTCGTGGTACAGCCATGGTGGGGTATGTCACCATGCTGCTGGGACTTTTCAGTCAACTCGGGCTATTCAGTCAACTCGAAAGCCCCCTCCTATCCCCTTTCTCCTCCTCATCCCATCCCACCCGTCCTCCCCACATGCAGGTACAACTTCATGCCTCTTGCACGTGGTACAGCCATGGTGGGGTATGTCACCATGCTGGGGCTGTTTCTAGCAGCAGACATGCAAATCACAGCGCACGTGCCCCGAGGACTTCAGGTACTTTGTTCTAGTTTGGGGCGCCAAAAAGAAAGAAAGAAAGAAGGAAAGAAGAAATGTCTTTCTCTTGGTCTCTTGTTTCGGAGTATTTTTTTTAAGTCTCTCAACCTCTTGTTTCTTTCTCTCTCGTATTACTGGCTCACACCCTTCCCTCTTCTTTCTCCCCGTTCCCCCCTCCCCCCCACCTACTATCTCCCCCCCACCTACTATCTCCCCCCCACCTACTATCTCCCCCCCTCTTCTCTCTCTCCCCCCCCTACTATCTCCCCCCCTCTTCTCTCTCTCCCCCCCCCCTCCACTCTCTCTCTTCTGTATAGGCGGATTGGGAGGGCATTCTATCACCGCGTCTGGAGTCCTTTATAGGAGCGCTCTCCCCCTGGCTGCTCCCTTCCATCGACTACAACTGCTCTGCTCTCCACAACCTGCCCTCCGCCCCCGTCACCGAGTCCCTCCTAACGCTTCTCGACATCATCAACGCGCTGAGTTTTTACGACCAGCCTGCTCCGACGATCACGTGGCCGCGACTGAACTAGCGCTTTTGAGGCGCCTCAGAAATTGTCACCGAGTTTCTCCCAACGCTTCTCGACATCATCAACGCACTGAGTTTCTACGAACAGCCTGCTCCAACAGTCACGTGGCCGCGACTGGACTAGCGCTTTTGAGGCGCCTCAGAAATCGTCACCGAGTCTCTCAGGGTGACTTCTGAGGCACCTCTGTAGATTGGATTGGACTATTGTAGCGCGTGGCTTTGAGACGCCTCAGAACAAGTGCTCGAGAAAGTCTTTGATCAAAAGGATCACACACACAGTCACGATTGAAGTAGCGTTTGTTCAGGGTGACTGGCACGTACGGCTGTTGGTGCACCCTTTTTTCTCCAGGGTGGTTTAGCTTAACGACTTACCGGTAGGTAGGTAAGAGTGAGTATGCATTTGACCCTCACAGCTTCGGGCAGTGTTTCCTACCTAACTTGAGTTTCCCAGGTTAGAACATCAAAAGGATCTAGAGCCACAAAAACTCATACCACTCTGAAAATTAGGCATGAATTGACTTGAAATTATAGCCAAGGATTCGGGTTTTTGTTTAAGCGTGGTTGTACTGATTTTCAATGATGTTCATTGGATCAAGTCAACACTTCCGTACTGGTACTTTAAGCGCAGCACATGGTGGACACATATACATTTACATAAATACGGTAGAAACAAGCAACCGCTTAAAAACTACAGTGCTCTAAACAGCAGCTCTCAACCAAGGAGGCAATGCATCACCTTTGAAATTTCTCAAAAGCGAATGCATCCTCAAAAACAAACTTCGGGCGGAGCGAAAAAAGGGTGTCAACTGGCCGTCATGCCAGCAAGCAAGCATGTGGTGCCATGTCATGCCATGTCATGCCGTGTCATGCCACGTCATGCCACGTCACCTGTCCTCCACATGACACAGCGCAATACTAGAGTGGGTGAGGCTGTGGGTATGACCATGGCTATCCATAAGGCCATGTGCATGGCTCTCTGAATGCGTGCCAGTAGGTGTGGTGGCTGCATGGTCCCTTGTTGCAGCATCACTTAATCCATGCGCCATGCCATTCACCCCATCATGTGGCATACCATCCACCACATCACATGCCATGTCATGTCCCATGCCATGCCCCATGTCGTGTCCCATGTCATGCCCCATGTCATGTCCCATGTCATGCCCCATGTCCTGCCCCATGTCATGCATGAGTCCAAACTCATGCAGAGCAGCATCAGGCTCAGACATGCTTCCCATCGCACACAACACACTAGACGCCCCACAGTTCCACTCCAAACCCTCTCCACCGCTCTCAAACCCTTCCAACTCCCCCTCATTTCCTTCCTCGTCAACTATAACAGAGAGACCTAATCTTACTCCCCCTACCACCCCCCCTGCCCCTGCCACTCCCGCTGCACCTACCCCACCAGTTACCACACCCACAGCAGAACCAGAGCGTCCTGAATGCTCCATCCCTCCCATACTCACCCCACGCTCCTCCACCCCAATCACACACCCTGGTGTGAACCCTCCTCTCCCATACCCCCCCTCCTCTTCCTCCACTCGCTCCTCCACCAACACCCCACCATCCTCCTGCTCCCTGCCCATCCCTAATGCCACAGGCAAACTATGCAAACGTTGAAAATTCTCTTCAAATACCATCCCAGCCCATGAAGCCCCATCCACCACACTCCCCACACACCCTGCACCCTCCACCCGCTCCGAACCCTCCCCTCCTCTCTCCGCACCCTCTGCAACCCCAATAACCAGCGAAGAGGAGGCAGACATGACAGGCGTCCCATCGCTGCTCCTACCAATATCATTCAACACTAACATATCCTGAAACCCCGGCGCTTGTCCCCCATTCCCCACCCCTCCGCCACCCTCCTCCCCCACTCCCTCCCCGCCTTCCTCTCCACCGATCACCCACGGCTCCGCACCGTCCTCCACCGCTTTCGACCGGTGCAGCTCGAAGTTTCCGCTGCTGGTTTCGTCACACTCAAGGCTTTGGCGCATGAGTAAGGCCCAGTGGTTTCCCGGGGCGAAGGGCAGAGGAGAGGAGTAGCAGAGCGGCACACTGTCTTCCTCCTCCTCGTCTCCTTCCTCTCCCTCTCCTTTATAACTCCCAGCACCCGTGTAGTAACCTTGCCGCCCTACCCCCCCAACTCCACCACCACCACCACCGGCACCACCACCAGCAGCAGCAGCGGCAGCAGCAGCAGCACCAGCAGCAGCACCAGCACCACCAGTCACAGCAGCATCACCAACGCCTGTAGAAGCCACTGCTGCCATAGCTGCTGCAACAGCAGCCGACGTGATCCGTTTCTCCTTCACCAGCGCCATCAAAAGGTCCTTTGCCTCTGGGCCTTCTGCATCTGACAGCCCCACGGCAGCATACCGAGGAGAGAGTAGCAGCGCCTCACAAAGAGCAGCAGACGGCAGCAAAGGGACGTCTAAATTGGATCCAACCCAGGGCAAATCTTCCACAGGCGTCTCACCCTCCTTTCCAAACCTCCACCCTTCCTCTCCCCCTACTCCCGCTGCCCCTCCTCCCGTCCCGGCTTCGCCTGCTGCCCCTGCGGCTGCCGCTGCTGCGGTCGACTCAGAATAACCCCCCTTTCGGCTGTCGCGGTCCCCAGAAGCAGAGACGAAACGGGACAGCCTGCTACCTGTGGAGGTGCGGGTCATGCTGATGCTTCTACTCCCATTCCCAGACCCTGCTCCTGAACCTCTGCTGAAATATCGCGCCAAAACTGACTTAACTCGCACCTCCAATCGCCCACTGCCGCTGCCGCCGCTGCTGCTGCTGCTGCTGCCGCCGCCACCACTTCTGGCACTCGCATTCACACTGGCGCTGGCGCTGGTACTAGTGCTGGCAGCGGTGGTGGTGCTGCTGCTGCTGGCGCTGGTGCTACCTCCCATACGGCCACGAAAGCCGCTTCTAGAGGCACTCTCTTTGTCCTGATCACTGCTGGTGGTTGTATTTCCAACGCCCTTCCCCCCAGCAGCAGCGGCAGCAGCAGCAGCACCAGCAGCAGCAGCACCAGCAGCAGCAGCGGCAGCGGCAGCAGCAGCAGCGCCAGGCACGAGTTTTCTCCAGCCAGACCCCCCTTGCTCCCTGCCTCCTCCCCCCTTCCTCACCCCACCCCTCTCCTGCGTCTCCTGCTGTCTCTCCTGTCTCTCCTGTGCTTCTTCCACCCCACTCTCCCCACCCCACCTCTCCCCACCCCACCTCTCCCCACCCCACCTCTCCCCACCCCTCTCTTCCACTCCCTCTCCCTCCTCTTCCAGACCTCTAAACCCCTCAGTAGTAAGGGACCTGGACCGGTGCAATAACTTACTCCTCTTCTCCGCACCCCCCTTCCCCCACGTCCCATACCCCCTCACTCCCCCTCCACCTCCCACCCCTCCCCCGCCCCCGTCCCCTCCTCCTCCCCCTCCTCCTCTTTCTCTCCCACCCCCGCCTCCCCATCCTCTCCTCTCCTCACCAAACCCTGCTCGTTTCCCCGGCCTTGATTTCCAGATCATAGCCCCTGATGATTGCCGGTTCGAATCCCTGGGACTCACAAGAGCCTGTAGCCCTGCTGCTATACCCAGGCTCAGAACTGACGCTTTGTGCCTCCGCCCAGATTGTCCCCCTTGCCCCCCAAGCCCCCCAAGTCCCCCTGGTCCCCCCGGTCCCCCCGGCACCCCTTGCCCCTCCTGCCCCCGCTGTCTCCCCCGCCCCCCCTGTTCCCCTTGTCCTCTCTTCTGCCCCCATTGCTCCCCCTGGCCCCGTAGGCCCCCCTGTTCCCCCAGGACCCCAAGTCCCGCTCCCCATGCCTGTGCGGGTGCTGACCACAGGTAAGAAAGAGAATCCTCTTCCTCCTCCTCCTCCTCCTCTTCCTCCACCCCCTTCCCTGCCTCTCCTCTTGCTTCTTCCCCTGCTGCAGTCGCTCCGGACCCTCCTTCTCCTGTTCCTACTCCTCCTCCTCCTACTCCTTCTCGTGCTCCTTCTTTCCGCTGCTGCTCCTGCTGCTGCTTCTGCTGCCTCTGCTTCTGCCCCTGCTGAAACATCTTCTCCTGATTCTCCTCTTCCTCCCCCACCTAGCCCCCCAGCAGCAGCACCATCACCACCGCCTGACTCCGCATCAGCCCCAGTCCCTTCATCAGTAGCAAGAAACCCACTCCTGCCTTTACTACCCATACCCTTCCCCACCCACCCACCCACACTCAACATTCTGCTGTCGAGACTCAGCGCCTTATTGGTGATGATGATGATGATGATGATGGTGGTGATGGTGATAATGGTGATGCAGCCCCTGCTGCTGCTCCCCCACACTCATCTTCTCCTTCTCCCTCTGCTCTGTGTGACTCAACGGCTGTGAAGCCAACACCTGGAAAGGAGGGTCATGAGTCGAGTCAGACGGGTGTAATCCCTGCTCGGTTGACTGTTGAAAAGGGTGGGAATCGAGCGGTTGAGAGTGGTGCAAAGGGTGGTGGGATGGGTCCTGGAGATGGTGTGATGACTGCTCCTCATGTTGGTGATTGGCCTGATGCTCTTGTGTGAGCTGGTCTTGCTGCTGCTGCTGCTGCTGCTGCTGCTCCAGCTGCTGCTGCTGCTGCTCCTGCTCCTGCTGCAAAGCGGCCCAGCCTGTTGTGGCTGTTGCATTGACAGGCTTGGCAGCATTGTGTGGGGAAGCAGGGCGCGGGAATGCAGCAGTACAGGAACCACTCTCAACTTGCGGAGAAACGGACGGCTGGGGAGGGGAACCAGAGGGAGGAGGACGAGGTAGGGCAGGGGGGGAATCATGCGGCGGAGAAAGAGGCAGCACAGAAGCTGCTGCTGCAGCAGCATCACCAGCAGCAGCATCACCAGCAGCAGCATCACCAGCAGCAGCATCACCAGCAGCAGCATCACCAGCAGCAGCATCACCAGCAGCAGCATCACCAGCAGCAGCATCACCAGCAGCAGCATCACCAGCAGCAGCATCACCAGCAGCAGCATCACCAGCAGCAGCATCACCAGCAGCAGCATCACCAGCAG